CCCTCGCCGCGCCGCGCGGAGCCAACTGGGCAGGCGGCGGCGGCGGCGGCGGCGCCCGTCCCTCCGTCCCGCGCGCCGTGTCCACTCCCCGCGGGCGGGCCGCGGCGCACAAAGGATGGCGCGGGCGCTTGCAGCGGCGCGCGGCCGGCGCCAGGGGGAGCAGGGCGGCCGCCCCGGCTCGCTCTCCGGACGGCTCCGCGGCGCAAACGAGCGCGCGAAACGCGGGGAGGGCGCCGCCGCCGGCGCGCTGGGAGGAAGCTGGGCGAGCTGATTCCGGGCGCCACGTTAGTCGGAGGCCAGCCGGATTGCTTTCACCTGGGCGGTGCTCTCGCGTGGGAGGGGCAGCGGCGCGCTGCTCTCTTGGACGGGGCCGGGCAGTGCGACATGGTCAGGAGCTCTGTGGAGGCACCTTGTGAAAAAGAAGGGCTGACGATGCATGTGCAGAGTTCCATTAAAGGCACAATCCTACTCATGGTTAGACACAAAAAGACTGAGGCGGACTGGGGACTGCAAACCTTTTTTCTGTCTAACCACCCAAATGATTGTGCCTTATTCATTATTTAAATGTATAAATCGCACTTCATCGTCAGGAGCCTACAGTGGTGTATGCAACAATATTGAAATGCAATATTTAAACTCACAATTACAAACATTAATTAAAAGGCAAATTAAAGAACAAGAGTAGCACCACAACCCATCAAATCAAAATTTTAAAAATTAAAAATGCAAGACTTGCCAATTCTGCCCTTAATCTTTGTTTAGTCATTACCCACTGTCTGGCTGGCTCTTTTTCCACCGCTGCTAAGAAGTCGTTCTCCCTATTCTCAGTTTTTATTTCTGTTCCATACTGATGTCTGGCATTTCTTTCCAGTAACGCCCACCACCTGCCACCATCTTTGCTGTTGCTTTTCCTGTTATGAAGGCCCAACTGTCAGTCTCCATTCCTCTTGTTTCTTGGCTATGACAAGCCATTCCCAGAGTTTACTATTTCTGAATCTAAATGCTGGCATTACTAGCAGACAGACGTTTTTTAATCCTTCCCAGTCCCCAAATGGGCATTTGGGCAAGACTCTGGGACTGCAGCCTCCTCTCAAGCCTCAAATTAATTGCATTCCCCCAGAGGAAATTACTTCATCAGATTATTGTGGTTACTTGCACTGAAAGGTCAATATATACCAGTATAAAATATACCGCACACACAAGCACAAATGCAGAGCTGGCACAAAGTCCACTGAGTCCCTTTCATGGTTTCCATGACCCCCCCCCCCCCACAGAAGGGGGGCAAAAGCTTCTCTTAGTTCCCAAAACAACCGCTGTGCCAAGGGGGTTGGGGATCTGAGAATGTGTGCCCAGCTTCTCTTCCACTCCATCCTCACCAGAGGGCTGGGAGAATTTGGCAACCTTCAGCCTTCCCTTATGACTCCAGGAAGCCAAATGTAGGATACTTGGCACAGAGCATGGTCCCTTGGTTAGTTGTTGCTCACCTGGGCAGGATGTGTTATAGTCCTATCTGTCAGATGCCGAAGCCATTCAATGGATGTAGCAGGTTTCCATACAAAACGCAGCGGGCACCCAGCCATGCTCACATAGCACCCATGTTAAAAGAACGACTTGGACTGGCTATTAGTTACTGAGTCATGTTCACGAATGTGATGTTTTCATACAAAGCCCTTAAGAACCTTGGGTCTGAGATAGTGATCAGATTGCTTTCCCTTATATATGCCCAGCTGACATTTAGGATTGTCAGAGGAGGCCATGCTGGTCATTCTGTGATTAAGAGATGGTTGTCCTGTACTACCTCGACCACAGGCCTTGCCAATAGCAGTCCCCACCCTTTGGGAAACTGTCCCCGTTACAGTTTGGCAGGCAAAAAATGTGACATGTTTCAAAAACTCCTGGTAACACCCTTTGTCACCCAGGTTTTCCCTGGCTTGTCAGTACATCAGTCATGCTGCTCTATTTGACTGTTCTCTGCATTGTTCTGTATTGTTATAGTGACTTGAATGGTTTTAATGCTGCATTTTAAATACAATTTTAAGATTTATATGTGGCCTGCTTAGGGAGATTTATTTATATTTTGCTGAATGTAAGTGTCCCAGATAATAGACGCTCCTTGACCTGAACAAACTGGTCCATTAAAACTGATATCAGTGGCCCTCTTCTGCCCACCAGACATTATAGCAAGTGCTCCTCCTGAGCCTCGCCAGGCCGTTGCCTCAGTCACTCTGTTAGCCATCACAGCCCAAGAGGAACCAAGATGCAGAGCGGACAGTCCTCAGCTCAATGCCCGTGAAGCCAGCTTTCCCCAATATGGTACCCTGCAAATATGGTGGACTGCAACGCTCATCATTCCCAACCAGCATGGCCAATGGAAATTGCAGTCTGATGCATCTGGACAGCCCCAGGTTGGGGAGGGCTCCCTGAAGCCCTTACAGTGTGTGGAGTCCAGCTTTTTAAAATGCGAATTTTGTCAGCTTGCTAATGTCAGACTTAATAATTAGTATACCTCTCCACCTCTAAAGCAATTCAGGTCTTATCATTCGTATCTTTAAGTAACTTAATTTTCTCTGTTTTCTGAGGCAAGGTTGTTCTCCTTTGTTGTTTGCTGCTTTGCAATCAAGCCTCCACCCTTGGCTGGTAGGTGTAACCAGGACACTCAAGCAATAAAAGAAAGCAGCAGGTCACACAGACTGAGTCTTTTTGCAGATTATGTGTCTTTGAACACCAAGAATTTTTTAAAGGTCTTTCCTGGACTCAAGGAATGAAGAAACAATGTATGCCAAAGCCTCTGGCTATAAACGTAACTGTAAAAAGTTGAAATGCTAAAGGTGTCCGTGATGGCAGAGGATGTTTTGTTTAAAAAAAACAAAAGCTTCCAGCTATGCACCCATTCCAAAGGGTGCATTCGAAACACGGTGCTGGAAGAGAACTTTGTGAATACTCTGGAGTGACAAAGAGGCAAACAAGCAGGTCCTGGATCAAATCAAGCCAGAGCTTTCCATAGAAGCAAAAAGGACAAAACTGAGGCTGTCCTACTTTGGACACATCATGAGAAAGCAACACTGCAGAGGATAATAATGGCAGGGAAAGCTGAAGGCAAAAGACAAAATGCGGTCGATTGAATCCATAAAGGAACCTGCAGCCTTCAATTTGGAGCAGTTAGGCAGGGATGCCACGCATAGGACATTCTGGAGGGTTTTCATTCATTGGGTCACGGTAAGTCGAAGACAACTTGTTCAGGATTCCCCAGCCGGGATATAAAGGACTTTTTCCTGTCTAACCGCACATACACAGGATTATGTTCCGAGAGAACCATCCAATGTGACTGCATATAACCTCTGAATTCTGAGGATGATAGGCTTCCAGTGGGACATGGGGAGGAGCACGGAGGTAAAAATTGTCTCAGTGTGCCCCACCTCACACACACCAAAACAGTCATACAGCTGATGTTGGCCATCTAAGTGTCTTCCTCCTCCTCACGAGAAGAGGCTAAGACAGTACCAGGATTCCTTGGAGGATGGCAGTGCCTCATTGCTCCCTTTTCCGCCCCTCAAAACACCTACCACCTGCTCCATCTCCAAAGATGGTCTTCTGGCTTTGAAGCCTAGCTGGCATGGAAGGAACTGCACTGGCTGCAGAGCAGGACCAGCATCATTGCCTTAGCTCAGAAATCCCTTCTGAGATTGGAGCTAGGACCCTGACCTATCCTATGATCCCCCAGACAAGCTGGGAGGCCGTGGGATTGAGTCCTAAGATATGTTGATGTTTTGTATGGAAAACCTTTATATGATTTCAGTTGGACACTCCCAAAGAATCATAAAATGTAATAAGTTATCTCCATTGTAAAATCTTTTAAATGCTGCCACTTCTAAGTTTTTCAAACCTCTCCCTTCTCATTCTGTGATTCTACAGCTTTAGAATGAACGGGAGAGGAACAAATGCAAGCTCAGAATCTCAACAAAAATTGCAAGTAGCTGTATTGATCTATGGGGGGACTCTAAAAGCTATTGGAGATAGTAATAACATTATTATAACCAGCTAAAATAAAGAACAAGCTTTATAGTTCTGTAGCACAATATAAGTTCTTGCTGTCCTAAGCAATGAGTAAAGAACAATTTTTAAAATCTCCCAGTAATATATTAAGCAGGATAAAGTGCATTCAGGAATATAGATAGCCAGAGCCAAATGATCTCATCTATTTGTAAAGTGGCATAGAAGCTTATGAGAGATTAAAATATCCAGTGTTCTAAAGTTCAAAAATCATGTAACTGTTCTTGGCAAAGTTAATGCAACCAGGTAGTGGCGGTGGCAGCACTAAGTTGTCTGATTAACTAAATGCCTAGAAGTATGTTCAGTGGCGTTTACTCCCATGTAAGAGTACATAGACTGAAGCCTTCAAAATGGAAGATTCTGAATTCACTAAAGGTAAAAATAAAAATGCTATAATAATAAAGCCTGCAAAATCCAAACAAATTTATGGCAGCCAGCATAATACTAATAATAATTTTTTAAAATCTGGTACCAGAGTGAGTACCACTCTGGGTGAAACCCCAGACAGATCTGGTGATAAAGCAGAAATTGGAGCCCAGTAAATTTTGCCTGAATCACAACCTAGTATAGAAAGTGTTTATGTTACATCTTATGGCAGTGTTGTGTAGAGCAAACAATCCTGAACCCTTACCTTAACCCATAGGAAAAAAAATCATATTCAAATGTGCATGTGCAAATATATGTGCTTAATTAGACATAATAACCATCATTGAAACATTATAGAATGCAAGCTAATTTAACTGCTCCTTGCTTTCAAGACAGAGCTGAGTAATGTCCCAAACTGCACTGGCTTAAAACTTAGGCTTCTCACAGATGGGGAGCATAGTGTGCTTAAAACCACCAAAAAGCTTTATGGCATATTCAACATTTAGCAATGGATTGGGTACAGGGCAAGACACACTAGCAAGGGAGAGTGTGGAAATCTGTTGTAAAATACCATGTTGTGGTGGTGATATGCTGTCAAGTCATCTCTGACTTAAGGCACCCCTATGAATTAAAGGGGACTGCAGGTGGCGCAGTGGTTCAAACCGCTGTGCTGCTGGGCTGGTTGATCGAAAGGTCGCAGGTTCGAATCTGCACAATGGGGTGAGTTCCTGTTCCTCTGTCCCAGTTCCTGCCAACCTTGCAGTTCGAAAGCATGCAAATACAAGTAGATAAAAAGGTACCACTTCTGTGGGCAGGTAACAGCGTTCTGTGTTTAGTCATGCTGGCCACATGACCACTGAGACTGTCTGTGGACAAATGCTGGCTCCCTCGGCTAGGAAATGGAGATGAGCACCGCCCCGTAGAGTCAGGCATGACTGGACTTAATATCAAGGGGAAACCTCTACCTTTTATATGAATGAAAACCCTCCTAAATATCCTATCCATGAGAGCTCTGCTCAGCTCTTGTAAATTCAAGGCTGAGGCTTCCTTTATGGAATCAATCATTCATCTCATTCTCTTCTCCTTCCTTTGACTTTCCCTAGCATGATTGCCTTCTTGTTAGGGTGCCCAAAGTATAACAGTAAAGTATTTGTCATTTGTACTTCTAGGGATTGTTCTGCTTTGATTCGATCTAGGACTCACTTCTTCATCTTCCTTTTAGTCCTGATTATTTGCAAAGCTCTCCTTCAGTTTAATTCTTCTGTAGTCATGATTTGTTGTTTTCTTAAGCTTAAGTCCTCCTTTGCACTTTATTCACTTTTATCAGGAATTGTTTCAATTAATTGCTGCTTTCCACCAGTAATATGGTATCATCTGCATATCTTACATTACTGATGTGTGTTCCACCAATTTTCACTTCTTCCTCTGATCCTGATCCAGCTTTCCTTATATGTTCTGTGTACAGATGAAATAGGTTGGAAGATAAAGTACACCTTGTCTGATGCCTTTGCCTATAGGAAATCATGCTGTTTCTTGATATTCTGTCCTAACAGTAGCTTCTTGTCAACAATATATAGATTACACATTGAAACATCCAAGAACTTTCCATTCTTTGACTCTATAAATTCCCAATACTACCTTTTCCAGTTGTAATTCACATATTCAAAATTCACCTAATATCATGTTTAGTTTATTCAAGGTTATTAGCCTATCCTATTTAAAAATTCCTCTAACTAATAAGCCAAAATCCCACCCTCAATGTGCAGTAAAGGTAAAAGAGTCCAGATTATTTCTGTTGCATCTGATTCCCAGTTTGGCTGGTTTTTGCCCACGTGTACTTCACTTCTTGCTGCCTCACACCTCACCCTGGATTCTTTCCACTTGAAGTTTTTTTCCTGAAATCAAATGCTCTTTCTTTCCTGCCCACATATCCCTTTTTATGAACAGGGTTTTCCTTGGGAGACAAGGTCCTTTAAACACACACCTGCTTCAAAAGGTACATAAATTAGCATCTGCAAATTGTTGCTCAAATTAGCATCTGCTTTTTGTTCTGTTCTGAACCCAGGATTGTTTTGGTACCTACACAGCTCATGCATAAATATCTCTCTTTATAATTGTAAGTCAACTTAAATATTTACAGGGAGGAATATCAAGATATCAATTTGTTAAATGAAATATATTCAAATATTTACAATAATACATAATTGATTTAAGTTGCAATCCAATGTAAATCTTTATTAATGATTTAGATGCAGAAATAAAAGGAAACATAATCAAATTGGAAGATGATACAAAACTGGATGGAATAGTGAACACCCTAGAAGACAATGAAAATCCAGGGCAATCTTGATAAATTTGAAGTCTGGGCTGAAAACAACAGGATGAGATCCAATAGGGACAAGTACCATGTCTTCCATCTATGAAAAAGAAACTAAATGCATCCATACAAGATGGGGAATCCATGGCTCAACAGAATTGATCTTGGAATTACTGTGGACAACAGGCTGAGTTGTTGTGAGACAACAATGTGATGCAGCTACAAAAAGGGCAAATACTATTTTGGGATGCAGTAAAAGAAGTACTACTCCCAAATCATGCAAAGTAGTAGTTCCCCTATACTCCTCACTAATCAGACCTCATCTGGAATACTGTACCCAGTTCTGGACCAAGAGTTAAGAGTTAAGAAAGATGCAGAAAAAAATAGAGAAGTTCCAGAGGAGGGCAAGAAAAGTGATGCAGGGTTTGGAAACACTGCCCTGTGGGGAGAGACTGAGAGAACTGGGCAAGTTCAGCCTTGACAAGACTGAGGGGGGACATGATACCCCTCTATAAGTACCTCAAAGGCTGTCACAAAGAGCAAGGTCAAGATCTCTTCTCGCTGATACCATATTTGCAAGTTGCAACAACGCAGATTCAGGCTGGACATCAGGAAAAGTTTCCTAATTGTCAGAGCGATTTCACGACAGTGAAATCAGATGCCTAGAGAGGTGCTGGGCTCTCCAACACTAGAGACTTTCCAAAAGAAACTGGACAGCCATCTGATTGGGTTGTTGTAAATTGGTGGCCTGCAACAACAAGGGTTTGGACCCGAAGAACTTCTTGACCCTTCCAACCGTACTATTCTACGATGTATTTGGACAGAAAAAAGTCCTACAAACTCCTTACAGTTCTCCATCCATCATGCTGGGAGTTGAAGGACTTTGTTTTCGTTGCCTAAACATGCATAGGATTGAGCTCTCTGACCCTGCTCTCGATATGCAGCACCTTCCAATCTAAAAACTTGCAGCAACCGCGCATGCAAGCTTCCTCGACCGCTGAAGCCCGGATCGGTTCGCGCGCCTAGGATCCCAGGCGCTCCGCTGCCAACCGCGGCCACGCCTCCGTGCCGCGCTCAGGCTCGCTCTCTGGCGCCCCGCCCCTTTCCAGCAAAGCGCTGCCGCACGTGAGGCCGACGGGGCGGCCTCAAGCTGGCGCCCAAGCCCCGCCTTCAGCTCCTACCCCGCCTACCCTGCTCTGTCCTAGATGCTTCTTACCGAGCCGCCGGGCGGCTGCAGGTTCTGCGCGCTTGCGCAGAGGTCGCTGCGGGCGCCATGTTGGTTGAGCAGGCAGGGGGGAGGTGGTGTTGGTGGTGAACGCTGCGAGTCGGTTTTCTCCCTCCTCCCCTCTTCCCCTCACCCACCTGCTCACCCTCCTTCCTTCCTTCCCTCCCTTCCCCCCACACCTCGTCCTCCCGGTGGCTGAGGCGGAGCGGGGCAGGGGGGCCACTCCCTGCTCCGGGTGGCGGCGCACCATGAGCGCTGGCGGGGGGCGGGTGTGCGACCTTTCCCGCAGGAACCCCCAGGAGGACTTCGAGCTCATCCAGCGCATCGGCAGCGGCACCTACGGCGACGTCTACAAGGTAGGCGAGGCGAGGCGAGGCGAGGGGGCGGCAGTCCTCGAGCAGCCTGCGGAGCTCAGCCCGTCTCGTCCCCAAGAACCCAACACCCGCCTCTCGGCATCACAGGATCTTCACCCCGCATCTCTTCACTCTTTGGGGGGCTGTTCCAGCAGGACTCCCCACCCCTTGTCCCTCTGGCCTCCCCCATTCCGCCTTCCAGCAGCCTCCCACCCCCAATTTATATCCGTAGCCTATTCTCTTCCTCACACCCCGCTGGTTTGCAGGTTTGACCCACATCTTTGTCTTTCCTAAACCATACCCTATCCCTCCTCTGTGTGTGCAATTCGGGATGTCACTCTCTAGACTTGTTCACTTTTTAATTTTTGTTTTTGCTGGGGGGGGGGACTGTCTGCCACTTCGAAGCTCTTCCCAATGAACTGTCATTTTCACACTAGCAGTAGCTTTCGTCTTGGCATAAACCCAAATGATCTCTGAGACAGCAAACGGGAAAGTGTTTTTTCGGCCACCAGTTCTGCACTTTAAGTAAACCATACAGGCAGTCTCTCCAGGCAAGAAATTGTGTGTGGGGTGGGGGGTTGGCTTGCAGTGCTGACAGCAATAAGGGTTAAGGCGCATGCTGTCATTGTGGGCCTTGGTTTTCAGTTTGCATGTCACACTAAGCCAAGGCAACCTACCTGCCCTATTCTGCCTTTGTTATTTAAGGAGTTGTGAATGTTGGACTGTTGTCAATAAGGTCTCCTTTCTTTCCCCAACCTGTCATCTTCCTACAGGGCACGTTTTGTCTAGATAGAATCTCCCCAGCCAGCCTTGTCAGTATAAACCTGCCTCTGAGTGACCCACCCTGGTAAACTGTTGAGGTCTCCTTAGCCAAAAGGTTCCTTCTGGGGCCTGTGGTCATGTTGATTCCCACCTTCAGCCTTCTTCCTCACCTCTCAGTTCAGGCCCACAATCCTCGCTTTCTCTTATTTCAGTTTTCCTGAAGCTAACAGCATTCTTTGTTCCTTTAGGGCCTTTGAGCCTAAAGGATTTTGTTTCCTGATAGGAGCTGTCAGTTTGTTATCCAAAGCAGAGATTTCTGAGATCTCTTTCTTAGGAATTAAGTTTGGGTTCCTGTTTCTTGCATTTGGGAGGTCACAGACGCTTGATGGTGGGATTGCTCATCTTGGATTCTGTCAGACATATTGTGCAGAGGCCTAGTCCTAAGCAAAAGGTCCTATCCAGCTTTCTTGTTATCACCATGCATGGAGAAATGGAGGGATGCCACAGGGTTATCATTTGTAAGGTAAAGTTCTCCCTGCACATATGTGTTAGTCATGTCCGAGTCAGGGGCCAGTGCTCATCTCCGTTTGTAAATAGGTGTGATGCATTCCTCCCCTAGCTCATTCTTCTCTCTTCACAGTAAGGAAGTGGACAGCACTTGCATGGTCATTGAGGGGCACCTCACTTCAACGGAGTTCTTAGGGCTCCCACATGCCTGTTAATTTAACTTGTATTCATTCAGGTTGTAGTAGCACTACATGTTTTACTGAAACAACTCAGATTATGTAGTACAGTTCTGTGTCAATCTGTACTGTCTATCTATTAGTTACCCTGTTCCTCCATGAAATTAGAACCCCTGTCCCACACACACACAAAACCCACCCAGCTTTCTGTAGAACTAGCCTAAATGCAACTATTCAGTATCATCAAATAACTGATACTATATCCCTGATGCAGAGGTGAATGTAGACGTCTTAGTTTTAAAACTCTGCTTCAACTCGGGCTAGAGTCTCAGGAAAACTTTGAAAAAGCCCATTAATTGGGCCTGAGTGGCTTTGAGGAGTGAGTACATTGCATCTACAGAGCACAGCAGAATTTTGCATAAGTCAGGCAGGGCTTCAGTGGCAAACCTGGCTGGAGAGATTTCATCTGGAATTTAAAAACAAGTCATTTAGCCTGTAACCCTTTACACCAGTGGCAGGTAACTTGGTGCCTTTCCAAGTAGGAAGTCAGATTAGATGCTTGATAGAGTGCTACCCATGAGCAAGGGTGTATGTGTCAGTGTCAGCAGATAGATTACTGGGCTAATATTTGATAGGTAGAGGTTCAGATCCTACTGCAATTTCTTCACTGAATAGCCTGAGAAATTTGTAGTCAGTTTGCCATTCCTAAAAAGGTGACTGCAGTCTTTCTGGTAAATGATTAAGGCCTGGGATCTGAGGCTGAATTAAGGAAGATTTATAAAGTCCTTGGGATGACAGTAAATATTAAAATAATAGGCAATGTAAGAGGGAACTGGAAACTTTTAATAACTTTTTGAGACACTTGGTGAGTAAAGTATAATATATTCAGTAGCAGAAGTAGTTCTAATCTTAATTTCTCCCAGTTGTAAGATTAGTGAATGTATTAATGAAGACATTTATTAATTATATATATATACACATACACATTTCAAACCATTGAAAACACCTAAATAAAATATTGCTCACCTAATGATTCAAAAGGCTCAGCTAGATCTCCAATTATTTTTCTGATTTCTGTTAATTATTCAAGTAAGCACTTCTTAGCATTTCTTAATTACATATTAGTTCTTTTAAAATGGAAATGTTGCACAAAAGTATATCCTCTAATAAAGAAAAGCCTTAAGTACCATAACAGATGACTTACAATGAATAATATTATACAATATAATAATGCAAGACTATTGAGATGTATGTTTAGATCTACAGTATCCAGATGAATTTAACTTTGATTTCTTCATATATGCCATAGGAATATCAAGCAAGTTTGTTCAGTTTGGATTACTTAAAAGAGACTTAAACTTTCCTTAATCAAAAGAATTGGTAGCTAATAGAACAGTAGCTTTTAGCAGGGCTCTATAAGAACAATTTCCAGTAGCAAACAGAAATTAAATTCTGGCAACCAGCAGATAAGAGTTGAGTATTCCTCCATTTCTTAAAAGTTGCAGATAACCAATAGAGGAAAGATGCCGAATGTGCTTTTTTAAAAACTATGCCAACCTGCATCTTGTACTGAGATGTTGTCATACTTTAGAAGAAAAGGATTGTACATATGCATGCATAAGCACTTTCTCCTCAACATTTCTTATATTTAAAAAATCCCACCTTGCTATGCAACATGTGTGCTACTTTACTCAGTGGACCTATATGAGAAGACTACACCTTGCCAGTTGCTAGAAAGAATGGTTGACGTCCAAGTTTAACTAAAATTTGTGGACCTCTGGCTACTTGTTAATATTTACATTTCAGGTTAATGAAAATATTTGTTTTAGGCCATTTCACACATTATGCAGATTCAAAAAATAGCCCTTGAGTATATGATAAATGTGTTTGCAAATACATTATATTCACATGTCCCATTTTTAGGTGTATATCTAAAAATAGGTTTGGCATAATTTCCTGAAAGATAGTGAAAATTACCTATATTGTACAAACAAAATCTGGTTAAATATTAGAAGTGGTTACTTCTCATACAGGACTGGGCATGGCAGTAAGTATGTACCTTGGGGGTTACATGTTGTAGTAGCCTCATAGATATGTTGTCAGGTGTCATATCACCAAAGCTGCCCCCAGAACAGGGGCTGAAATGAAAGATTGTGGGTTCTGAATAAAGATAAACTTCCTTTAGAATTTGAGACCCCTGTGTCCAATTATATGTTAATGCATCCTAAGTCCTCATTTATCCATCTTTCTAAAATAGGGATGAAGAACGTGTGGCATTCCAGATGTTGGGCTTCATACCCATCAGCCCCAACCAGCATAACTAGTAATCAAGGTTTATTGGAGTGGTAGTCCCAATATCTAGAGGTCCACTGGTTCCCTGGCCTCTGTTCTAACAATCGAAAGTAGTGCAGCATTAGTTCAAAGTATAACATTGAATATAGAAACAGGTTTCCTTTACTTTCCAAAGAGAAAGTTTTCATTCTCTAACAGGCAGAGGTATTCTGTGAATGGATGCAAAAGATTCTACAGTGATGTAGCAATTATGTATTTGTTTTAAGCAGTAGCATCCAGTAATAATATTCTCTTTGAATTAACTTCTCTCTCAAGATTAGAGGAATAGGAGATAGTGTTTTGTTAAATACTGCAGGGTATTTAACCTCTGGCCTCCAGATGATGTTGGACTGCAGCTTCCCTCATCCCTGGCCGTTTGTCATACTGGCTGGGGTTGATGCAGTTTGGTGTTGAACATTATTTGGAGGGCCCAGGGTTGTCCACTCCTCCCGTACACTTATGTATCTACAAGTAAGATGTTGTTTATGCTGCTGAGCCATGGATTTTCTTTAGGCCTCTTTGAGAATCATGACAATTGTGCTGATGAATATATATAACCAGCTTTCAAGAGAGCATATTGTAGTGGTTCTTTATCATTAAGCTGGCATCTCCTATAAAATGGTGACTATGTATTTATTGATTTGGTCTTTCGCAATTTGAGATCAGTTGGTAATAAAACCTGGAAAGGAGCCTCTGATTACACAAGGAACTCTCTTTTTAAGGAGTTACAGTAGAATCAGCCACTTGGCAGATGTAAAGATTATGTGCAAAACTCACAAGCAAGCACAGTTGAGCTCATTGGGACTTACTTCTGAGTCATTATGTATGCATTCTCCTGCCCATGTTAACTTGTGTTTCTTTGTGGCCCAATTGCAGTGTAATCTCCATTTATTAGATGTATATCTTAACTTTCCTTAATGTTAGGCAGTTAACAAGGCAGTTAACAAGATCAACATTGCACAAATTAATTAACAAAGCAGAATTCAAAGACTTTTAAAGAAAGCAATTATTGAAAGAAACTTGGAGTGCTGAATTTCCATGCTCTTCTAGCTTCTGGCAGTTGAAGGTCTTTCATTGGCAGTGCCACCAACAGTTATGACAAATGTGAGCTAGTATTGGCCTCTAACTGAAGGCTTTCTAAGGAAGCAACAGAGCCTTTCATAAACTTTCTGTAGCTAACAGAACTTTATTAGTAGAACTCTTTAAGAACAGTTGATAAATTCAATTCTGGCAACTAGCAGATAAAGTTTCTAGTACCCTGCAATATGGTAACAACACATATCTAAAAAGTTGCAAACATGCTGCAGAGAAAAGAGAAAGGAAAAAAGTAGAATTAGTCACTGCTTATGCTATTCTTTATATTAGTTCAGGATATGTTATCTCTTGTTCCAATGCCAGGGATGCATACAACAGTAAAAAAGGGCAGGTGAGGTTTATCATATTGGTTCCTTTGACCAACAGTCAGTTGAGAACAGCCTGGTGCCCTCCAGGCTAGGGAATGCTTGGCGTTAATAGCCCAACTCATCTAGAGGGTATCAGGTTGGGGAAGGCTGCTTTAGCACCATTGCAACCTGTCATATTGTGTTCTGGAATTACTACAGATACAATATACTGTAACTCACAGGTGGGCAAAAAATAGGTCTCCTGATGTTTTCAACTTCAACTTTTAGCATTCTTGACCATCAGGCAGGCTGACAGGGGCTTCTGGGAGTTGGAGTCCAAAGCATCTGGAGATCTACTGCCCATCCCTGCTTTAAATCATAACTGGCAGAATTCTGCAAGGTCTCTCTAGTTTTCATTCGATCCCTTCCTCAGTGCCCCTACTCAAAGATAAGGAATGAAAACATTGGAGAAGTCATGCATTTTATTCGCGCAAGGGGCAACAAGCTGTCTGTGGAAAATCCAGATGCAGAACACTAATGCAAGACTTAGCCTCCTGCCCATATTCCCTTGTAACTGTCTCTGATACTGAAGGTAGTATGTACCCATGAGGATAGCTTTATTGATAGTCTTTTTTCCATTAATTTGCCTGATCCCCTTTTAAAGCTATTGAGATTGGTGGTCACCCTATGCAGTTAATTCCATAGTGGGTGGAGGTACTTTTATCTAACACCAATCGGCTTCCTGCAGTGACCCTGGGTTCTAGTATTACAAAAGAGAAGTCTCCCTAGCCACTTACTATACCATGCATAATTGTTTACACCTCTATCATGTTTCCCCTTCTTACCTTTTTCCCTAAGTTAAACAATCTGAGATGTTATAACTCTTCTTCACAGGAGAATCACTGCAGCACCTTGATAATATTAGTTACCACTTTCCAGTTCCACAGTATCTTTTTTCTTAGGCCTAGTGATTAGAAATACATAAAGTATTCCAAGTGTGGTCACACCATACATTTGTGTAAAGGCAGTGTGTAATTAGCCGTTTTATTTTCAGTTCCTTGTCTAATTATGCCTACACTGACTTTGCCTTTTTCACAGCTGCTGCACTGGGTTGAGGTTTTCAATGAGCTGTCTACCACAATCCTTAATTCTGTGTCTTGGTCAGTTGCAGATTCAAATCCAATCAGCTTATACTTGAAGTTTGCTTTTGTTTGTCCCAGAATGCATTCAATTGATGCCCATTCTCACATTCTGGAGAAACCTTTGGAAGCTCCCCATGATCCTTTCTGGTAACTACCCTAAATAATTTGGTCTCATCACCAAAACTGGCTGTTTCACTGCTCACTCCTAATTCCAATAAACTGAAAACCATTTGACCCAATACAGATCCCTGTGGGATTCCATTGTTTATATTCCTTCACTGGGAGAAGTAATCATTCATTTTTGCTCCTTGCTTTCTGTTCCTTATCAATTCTGATCCATTAGAGCCTTCGATGAGGGAATTTGTCAGAAATCTTTGGAAGTCCAACGAAGCAATCTTTACTACATTATACCTGTCACATATTTACTGATACTCTCAAAGATGTCTGAAATGTTGGAGAAGTAGGACCTAGAATCAGTGTGGCTTCAGTAAAACTTTTTCAGCAGGTCTTATCTTTCTGTATGCTTTCTAATTTCATCTATAATGCTTTTAACCAGTTAACCCAGAACAGACATTAAGGTAACGTGCCTGTAATTTATCATGAATTTTTTATTTTAAATTGGTGTTACATTGGCCATTCACCAATCTTCTGGTGCAGAGGTTCAGGGACATGTTACATATTCTTGTTAGAAGATCAAAAATTTTACATTATAGTTCTTTAAGAACTCTAAAATGGATACCATCTAGGCTTTGTGATTTACCAGCTTTCAGTTCATTAATTAGTTTGAGAACTTTGTCTTTTGTCACTACTATCAGCCTCAATGCCTCTGACTCCTTTTCTAAAAATCCCAGTTTAAGTACAGGTATCTGCCCTGTATTTCTGCAGTGATGGCATATGAAAATGATTCATTCAGTTTCTCTGAAATAGCCTTATCCTCCTTACGTACTCCTATAACTCCTTAGTCATTCAGTGGTCCAGCCACCTCCCTGGTGGATTTCCTGCTTATGATATATTTAAATAAGTATTTATTGTTGGCTTTGATGTTGTTATTAATAGTAATATTATGAGCTTTTAAATGCTTCTTTATATGTATTATTGATCTCCTTTGTGTGCACCAATGCATTCTTTTTTTTTTCCTTGTTTGGACAAGATTTTATTTTTCTGATTTCAGTTGGTCTGTTTTAAGTATGTCTAAGTCTGGATCCAACACTATCTGTAAAATATAGTTCACATTTTAACTGTCTTAATGGGCCAGTGCTGTTAACATATCAGAAGTATTTTATAAATGTAATTCTTGTTAAAATAGAAATAAAAGGGAAAAATAAACATTTCAGGCCCTAGTGTTCCATGACACAGTTTGGAAAGGATATATAGGTTTCTTTTATTCCCCTTTTTGCATTTGCTTTTCTGTCACTCATAATGTAGGAGCAGATCGGACATGATTTATTACATGTTACATAGTTTGGTAACATAATTTGCCTAATGGTGGAAGTGCTGTTTATGCTGTTGACTTTTACAACCATGGAGGGAACAATCTGTCTGAAGAGCCAAAAGATACTTCAAGATTCCCAGGTCCAAGTTTGGAGACAGTACTCCAATCTCAAAGGAGGAGGGAATCTGAGCTCCATTCCCCCTCCTTCGCTCCCTCAAAGCTGGCAAAGAAAGGACTGTGCTGGCTGCTTCTGAGGTCAGGCAAGTGCTCTTGGAGAGGGGTAAACAGACCATTTTGGGAGGAAGGGAAGAGACTGGAGAAGCCAGGATATGGGAAAAAACATCCCTCCCCCTTTGAAACACTGTCACAAGATGGACAAAAAACCCTACATAGCAAAAATGTAGGTGGGAAAATGGGAGGTGAAGAACAGCCTTCTTTGCTCCTCTTGCCCTGCATAGGATTCTCAAAAGAGTCTCATAACAGGGTTGTGTCCTAAGTGTTGAAATGAAACTTCTAAAGAATTGCATTAGAATTTTGAATTCTAATTACAAATACAGGGTTCATTGTATTTATTACTATTAAATCCAGTTTCTTTGGAGACTGTGAAGGTTACAGGGTGCTAGGAACTAGGTGAGGCACTTGCAAAGCTAAACATGATGACATACTGAGTCCTTTTATTGCTCAAATCAGTGGGCAGGACTGCCTTGGCTGCTCTTGGAGCAGCCTTCTCTAACAAGATATCCTCCAGGTGTTTTGGACTGCAGTGCCCAGCATCCCTGACCATTGGCTGGAACTTATGAATGTTGAGCCTGTACCCTTCAGATGTTTTGGACCATCACCTCTCCACCTCAGACTTGTTGGTTATTTGGGCAGGTCTTTTTGGTCTAATTGATTTACATGTGAGATTCCCTTCTCTGGCCAAACTCTGGTTAACAGGTGGAGTACCGTATTTTTCCGTCTATAAGATGCCCACATGTATAGGACACCCCCCACTTTTCCTATCGATCTCCAGGGAGCAAGCAGCTGCTGCCCATGCACGCCGCTTTGCTGTCCCCCATCCACACGATCGCCCCCGTGTGTAAGATGCTCCTCCAATTTTATCTAAATGTTTTAAAGAAAAAATAGTGTCTTATACATGGAAAAATACTGTAGATACTCAGCATTTCCATCATGGAAGTGGCAGGGAGAGTTGCCAATAAGAGTTGAGCCTTACCAAAAATAATACATTGTGTTTATTTGGTTAATTGGCTTCCTCTATTCATGGTGCCCCATATTTGTGGGTATATAAAAGTATCTAGTTATCAACAATTGTGCATAACTGAGATCTACATGAAGAGAACAAGGCAGCTGGCCAAACAAACTATAACCCTTGGATTGTGTAATCACATAGTTTTGAATGTCATGATGTGGACTTTGTCTCATATGTTTTTGGAGTTATATTTTTGAAGGCAATCTGCCTATCCACCAACTAGTATACTGAAGGTTTAGTCTATTGATTCCAACATTTAAAGTGCTTTAACAGCACTGTATCTTCCTTGATCTAAAATCCATTTTGCTTTGCCTTCTGTTTTGAAATAGGCTCGGAATGTTAACACAAGTGAACTGGCAGCAATTAAAGTAATAAAATTAGAACCAGGTAAGCATCTTGCTTTTCTAGCTCAAAGTTTTTATTTCATGTACTTTTTCTGGTTGTTTTATTCTTTGTTTTGTTTTTAAGCTGGTCCAGCAAACCAACAGTACTCAGATAATGTTCTTAGTGACTTATTTCCTTCAGTAATTACAAACTATAAGTCTTCCAGAGTGATTTTCTGTTAGCATTGAGATAGTGCCCATATCAAATGAAGACATTGGGCCATTTTGCTTATGGTGACAGTCCATTGATTGAGCAACCCACAGGCTGTCAGGAACAAGTGGAAAAGACTGGATGTACTGCCTACAGAGGTAGATACTTCCACTTCTAATCCACAACTTGCATTTGGTCCACTTATAGGCTACTGATTAAAACCTGGCCATTCAACTGACTGACCATTCAACTATCTAGCAAGGGAGGATAGGAAGGATATTGTAAGGGGCTTTCGAGTAATAAATTGAAAGGAAAGAGTGTTCTTTATTCTCCCTTTGTTTTTAACATCAAAGAGCATTACTGAAATGTTAAGAGAACCCATGGTTTGTTGTTGGGTTATGAACTCTCTGTTGTTTAAACCATGGATAGTTCTTAATGTGAACCCAGGACGCATGGTTGTTCATTGATTGTTTTGGCAGGCTACGGAGCTGGTGAGCAAAAATGGTCAAAACCTCCCAACCACTCTATATGTTGATAGTACAAGTACTGTACAAGGAGGGAAAGAAAACACTCAGAGATTAAGGAAAACAAATCATCTGCTAAATAAATCCTGGGTAGCACAATAATCTATGGATTAACATTATGTGTGAACCAAGTCAGGTTTTAGCCATTCTATAACTTTGTCTTAGGTTTATATAATTCAACTGGACTTTCATTTATATTTGTAATGTTTCTCTTGTCTCCTGTTAGAGATAATTAGATTAACTGCATTGTTTTGTTTCTCGGTTGTAGATAGTATTGTTTTCATTAGTTTAGAGAGAATTAGTGATTTCAGTTTTTATGCATATTTTTGGGCTGCAATCCCACACACTCATTCCTCAGATAAGCTCTGTGGAACACTGTGGAACTTACCTCTGAGTAGATATATATGTAGTGTAGACTAAAAATAGCTACACATGAAAAATAACCAATCAAATCTTAAATGAGGGAAAAAATGAAATTTATTCTGTAGCAGTGGCCAAGCTAATTGTAGGGGATAGATATCACTGTTCAGAAAGCATATATTCTCTCTGGACTTATGTGACTAAAGGTGGGCCAGACAGTGGAAAAGGTTTTTATTAAAAAAAAATGTTCTTCAGATTTCAAGTGATTAAGTGTGCACTCCTATGCATGTTCAGACCAAAAAAGAAAGAAAAGGTTCCACCACTCTTAGCATGGTTGACTGGGAAATGCTGGATATTATAAGAGTTATTTCTGTCTAAATTATTATTATTATTATTATTATTATTATTATTATTATTATTCTAGTATTTCTATGCCGCCCCTTGCCGAAACCTCGGGGCGGCTTACAACATGATAAAATACATTGAAATACAATAGTACATAATAAATTACCATTAAATATAACAATACAAAAAATACATTGATTTACAAATACAAAATTAAAATTATCAGTATAAAATAAAAATATAGGAGGAGAAAGAGAAGGAAGAAGAAGTTGCCCTGGCCAGATCATATGTTTTAACAATTGAAATGATGTTTAAATAAAAAGGTCTTTACCTGGCGCCGAAAAACCAGTAACGACGGTGCCAGGCGGACCTCTTTGGGGAGTGAATTCCATAGGTTGGGCGCCACCGCAGAGAAAGCCCTCCTCCGGGTACTTACTCTCCTAATTTCTTTCATGGAGGGTTCCCGGAGAAGGGACTCTCCCGCAGATCTCAAAGGGCGGTCGGGCATATACGGACGTAAGCGCTCGTTCAGGTAGCCAGGACCCAAGCCGTTTAGGGCTTTGTAGGTCATAATCAACACCTTGAATTGGGCCCGGGCTTCAATGGGAAGCCAGTGGAGCTGACGGAGGACTGGAGTCATGTGAGCATAACGCCCCGTCCCCGTCAGCAACCTGGCAGCTCTATTTTGCACTAATTGAAGTGTTCGGACTGTCTTCAGGGGAAGCCCCACGTAAAGCGCGTTACAGAAGTCTAGGCGGGAAGTCACCAGCGCGTGTGTCACTGTCGCCAGGCAGTCGTACTCCAGGTAGGGGCGCAGCTGATTAATCAGCCGAAGCTGAAGGAAGGCGTTCCTCGCCACCGCTGTCACCTGAGCTTCCAAAGAAAGCTCCGGGTCGAGGAGTACTCCTAAGCTGCGGACCTTATCCCTAAGAGGGAGTGTTGCACCATTCAGGACCAGGTCAAATCCACCCTCTCCGAAACCCGATCCGCCAACCAACAGGACCTCCGTCTTGTCTGGGTTGAGTTTCAGTTTATTGGCCCTCAACCATTCCCTTACCTCGGTCAAGCACCGGTTCAGCACAGCCACTGCCTCATCTGGGTTAGTGGAGAATGAGAGGTAAAGCTGGGTATCATCAGCGTATTGATGATTCCGCAGCCCACACCTCCTGATGACCTCTCCCAGCGGTTTCATATAGATGTTAAATAGCAGAGGGGATAGAATGGAGCCCTGTGGTACCCCATGGCATAGCTGCCATGACGTAAATGTGCATAGTGTTATAACTTTAAATAAATTTCTAGACTGTTGTTATCTTAATTACCAGTAGAAGTCTTTATTCTGGGTTTTAAAATAAAATAAAATAAAAAATAATGAAAAAGATGTTGCAGTGGAAGGATTGGAAAAATTTAACCATCTGTTAGCAAGACGGGCCAAGAAAAGAGAGTAATATTCACTAGCATTTTCTCTGGCTTGTATGCTCCAAAGTCTTAACTGGAAGGTCACACTATAAAGAAATTGTGAGTTCTATTTAAGTAGATGATCTAAGCAGGAAAGTAGCAGTAGGTAACATTTTGGCTATATTTCAAGGACCTTTGTAAGTTACAGAACACCTAGAGACTAGCACACTAAGGGTACAGAGGAAGGAGCAAAGGGATAAACTTCCTTCTACAGTGTAGTTTGTGCCAAGCCAAACATACAAGGAGGCTACATGCTTTTGAAATGGAACCAGAAACTGGGATATTGGGAATAGTATGAGCTGTGCATCCTTGGAACATGGAACTAGACCAATGTAAGTTCCCACAACATACTGGATTTTGCAGATATTTCTTCATTGCTTTTTCTTTTTTCTTTTTTTTCTATTTTTGAGGTCCCTCAATCTGTTTACATGTAGGGTAAATATAAATAGAGTGGTATATAAATATTGTAAATGAATAATGAATAAAGTAAATGTTTAACAGCTATAGAGAAAAGCTTGTAAAGCATGTGAGCAGTGGTGTCTGGATAAACATGAGAATTGAGTGAATCTCTGCAAGGCTTCTAGTAATTACACATGTGGTATTTCAGTGTTCATCATAGGTGCTGTTTTCTGGTCTCTGCTCCTGCTGTGTCATTCCCAATATGTGTATATTCTGTGCTATCCTTGCCAAAAATTCTGCCCCTTTTGGAAATCAGAATCTTGAAAGCAATATAGACGGTGCCTTGTAAGGTTGCACAAATGAACCCATCTTGCATAATTCTGATAGATGTTGACTTCAGCTTCCCAACAAACAGCAAAATAATGTATGCTACATGCCTATAGGTATGTTTTTGTGTAATGTCTGTTTAGCAAATAGTTGCATGTATAGCATCCCTCTGAGAGGAATCAGGTGTCATATTCCACACAGAGTTGCTGCCCAAAATAGAAAACTCACATTTGCTTCTCCCTGTCCATGTGAATTTTAGGTAGTTGACATCTGTAGTGTTTCCCTGGTGGCAGCACAGGGAATTACAGTATTACAGGATAAGGGAAAAGTATGTTGTGTTTTATGTTATGCAAGTCTGATTTGGGTATGAAAGCCCTTTGAACAAGTGAACCTTTGGATTTAAATGCCAGTCTAGCTCAGCCCAATAATACTGCATGTTAACCAAGGCTGAGGATTGTTTAATATAAAGAAAAATCTAAATGACGGTGGTGATTGTGATTTATTAGGGGCACAGTCTTATTGAAAGTGTCCCAGCAGCTTGGCAGCCCCTGAATGAAGAGACCTTCGAGATTCCTATACCCTGCTGGGCTGCTAGTGGCAGGGCAAAAGGAGCAAGGAAGGAGATAATGGCCCCTCTTCTTCCATTATTTTCACTAGATTTTTTTAGGCCATCAGGCGCTTCAGAGGAGGAGGGAGGGAGGTTCAGGATAAATTGTATCCTGGCTTTTTCAGTCTCCTCCTCAGAGAGGCAACTGAGGTCGTAAGGGAGCAAGGTTTGGATTTCTGTCTGAAATTCGAGCACTGTCTTCAGTTTTGGAGGAGTTTTCAGGGGATTTATCTATTATATTTTTACATTGCCCATCAGCTCAAAGGCTTCCTGGGCAGTTTACACAATCAAAATACAGTAATAAATATAAAACAGTCATTATAAAATCATAAAATGCAATAATTAATACACTGCAATAATTACAATATTATAATCAATTCATCAGCTCAATCAATTGTAGAGGTACATTATAATATAAAAATAAGAATAAATGTCTAACTATTAAAATACTGGGTAAAAAGGGGTTTGTCTGGTGTCAAAAAGAACATCAAAATGGATGCCAGACACATCTCTTTAGGGAGCTGATTCCACAGATTGGTGGTACAGCTGAAAAGGCCCTTCACCTAGTAGCCACCTTCCTTGTTTCCTTTGGGGGGCACTCTTTGAGAAGGACCTCTGCTGATTATTTCAGGGCTCATGTAAGCACATACGGAAGGGGACATTCCTTCAGAACCCTGCCCCCAAACCATAGGGCTTGAAAGTGTTAGTATTAGCAATTTGAATCAGGCCTGGACTTCCATCAGCAACCTGTGTAATTGGTAGAGGACTGGTGCGATGTGTGTGTTCCTGCCAGTCTCCTCACTGCTCTGTTTTGAATCAGTTGACCTCCTTCTTGTTTGGCTTGACTCAGTTGAGTCTATTACTAGGCCCAGGCACTGATTTAGAACAGCTGCAGCCTCACCTGGATTAGATGAAAAAGAGGTAAAGCTGAGTGTCATCTGCATATTGGTGACACTTCAGCCCATACCTCTAGATCATGGGTCCTCAAACTACGGCCTGCTGGCTGGATCCGGTCCACCATGGCCATTTATCTGGCCCGTCATAGCTCGCCACGCTTCCGCGCACACATGCGGTGAGACGCCGGCTTGCTCACAAGGAGATTGTTTTTGACTCGTTGGGAGAAAATGATCTCGGCTCACACATGTCCTTGCCTTGCTGTGCACGCGGTGCACCCCCCACCCACACCGCCTTGGTGGCCCATACCCATCGCTGGCACCTTTCAACTGGCCCCCTATTCCAAAAGTTTGAGGACCCCTGCTCTAGATGACCTCTCCCAGCAGTTTCATGTAGATGTTAGAGGGCATGGGGGATAAAATAGAGCCCTGTGGCACTTCATGGTATACCTGCCATGGCACAGAGCAAGAATCCCCATTAGCACCCTCTGGAATTGGGATGTTCTACCAGGGACTATAGGATTGTTTTTTAATTCTGTATGTTACTTTCCTCAGTGAAAAGCAGCCGGAAAGCAACTCACATATACAAATACAGAAATCCATAAGTAATAGAATGAGAGAAAAACAAAGCAATATAAATAAGGATCAGCACAATACAAATAAAATTAGCATAATAAAACAATCCAAAACAATATAACAAAGTGTTCATTAACATTACGCAAATCTTCTCCCTGCCTCACAGCCTAGAAGGGGCATAACACAAGTAGCCCATAACAAGCGGACTATAAGCCCAAGTGCTTGGGAGAGTAAGTATGTCCTTGCCTGGAAGAGCAAAAATGAGGTTAGTACCAGACTATCTTCCATGGTAGGAGTGTTCCATAAATGTAGAACCATCACAGAAAAGGCCCAAGTTTCTCTTGTAGGTGGTGCACAGTAAGGGCCTTTGAAGCAAACTTCAGAGTCTGGATAGGTTCATTCAGGGAGAGGCAGTCATTTCTTGGGGTCACAACATATGTAGAAGAAGAAAAATAAAATGAAAGAAATGCTATTATATAACTTTAATATAGCGCATTTGAACTGCTTCACACTTAACGCTTCTTGTTAATCTTTGCAACATTCTTGTAAAGTAGGCCAGTATCACCCCATTACTGAATTACTAAAAGAAGAAGTGCTCTCTTTTCTAGGTGAAGATTTTGCTGTTGTGCAGCAGGAAATCATTATGATGAAAGACTGTAAGCATCCCAACATTGTTGCTTATTTTGGCAGCTATCTCAGGTATAATTTTTATGGTGTATTTTTTAATCTAAGAATTAGTCACCATTTAAAATAGTAAATGACCCTGGATGGGGGTGGGTAGAGTTGGGACCTGAGGAGTACCAGCTTTTAATCATCTGTGGCATCCTGCACTCCTTAGGGAGGGCAGCCTGTTTCCTCACTCATAACAAATCACTTCAGACTCATTGGCTGTTCCTGCCCAAGCATCTACACTGGGCAATTTAACTCTTGTTCTTGAAAATATGTAGGCAGACTTTCATCCCACCCCCGCTAACACTGTTTATTCGCTTTATTTTCAAACCTGGTGCCCTCCAAGTGTATTAGATTGCAAGTTCCATAGTTCTCAGGAAGTATGTCCAAGGACCATGCTTCAGGCACAGTGGATATTTGTCCCCTGGCATCAAGAAGGACAGGAAAAGAATACAGTCCAAGTGGAAGAGCCAGATGGATTCTTATAGTCTGAGAATTCAGATGAGCCTTTCAGTTGGTGATCAAGTAATTAATTCATCAGTCATGCTGACTAATCAATCCCTCAGTTAAAGAAATCCCTCTTGGTGCCTTCTCGGAAGTATGTTTTAGACTGAGGCATTCTCCTCTAGCATTTTCTCCTTATGCTCAGGATGCCACCCCTTCTTCCAGGAGGGCTTCTTGACCAAACAAGCAGGTGAAGCTCTTCCTGCCATTGCATGGTAGTGCTGAGAGAAAAGCCTCTTTTGCCAAATTTCCACATTTCCACTGCTGCTAAAAGCGCAGGAATCCTGGCCAGGGAGGGTGGGGGGGGGGTGGAATTGTCAATCTCACCTGACAGTCACATTTCAATTTCATTTTCTGACTGTTTGGAAATCACTTGTTTCCTCATGGATTGAGAATATCTTCACTGTTTCAGTATGAGTTTAGCATATTACATCTCTCAGCATTTTTGTCTTAATTCATTAGCTTTCATGTTCTACTAAAGTCATTAATTTGTTGAGGAATTATTAGACTGGACCTCAGTACAAAATGGAACATTAAAGTAGTATTGGATGTGGTGCAGCTTCTAAGGTGACCAGGTGCAAAGGGCCCCTGTGTCTCTAATAATTGTATACAAGAGAGAATTCTGGCAGGTACAGGTTTGGCACAAAGGAGTAAAAGAAGCTGCATCCTGCTTCACAATTATTAAACATATAATAGCTCCACCTTCCTTGCTCCTGATCACCCTAGAGATTTCTGTTCTAAATGGACAGAAATATTTGCACACTTGATCCATAAGTGACACTAGAATTTCTCCCCTTAAATATATTATTTGGAATTTTTTTAGGCATGTAAATATATTTCTGACACTGATGCTATTTATTTATTTATTTATTTATTTATATGTTTAATGATAGCCCATTATGGGTTCAATGTGGGTTCTTATTGAATCATCGTTTGACATTGCTTGCAGACTGTACACTGTGGTTTGATGGTGGGTTGTTAATGAACAAAGTTGACAACCTAACAACAAACCATGAGTTCTCTTCCAGGGTTGTTTGCCCATAGTTAATCCATAGTGCAGGTTTTGTACCAAATGATAACCCACATTTCATGTGAACCAGGCTATCTTTTTGAACTCCATCTGAGAATATTTTCCTTTGAGAAGTTTTTTTGAGCTTTAATTTTTTAATTGAAATTCATTGATTTATTAAAGCTCACATCTTAAAATTCACTTTCATTGGTGCTCACTCACATAAATGTAATCCATAAGCTTACCTGGAACTCATTTCTGTATTAAATGAGGATCATCGTTTTTAAAAAAAATTCTGCTTAATTAAAAAAGGCAGCTTCAGGAAACTGGTTTGAAGGTTTCTTATAAACCCAAATTCCAGTTCATATGCTGCAGCAAGCTGAGATTCAAGGAAACAAAGGAAATGTAGCTGCCAGGTGGAAGACAAGAAGGGGGAACATGTTGATCCAAGCCCCATGCAGGTGGATTCCAGTTTCTGCATGTAGCAGTAAATACGGCTTAGCACTAAATGTGAACACAGACATTGAGTGAATTATTAGTATTCTGATGACATAAATTCTTTTCATTTCAACATCATAAATTTCTTTCTTGACAGAACATTGCTATTAATAAAATAGTGTATTTATCTTGTCCCACAGTGAATCCCAGGTTAAGTTAAGAGCTTTGCATGATGTAATATTAAGCATCAATTCAATGTTGAATTAAAATTTTCAGGTTTCTAATGTGAACTTCTTTGGCTTAACTGCTAGGTAGAATCATCTTGAAAATTTTTGTTTCATGACTTTGTGATCAGGAAGGAACAGCAACATTTCCTAAAATAGCAGGACAAATATGATGACCCATATGTTGTTGGTGCCATACAAAAATAATAAAGTGACCAGAAAACTGAGAAGCAGCCTGACTTGTTAGAACATTCATTAAAATTTTTGAAGTGACTTTTATCTGTTTACATGGTGTAATAAATGTTTAATGTTATGTATCTCAGCTTCTGCATTTTGGCAGTGTTTTAATCATGCAGATGTATTTTATACTACCTTATGTGATTTTTTAAAAATCTATTTTAGATGTTTTTCCTGCTGCCTATTCTGAAAGTTCTGGGTGGTTTACATCACATTAAAACTAGAAGTATAGAACTTGATTTTAAAACCCTAAGAGAAAATCCAGCGGAGCATAAAATACCAATGAATCCCAGGCCTGGCCACCAAATTGCCAGCCCAAACAAAATGTAGTAGTATTATTTCCTTCTGCAAGACTTCTGAGCAAAAAATTCCTTCAGTGATTAAGAACACTTTGGTATATGTTCTTGATGCACACTTCAAGTGATCATAAGAACACTTTGCTGGTTTTGGAGTTTGCAGCAGGAGATAAAAGAGAAGGAAGTGCGTAGGGCAAAGGGTAGTTTGTATAAAAGGCAGGCTTCTGCCCCCAAAAGATGAATACATTCAAGAAACAGGCAATGGTTTTCATCCAAAAAGTATAGCAAATTGGTCATTGCTGACATTTAAGACTGTATCCATTGTTTTTTTAGTATGCAAAGCTAATAAAGACCTATCCTTTTATAGACGTGACAAACTGTGGATCTGCATGGAGTTCTGTGGTGGTGGTTCCTTGCAGGATATTTACCATGGTAAGTTACAGGGAGAGATAATGTTCTTTGTTGTGACTCTTTGTCTCAGCAATGTGATGTTGGACACAGGAAAGCTTGTTTTGAAGCCTAGGGCGAATCTACACAGTGTACCAATTATAGCCCATAGGGACCAGGAAATAACAAGCCAAGCCTTTTGGCAATAATAAGAATCTTCACTGACTACAATAACTGCTCAAGATGTGCCTTTCTTCCTTAATTATTTTTCTGAGTGCTACTTTGTTTTGTTTCCAGCACTAGTAATTGTGAGTTTGTGGGTGGTTCTAATGTGAGGGTAAATGTATGTAAAAGTTTTGTAGGAAGGAGATTAGAGTGCAGATAGGTTTCCTCCGAACTTTGACTTCACCTGTAGATAAGGAACCGACGCTCATATTGGATCACTGAACGTTTTTAGTCACATGCCACTGTTTCCCTAAATAAAAGGAGCAAATAAAGTGAGTTGACATTCTGTCCATCTTGTTTTAATGTTTGTTTTTTTAGTACTCATTTCTAAAAGGATACAGTGATTTTACCTACAGTTATGTCCTGTGGCTCTTAGCAAAATATAATGTTACTTTATGTATGTATTTTATATACTACCTTTATATAATGAAATCTGACACTAACGTATCTTACAAATAATTCCCACTAATAGTAACTCAGCTGATGAGTGTCAGTCAAAATGGAGCCAAAACAGGGCCACTGAAAAGCAAGAGGGTGTTATCAGCCTGCTCAGACTAATCTTGAGGTTTGCCAATGTACCCAAAAATATCTAAAAGGGGGAGCAATCCTGCTAGAAACAATCATGTTTTTGTTGCTAAGTACCCTATGGAAAAGAAAAATGAGAGAGAAGAGTAGAATGCTACCTAACAGTAAAATAAACAGCGTGATAAAATAACAATATATATGCTTAGAATTTCAGCATTTTAATTGTCTCAGTTGTAATTATTATTTTCAAGACTATTATAAAAGCACCTTACGTGTAAACAATTTAAAAAATAAGCCAGTTAAAATAAATACAAAATAGCGTTCCGTGCACCTTGGTGTTTAGTCATGCCAGCCACATGACCACGGAGACTGTCTGCGGACAAACACTGGCTCCCTCGGCTAGGAAACGGAGATGAGCACCGCCCCCTAGAGTCAGGCATGACTGGACTTAATGTCAAGGGGAAACCTTTACCTTTTATTGTACAGTGCAGTTCAAACATACAGGGGCAATAAATACAATTAAATGTTTTCAATTCAAAGCCAGAAAAAACAGAAATGGTTTTAAAGCCCTCTTAAAAGTAGCTGCAGAAAGAATCAGCTATGTGTCATTTTGGGAAGCCTTTCTGTAAGGCTAGGCTTTTATTGTATAATAGGCTTTGGGAAAAGTTAACCTCATTATTGGGGGATACAAGAAGTGACAGGGATGAAGGTATTACTGTAGACTGACAGCATTGACCATGGTGTCCTTGTGGACTGTCTGTGGAAATTAGGGGCACCATTTTACAGTGGTTCAGCTCTTCCTTATAGGAATATTTTCATACAAGGTGAGTATGGCTTGGCTTCCACACAGCTGAACTTTGGGGTGCCACAGATCTTCACCAATGTTTTTCGACATCTACATGAAGCCTTTGGGAGCAGTCAGTAGGAAATTGGGGGCCAAGTGGCTATAATGTCTGAGTCATGAGAGTTCATGCAAGTCCTGAACTGTTGCCTGGGTGCAGTTATGGGATGTGTTCTAAAACCACAATATAAGACGGAGCTTCATGTATCCCTATCAGACCACTTAGATCTTCAGCGGAGGCCCTCCTTTGTGACCCTCACCCCCATGAAGTGAGCAGGGAATTGGCAAGAGAAAGGGCCTTCTCTGTTACCACATCTCATATTTGGAACTCTCTTCCTAAAGAGGTGTGACTGGCACCCTCATTCTGTTTTCGCCACCAAAGACTTTTAAATTTAGTACCTGCGTTTAGAATTGTGATCTTATTTGCTTTTTGCTGCTGGTTTTATTGTTGTTCATATTATCCTCCTGTTTCACATCTTGTATTAGTTGATTTTATGCTGCTTTAGATGCTGTTGTTTTATTTTATTGCAGTTATGTTAGGTTGTTGCTTTTGTTTTTTGTGAGCCACCCAGAGAGCCCCCTGGCTACAGGGCAGCATACAAATACAATGAATGAATGAATGAATGAATGAATGAATGAATGAATGAATATGGGTGGGGAGTTCCCAGGTCTGGAAATATTTACCTCTTCTAGATAGGGTTGCATTCCCATACTTTGGGGGTGCTCCTAGATCCATCGTTGTCACTGGAGGCCCAGGTGGTCTAAGTGGCTTTGGTTCGTGTAACAATTATGACTAGGGATAGCTTATCCACTGTAATAGAAACTCTGAAGGAACTGAAGAGATCCACAGCTGAGATGGGAAAAACCATCAATGGGAGAACTACCTTAAGCATTTCAGAAAGGTGGGATTTATGGAAGACTATCAAGAAGAAAGCCATTACTTGAAACAAAGCCATATAAGTGTTCTTTTGCAGTTTGCAGAAAGATTTGGGAGTCAGGGCAAACAAATGGAAAAAGGTTCTCTGGTATGATGAGACCAAAAATGGGAACTTTGGGCCTTGTTGCAAAATTCTGTGTGTGGTGTGAAGCCAGCGCTGTTCATTGCCTTGAGGAGACCAGCACCATGGTGAAACATGGTAGTGGCAGCATCGTGCTGGGCTGATGCTTTTCCTCACCAGGGACTGGTCAGGATTCAGGGATGGATGGATAGAAGGATGGAGCCAGAAACAGGACAATTTTAGAAGAAAATCTATTTCAGTCTGCAAGGTATCCCCGGGACAGCAGTGGAAGTTCATCATACACAAAACGCACAGCCAAAGTAACCCTAAGGTGGCTAAAAAATAAGAACCTGAAATGTCTTAGAATGGCCCAGACCTCAGTCTGATTGAGAATCTGTGGCAAGGCTTGAAAGTTGCTTTTGAGTCCCTCTCTAACATAATATTGCTGGAGTAGTTTTGCCAGGGCAAACGTTGCAGGATCCAGATGTGCAAAGCTGATAGAGACTCGCCCAAGAAGGCTTTCAACAGTAAATGCTGCTAGTGGGTGAATATTTATGCAACCATAGATATTCTAGTTTGTTTTTTAACATTCATGCCGCAGTAAAAATATTTTGCACCTTCATGGTGTTGTGTATTCTGTGTACCTCAGGCGTAACAATTCAGTTCCAGGTAGCAATAAAATGTGGAAAAGTTCAAGGGAAGTGGGTACTTCTGTAGGGCAGACTCTATGAGATGTACCCTGTGACTCTTGGCTGTATTTCGGCAGACACAATGCTGTATAATCTGATTGTGTTAGTTGCTGTGGCGTTTGGCTGTTGCTGGGTTACAAAGCAGTTTCCGTGCTATAGCTCTTGCCGATCTCCTCCTGTAATTCTTCTGGACTGCACTTTTCCGCTTGTATCAGTCGAAAAGAATTGCAGATGCAAAGTTGGGTTTTTTAAAAAAAACGATAGTGTGCCCTTCTGATACTCAGGCTGTTACCACTACTTATGCCTGACAAAAGGAATTCTTAACTTGTGCAAGCTTGTGTGTGGTTTTTTAGGCCTAGTCATTCTTGCGTTATTTATTAAAAGCAGTGATTGATGTTCTTGTGTTGGTGCCACCTGTGTGTTAGGAAATGATCTTATTTTTACGTGTGTGGCTAAACAGATGTCGGCAGCTAATGCTTTCCTGTCACTACTGATTTTGGCTACAAATCTGCTTTTTTAACATTTCTGTCTCCTAATTAATTTCCAAGCTGTTTCTCATACCAGGCCAGTGTCAACAATTAGATTTGCTAGTAGTAAAATCCAAAAGATTTCAGTGTGCTTTCTTCTCTTGCTGCAGCCAAATTCTTAAGGAGTTTAGATGTTATTACTGCACATGCTAATTGTGCATAGAATTCAGCTCATCTGACTATAATTCTCTACAAAAAAGAAACATGGTTGAGTGGACTTTAGATGCAAAGACTGAGCTCATTTTACTTGAGTCCTAAAGGACACTATAGACTTGTGTGTCTTCCAGTGTGACTTCTGGAAACCCTCCAAACTCAGAGGCGTGCAGGCATGATTCCAATGGAGGATGGGAGGAGCAACGAGGCAAGGATTCCTCATTTCCCAGTGGAGCTTCACTTCTCTGCTCCCTGTCCCCAAGAACCCCACTCCTGCCCCCAGTGCCGGCATCAAAGTTACATTTGTGATTTTGGAGCTGCAGTATGTGTGGAGAGAGCTGTGTCAGCTGTGAGGGTGCTTTGAATTCAGAATCTTAATTATGACTTTGGAAAACTTTTTTCCTGTTAGAGCTTGGGCTCTAAATTTTCCTGTGCCCGTCTACACAGTGCTTGGTGGCCATAGGAAGGTTTTTAAAAAGTAGATAGCCTTCCTTGCCACCCCATCCTGCCAGATCAATAGTTTTTTACCATTTAGTTGTAAAATTAAAGTCTTATTTATAAGTTTTTGAGGAACCAAGAAACCTTTTTTAAGGATTAAAAGAATAAAGAATGTACTAGTCTAATATAAAGAAGGGAATAATGAAAATGAATAATTAAGTAAATATAGTAATTGATTATATTGTAGTCATAATAAATACCGCAAATACTAAATTAATACTTAATATTCTTAAGACATGAAAAGGGAGCCAATGATGCCTCTTGAAAACTACCAATAGAACAAAGAGGGGTTTGAGGCCAGGTTCTTTTTAAAGGCAAGAAGGGAGAAACAAAGGCACATAAGAAGATAATTTCACTCTTGGAACTCACCACAGTGAATATGGTTATTGAATGGTATCTTAGTCCTTTGGAGCATCACTCTGAATCCCAGCCTGAATTTCTTGACTTTCTGATACAGTGTAAAGGAGGCATATTTCCACTGTAATTCCCAGAACACTCTGGGTGCATGTGAGAGAGGATTAGAGTGACATTTAATTGAGGTGTTCAAGTTTAACAATGAAAAATGTAATGAACATTCCAATTAATCTTTCTGTGGGGATGGGGCTGTTCTCTTCCAGTTACTGGACCTCTCTCAGAACAGCAGATAGCATACGTTAGCAGAGAAACACTACAGGTAATAAAAATCTTATATTGTTACCTTTTAGTATAGAAATAATCAGGAGGAAAAACTTATGACACTGGGTATATGTGGTGGCTGCCCCTCAATTATGGAACAGGCTCCCCAAAGAAATTTGCCTGGTGCCAGCCTTGTTCTCATTTCAGCACCAGGCAAAGACATTTCTTTTCTCTGAATTCTTCAGAACTGATTTGAAAATTGTTATTTGTTATGAGACCTGTTATCTCCTACTTGATGTAATTATGATATTTTATTATAAATTTTTATTGTGATTTTATATAACTGGTTTTATTGTCATGTTTTTAGTATTTTAGCGTACGCCACTTAGAGAATCCTTTTGGATTAATGGGCTCTATACAAATTTAAAAATAAATTTATTGGATAAATAAAGGTTGAAATTGTGTAAATCACACTATGTTGATCTTCTGGGTTACAACATTTGTTCATCCTTTTCCTAAAAAGTAAAGCCCCTTTCTGCTCTTTATTAGCAATTCAGTGCGTGTGTGTGTGTGTGTGTGCGCGCGCGCATGCGCACGTGCACGTGCACACACGCATATTAAAAATAATAAAACTAGAAACCCAGTGCTACAGTTTATACATTTGTCCATCCATACATTTGTTTTGGCTTACGGTGCTGCAAAGAGAAGCACCTGTCTTGTTGATTACATTTATATGCTGCCTCATAGCCTAAACGGCTTTCTGGGCGGCTTACAATAAAAACAGGAACACCAGCAATAAAAATGTCAGTAAAAGAATAAAATCTATCAAAACAACACAAGATATGGCACACAAGGTGAAAAAGGTCACAACAAAGCACACAAGCAATAAACTTTAGAGCAATGTTAAAAACCAGTTCAGCTTCTAAAATCTAATAGGCTTTTCTCTGTTGAATACAACATACATGAATGCACAGATACAATAAATTTTTTCTGACAGGTTTTTTTTTAAATTGTAGGGATTATATTATCTTCACAGTAAAGGAAAAATGCACAGAGACATAAAGGTAGGACTATTCTTTAATATTTTTCCTTGAAGTGTTTGGAATCCCCAAATTTAAATGTTACGTCTTCATAAAATAAAACAGTAGACCATTTTATGTCTAGAAGGCTTTTAAAATTTGGAATAATACAAACATGACTTTTATAAAAAAGTCGGGGGTTTATATATTAAATGTTAGGAGTGGTGATGTTTTTTAAACAGGTGTACTGATGATCTTATAATGGAGCTTTTATTTCTCTGGGAATACCTGTACAATTATTGCACTTTGGCAACTGATGTATAAATGCTCTTTAAGTGGAGGAAGGTATTAGATGGGATCTAGAACACCTTTTAATTCTAGTCCTTTGCACTGTCAATCATGCTATTTTAAAGGGTTCCTGAACCACAGGAACTGCATTGGGAGAGGATTGGAAAGGGGATTGGAAAGCCTTGTGCTCCATGCTTTGTGGATCCAGTTTGAAGGAAGTACCATTCCTCGTATCCCTGAGCTTGGGGTATTGGCACAGACAGATAGATCTAGGTCATGATTTCTTTTTTGTCTTTATCAACTGCACACTGTCCTTTCATATTTGAAGTGTGTATTTTTGCTACCTCAGTTTGCTCTCAAGTTCCCTGGGTACTGAGCATGGTTTTGTTGAGCATCTGCCTTAGTTATGACTTGTTGTCTGTTAATTAAGCAAATTAACTAGTTTTGTGTAAAAGTATTTGGTCTATTCTATTTTCCCAAAGGAAAAGTTCTGAACAGTGTTAAATTTTTCAGATTTGGAGTATGTTTTTAATGTGGTTTGGTGTTCAGTCTGAACAGGTTTTTTAGAACTTCTACATAGGATAAGTACTTATGTCACTTGATGCAGTATGTGTCGTCTCCCCCCCGCCCCCGGTCCCCCTGGTTTATTTGGCTTCTGGCTTTGTTAGTGGATAGATGTATAAGACCGCTGCCCTTTGAAATCTTAGTTTGCACTTAAGGACCTGTGCACCATTATTTATTTATTAAAACATTTTTATGCCGCCCCATTCGCCGAAGCCTCGGGGCGGCTTACAACAATAAATTAAAACCACATGACACTACTGATTTCTTAAGGAGTGGTTTGTGGGATCATGGCCCTCCCCATTCCTCTCTTATTCAAATTTCCCAGTACACTTTAACCATACACAAGTATTAAACCAACATGGATAATGCTGATGAATAGTTCCTCATAGCCAAGAATAGAGTCTGGTTAGGAAATACTTAGTTCTAGCCCTGGTTGGTTGTTATTACCAATTAAACACTTTACAGTAAATAAGATTGCCAGGGATGAAATGTGGGGAGAAAGCAAAGTGTGAATCTGTCTGCAGCCTCCTCCTGATCTAATCATCACAATTAAGAGATTGCTTGTGTTATCTCTACACCAGTCCATAATCTTCTCAGAATTATATTAGACAGTGAGGTAAATTGCTCAGGAAATTGGCTTCAGTCCAAAGGTGTCCTGGTGTGATCAAAAGACACTTTTGCTCAGAGAGGTAAGTGTCCCTGACTTTGTGGATTTCCCAGTTTCTGCTACAGCCCTCTGCACCATATCTACTCCATAATTGTGGAAGTAAGGAAGATGAAAACGAATTTGAAAATAAGTAGCTGATATTTTAGGTTGAAACTGGAAACATCTGTTTTATAATAGTAAGAAATAGCTTAATTAATAATGAAGTAGAATCCAGACAGAATGGAGGCGCTTGCTTTTAAAGATTTGTTCCAGGATTAAAGGTATGTGGACCAGTCCTAGGTGGAGTAACATTCCTCCTAAAAGACAGTGTTTCAGAGGGTGCTGCTTGATCTGGCCCTTCAGATGTCAGCATAGAAAGAAGCCATGGTCAAGAGTACGTGCTACCAGCTTCGGCTGATTCACCAACTGTGTTTCTCCCTGGGGGAGAATGAACTGAAAACAGTGTTGCATGCACTGGTAACCTCTAGGATTGATTTGATTGATTGATCTAGATCAGTGTCAGCTACTAAGAGGATTTTCTCAACGGTCTTCCCTAAGCTGTGGAATGGCTTGCCAGGCTAGATGCATGTGATAACCCAGATGGCTGCCTTCAAGAGGGAGCTAAAGATGTATCTCTTCCACCAGGCCTTCCAGATTATTAATATTTAATATGCTTGTTTTTAGTCTAAATTTGAATTATTGTTACTTTCAAACTTTTGTAAAAATGTCCGGAGCCTATGGGAATGGGGCAGTATATAAAAATGAAGGTAAAATATTAAGTCATCTGCATAATCCATCAATTAGTGTATTCCGTAAAATGATCTAAAATTAGTTCATATCAAGTTATCTAAAACATTTTGTAAAGCATTCCCTCCTGAATAGTGTAAATCATACAGTATTTAGTTGTAAAGTAACATAGTTTCATAGTCAGGTTTATGCCATTGTATAGGAAATATATGATGAAATATCAGGATCTGTCAAACCTCAAGAATTATTTTGGAAGGAAGATAAAGTGGGAAGAAGAAGGAAGTATAGCCTCCACTTCACAAGCCAGCCTTCCCCAAATGACTGTCCTCTTAGAAGTCATGGAGCAAAGCATCTGAAAGGCACTAATTTGCAAGCCTTTGTTTTTTGTCCAGAAAGTGCATTATTTTCCTTCTTTGTCAGCAACATTCTTTTTAAAGGGGTATTTGTGATGGCAATGTCCAAAATACTGTTGCATTGGCAAAGACAAGGGAAGGCCTGGTGCATTGTTTTATGACTATCCTTTTTCACATTTATGTGACAGAACAGTAATCTAGTCAAGCGAAAGTCACATTGTCTGCAGGCAGGCCTGCCAAGGCCACATCCTGAGTAGGTCCAGATACCCCCCCCCCAACACATTAATTGATTGCATATCATTGCAGCTAGCCAATCATTTTGCTCTTCGTTTCTTTTCCTCCGGTGCTGCCACAGTTTATTTGCTGATTGCTCCTGAATTCTCCTTTCCCCAGCCACCTTCCAGGTTATGAGTGGCAGCTCTTCTGACTCTCCACCTCAGAAAGCCTCCTCTAGTAGCACAGGTCACAGCATCTAGTCCACAGCTAAGCAGCAAAGCAAGGGTTCCTGCTGCAAATAGAGGGAGGGTGAATTGAAAATGGTTGGGAGCCACTGGTGATCCTTGGGGTTTGCAGTGAACACTGTTGCTATGGTGTGATATTTCACAATGACTATACATTCTCATCAAAATACCCTTTATGAACAATTTGTTCTAACTTTTCTTGATTATAAGGGTAGGTCATTCCGTAATTAATATCTCGAGATTTGTAAGGTTGGCTCATGTGGCTATTACCATCCTTGTTTTTTGTATATGGTTGTACACACAGCATTATAGTAAAGTTCAATTTCTTAAGAATCTAATTTATACTGTTAATTTATATTATTTTAACAAAGTTTTTATGTCTGTGAGCTGCCCCAAGGCTTCGGCGAATGGGGCGGCATAGAAGTTTACTAAATAAATAAATTAATAAATTCTTAAAAGAATGTAATTGTAGTGTCTGTTGATATTTATATAGGAGCCAAAAGAACATGCAATCTAAGTAGTTTTTTGTTCTGTTTTTGTTTTGTTCAAAGGGAGCAAATATTCTTCTCACTGATAATGGTCATGTGAAATTAGGTGAGTATTTCCATGCATGTTCATTTCTATAAGCTAAATGTTGACATGTGTTGTGAAAACATCAAAAAGGTTGAGCAGATCATCATCATATTGTTGTTCTCATAGCTGGTGAAAGAATAAGGTTTATGGCTGCAATTCACAGAAATTGTATGCGTACATGGCAAGTGCTTGCCTTTTTACTGCAATAACGTCTCCAAATCATCAACTGGGTGCTTGTTCAGCTTTTAAAAAATTACTCATATCTTCAGCCAGCAGAACAGCTGAGCTGAAAATTGGAAAGCTGTGTAACTTCTTTGGTGGATTATGACCAATGCTTTTGCATTCTGTACAACTTGAATGAACTTCTGTGAAGGGTCTGACTGCTGCCAAAAGTCATTAAAAGAACATGGCTTAGGCATCCCATTGAACAAGAAGGCAATTATATTGGAGTTCATGATTAATAGTTTAATGTATGGCCCTTATTTTGACAAAAGTGCAATTTCTTACACTTTGTTGGAGGATAGTATGCATAGAGGGAATATGAAACTAATAATACAAAGGCTTCCAAATAATTGTGCTGGCCAGTTAATAACATTCTTGATTCTGTTAAACTGTGTCAGTTCTGTTTACCATGAATAGGTGAAAATGATTCCATCAGTTATTATTTTCAATTTTCTTTTATAGCTGATTTTGGAGTAGCAGCACAAATAACAGCAACAATTGCCAAAAGGAAATCATTCATTGGGACACCATATTGGTAATTGTCCTTTATTCATTCATTCATTAATACTGTAGCACTTGCTATATTATGAAACATACAGGGGGCTGTAGCCACTGTCAAGTGAACAGATTTCCTCTTCTTCCTTCTACTGAACAACTCTCAGATCTGTTCTAGAAGGTACCCCAACCCTCTCAAGCTGATTGGAGCAATGTTTGGGGTGCTACAAGAGGAGGGTGAACATGTTCTACCAGCTCTATCTGTTCCCCTAGTGGATCCACACCCATTGGGTACAACTCAAAGTGATACATGCCCAAAGCTGAACCTCCTCTTGAAATGTGAGGGAACCGCCAGGTATACAGAAACACCTGCTGGTCTGGGAGGGCAGAAGGACATAGGAAGCTGCCTAATATGGAATCAGACCAAAAGTTCATCTAGCTCCATATTGCCAACACAGACAGACAGCAACTCTTCAGGATTTCACTCAGGTTTCCTTCCAAGCCCTATCTGAAGATGCTGGTAATGGAACTTGGGACTTTTTGCATGCAAAGCATGTACTGTGCCCCTGAAAGTGTGGCCCTTTCCCTCAAGAACTATCAGTGTCCCGATTCCTGTCTTCCTGTGCACTTTCATTTGAACAGTTTTGGACAGCAGGCGCTCAAGCTGGATTATGTTTCAGTTCTTAAGTGACTTTCATCGAGGCTTTCTCAGGCTTAGTTATACATACAATAATTGGGGCAAAGTTAGGGTTGTCCATTATACGGATGAAAAACTTCCTTGCCTGCTTTTATGCCCTCAGCAGCCCAGACTTAGCAATGTTACACGTGAAGGTGGAAAGGCAGTTGCAGTGTGTGTCTTAATTAAAAGTGTGGGGTGCAACAAAAAGATTAATGCATTACATTAAGTCTGTATGATCGTTCAGATTTAGCAATGTGAATGCATTTTTCAAAACAGCTTTCTCTTATTTTCAGGATGGCCCCTGAAGTTGCTGCAGTTGAACGGAAAGGTGGATACAATCAGCTTTGTGATCTATGGGCTGTTGGAATAACTGCTATAGAACTAGCAGAGCTTCAGCCTCCAATGTTTGATTTGCATCCAATGAGGTTGGTGGAATGCTTAGGGCATAATTTAAACACCCATAATACAAAGTTACCATTAAACAAATGGTATGACTTGCAGATGTTTCTTATGACCCATTTATCAGAACATGCCATGCTAATCATGAGCTAAGTAGCTTGGGGCACATGCCAGGCGAATTTTAATTTTTTTGAATTTTAATTTTTTTATTAGTTTTACAATCTAAAATACAACTAAACAGGAGTTAGAAGGAGCTTCATTTTGCAGCTAAAATAAAACCACATAACGTTAAATGTGCAATTAAAATACATCTTAAAAATACTGTATACCCCACCACCAGTACCATACGATACATATTACAGAGAGAAACACTCATTCAAAAATTATTTCAGGACATTTCCCCCTTCCAAAATTGCAATGATTCCTTTAATGGGTCAAATCCTTTCTCTTTTTTAAACACACATTCAATAAAATGCTCCCCAAATCTTGTTAAACTTATTTTTCTTTATATGCCCTTTTCTCATTTTAATATCACAGGTTAATTTACCATTAATAGCTATATTCCAAACTTCTCTATTCCAATCACACAATTGATAATCGTATCTTACATCCAGATTCCTAGCTATGATTAATCTCGCAGTACTTATTAAATTTGTTATCAATTCTTTATTATTTCAACTCTTCTTTTTAATCAAATATTGAAAGTAATGCATATTTCACTCTTTAAACTTAATATTTTACTATTTTTAAAAATCTCTTTCTAAAATTCCATTATATATTCATATTCCCACCACATATGAAAATATGGATGCACTCTATGGCCACACGAACATAGATTGGAATATTCATTATCTATATTGCTATTTTGAATAGCAAAACCCAGGGTGGTTGTGGCATGTCTCCTGAACCTGGCCATCAGGGGTTATGCAAGGGAAACAATATTTGCATAACCTTATAATAAGCTAAGCACTGTTTAATTCCCACACAATCTCCAGTACCTGGATTCAGATGACACAACACAGCCCAGCAGGATTTTGCTCATTCAAAATGGTGCTCCATAGACATAGCTCATCATGGGTTGAATAAACTATGGTGATTCCAGCATGTTGTAGAAAAAGGTTCAGTAAGAATATACTAACCACAAGATACAGAACCTTCATGCAGCTTTGCACCCTCCTTTATCCATTGAACAGGTGGCCTATATTTTCAGCTTTGACGATTATTTGTGATGAGGAGAGGAAGAAGAAGACAAGGAAATGGTGTTCAGTAGTAACTAAAGAATTCCTGTAACATCTTGGTGGCTGCTATTCCCTGGGTCCTTGCATGTAATAGACTCCTTCTGGATGTATCCTGTGTGCCAGGAGTTTGGGAGCAGAGCTGCCAACAAAAAGCTGTTGGCAATATGCCAGAGGCTTTGTCTGTTACCAAAGGCAGGCTTGCATTGCTTTCAAGAGACCGCATGCCATATTGTAGATAATGGAAGCAAGAGTTGCTTTTGTGAATTAACAGGAGCTGCTGCATACGCAATTTCACCAACAGAGGTTGTGGTGTTGCATCTGTTGTCTGTACCCAGTCTTTAGGTTTCAGATAAGTATAGCCGCTCTAGCCAACGAAGGCTTTCTCAGCATTTCCTCCCCCAACCCCCGAATAAGCATAGATTGCTACCACCTCTATTTTTTTGATGAAAATCAGTTAATATTTTTCTTTGCTTTTTGTTATTTAAGGCAGGAGTGGAAAGACGACTTCTCTAGATGTCTAAGACTTCAGCTCCCAGAAGTCCTCCCCCTCAACATGGCCAATGGTCAGGAATGCTGGGATTTGAAGTCTGAAATGTCTGGAGTTCTGTTTTCTGCTCATGACCCAAAGTGCCACAGGCTGTTAGGGGTTTTTTTTAACCTTTCCTCCACTGAAGACAAATTTAATGTTACTCCTTCAGGGTGTAAAGTAATGACATAGATTTTTGAGAATCATGATTATTCTTGCTTTCCAGAGCACTCTTTTTAATGACAAAAAGCAACTTTCAACCTCCCAAGCTAAAAGACAAAATGAAATGGTAAGTACCTTGTCAATATAGCTGCATTGTATTGAAGACTTTGTTTGTGGAATAACTCTTTAAAGTCTGCATTTTCATTTTATAGGTCAAATAGTTTCCATCACTTTGTGAAAATGGCACTCACAAAGAATCCTAAAAAAAGACCAACAGCTGAAAAACTATTACAGGTATAACTTTTAATCATTTTGCATACTGTTTTAAACTTCATCTGTTTCCATTGTCATGTGTGAGGAAAGCTTCCATAAGCTGATGGTGGAGGGGTGGTGTTCATTAGTTAGCTGAGGCTTACCATGTTTTGGATGTCAAGTTGCTTCAATATTGATATGGTGCTGAGGCCCTACGGAATGCCTCTTATTTTTGTTTCCCACATAGGCCAAATGAGATAATGTCATGTATGCTGCTTCTCCTTTCCTTTAGTTTGCTTGTCCCTTTGCTCTGGGAGGTGAGCACTACCAGCTGAACCTTGTCTTTGCTAAACATGGGATGGCATAAATTGTTTTCCCTATTGGCTTAAGGGGGGTTGGTGAGAATCTTTTGAGAATTCTCCATTTGTAGTGACATTTCAAATTCCAATGCAAGTTTCATTCACTTACTCTCCTGTTGTATTTTGTATTTCTAGCATCCTTTTGTTATCCAGCCCTTAAATCGAACCCTTGCTATTGAGCTTTTGGATAAAATGAATAATCCTGATCATTCCACCTACCATGATTTTGATGATGATGATCCTGAGGTAAGACTTCTCCTTGGGTATAACAATAAACTTTTGCAGTTAAACATTCTGGTATGCGGGGGGGGGGGTATTATCCATTATCTTTGGAATGGCGCTCAAAGCCCTTTGTAAACATTTTAAAGCAACCATATAAGGTAGGCCAATATTGTTATTGAAGTCAGAACTTGGCTCAGTTACAAGTTAGCTTCTGGTCTCCTTAGGCAAGTTATTCTTGCTCAACCTGAGTCCTCACTTCCATCTGTGGCATCCAATATGCAAAATATTGTGTAAAGGTGTGTTTAAGTAGCATGTTTAGCATATTTGTAGTCATTTATTAAAATGCACTTTTCATAATAACCTTTTTTCGTAGCCTCTTCTTGTGCCTCATAGAATTCACTCAACAAGCAGGAATGTCAGAGAAGAAAAAACACGTTCTGAAATAAACTGTAAGTACGTACACATATTTTAAAACTAATTATGAGTATACTTTCCATTTTCATACATGTGTTAGTGGTTCATATTAGGACATTGCTATCCATCCTAGATTAAGCATCCTACACTAATTACAAAATAGTAGTCATGTGGAACAGCAGCAATTCCAGTCTCATGAAAATGTTGCTTAGAGTCAGGGGACCTGCTGAATAGGGTGGGCTGCGATGTGTGGGGGGATCGCCAACATTCAGGTTGACATACCTCTTTGAACAGAGCTCTGCTCACATGTGCCACCTCCTTGCTGTTTTGGAGGATCCCCTGCACCACAGCCTATCCAATTCAGAGGGTCCCCAACCCCCTGAATAGCTTTTAGGGGCCTGGTGAGGGCAGGGAAGAATCCTTCAGCCAGCCCAATTGCACTTGCTCAAATTGTAGTAATTATCAAATAGATGTCTATTTTTTATTTTAAAACACTTAATTGAAGTCTTTCTCCCAACAATATCAGGATAGTAAAGAGATTTTCACAGGAATAGGAGAGTTAGCCTTTATCAGATCTGTCCATTTTAAAGATCCCTTTTCCACGGATCTGTTGGGTTTTTTGTTTGTTTTTGTTTTGGAAAGAATTATTGAAGCTGAAGACTATTTCATGTCATCTTGACCACAGAATTTTTGAAAAGAGTGATACAACTATTTCTACATAAGCTCGTGTTGGCTGGGTATAGTGGTAGTTTCAGTCTGACACTTATGAAGGATGCCCTGTTAAGCAAGGCTGATTTAAAGATGGAAAGCAGGCAGTAAGGATGATATCACATAATCTGGATTTACAAAATACTACAAGCCCCAATGTGATTTGTTGGTGAAACATGGGTGGTTATGTCGGTTTTTCTGTATTGTGTGAATGTAGCTACTCTAACAAGTGGAGTTCAACCACTCTAACAACATGGTTGGTTCCCATGAACAATCCAAACTGCCCCAATCCTTACTCTGGCTTGACGTGTTACATGAAGTAGGTCATTTTGTCTTAAGTTGTCCCCTTACAAATTTAACCTACTTTGTCCTTACTCTTCTTTACCTTTATTCATTTTCTTCACTAGTTGGCCAAGTAAAATTTGATCCACCTTTGAAAAAAGAGACAGAGCCTCATCATGAGTTCGTAAGTAGCACAGTTCTGTGTATGTGTTATCATGTACAACCATACTTTGTAGAAGGTGAAAAAGTGTGATCTGCTGCGTAACACAAGAGCAAAAATTCTGCAAAACACAAGTAGATCTGGAAGAAATTCTGCATTAAACATGCTTCTTTAACAACTATTTATCTACATTTTTCTGTTGTTGGTAGTCAGTTTGCTCATGATTTAGGGCCAATATTTTCAGTGATTCAGTAGAACCTCTCCCTACTTTGCTTGGTGCAACAAGGTAGGGAAAACTTACCAGGAGTTTCCATACTCTTCTAGCCATGAAATACAATGGAACAAAGCTTGCACAAATATAACTTAAGGAAGCAAGGACTAGTTTGGAGTCTAAAGGGCCACAAAGTGTATTCATTGTGTAGCCTCCACACCAAATGTATCAGAGAAGTTGATTTTGAAATAGTTTAGGTTTCTTACTTATAACTTTTTTGCTGTATATTGTGCATCATTTTGTTCATGCACCTGCAGCAGTACTGCCTTTCCCTGTAGTTACTTAATAATGGCTTCTCCAATACTTTGTAGTACCAGCTATATCTAAGTTCAGCTATCTCCTTAGCATCAACAGATGGGTGTTAGCAGTTGCGTACTTCTCTGGGTAGAATGTCAAATGAACCTTATACAAGAAACTAAGGTGAAACAGGGCACAAATGATAAACGTGAGGCTACAAAACTAAGCATATAAAGACATAAAGCCTGAATTTGGTAAGTAATATTGCCAAAGAGCAAATATGGTTTTGGTGGCAGTGCAGGGGAAATGGAGGACTTGCTTGTCCTTTCAAGTTCTGTGACAGTTCTGGATCTCATGAAACTCTGTCCCTCAGGGAATTTAAGTCTGAGATACGTGGTACTTCAGTTTTCTTTTCCTAATTTTGTCTTGCTTTTTGCATATGCATTGTTGCCTAATTGCAGCTTCTTTGCTATGACAGAAATCAGCAGTGCTAGGAATGGATAATAAAAAGTTTTTGAGGTCCACTAACTTTCACCTTAACTCTTTGCTTCTTTCCCTCTCTCCAAGAAATAAGCTTGCTGAAGCATGGGAGGCAATGAAGGGAACAGTCTGGTAAAGATTTCAGCTGATGATATTCATTAAAGCACCTGTGGCTCTAAAAGTTTTATGGTAACCGAGAGTAATTAACTACTGGGCCTCCTGCTTTATTCTAACCATTCTTTACAGCCCTCCTTCCTTATCTGCTGTGGGCTGAAACTGAAGGATTAGGTTTTGATGAATGGTAATTACATCCCCTACTACCCTCACAACTTTTAAAGGGACAGGCAGGTTCTTCACACTGTTGGTGGATAATTCTACAGAACTCTTGAACCAGGATATTAGCGACGATGCCTTGCTGTGTGAGATGCCACACTGTCCTGAATCATGATCTCGTGGTATTCCCATTTGGAGAAGTATTTATGTCCCTTTCAAAAGGCATCCCAAGTACTCAGTTATCTTTCAAGGCAGAGTTATATGAAGATGTCTTTTGGAAGAAAGAGCCAGTACTCATCTTCACTTATTTTTTCATTTATTCTGGTGAACAAGCTAGGTTGGTATATTTCTGAAACCAGGTTTTCTGGGGTTTCAGCATCTCTTTGGACACTATCCGGACAATGCATGTGTGCTCTAAGAGCAAATCTTGATTCTTGATGTCTTTCTGATTTATCTTAGTAGATTTGAATTTCTCAGTTATGTTACAGGCCCAGCAGTGGTGGAAATCCTGTAAAGCAAATGTACTGTTAGTTTTTTGTTGCTCAGCACCTTTTCATGCCTAGATTGATATTCTGTTGCATTTCTTCTTTGAATTTTATTCTCAAAATAGGAGTTTTTTCCCTTGCTTCATGATAACGATGGTAGAATATTACTAGGGAATGGGTCGTAGATCTTAAGAGTGGTCAACTCTAGATAATTTAATAATGAAACTAACATCTCTTTCTTAATTATCATACTGAATTCAAACTGATTTCCACTGTCCCACCACCATCCACATGTTGACAGATTCTAAATGTATGGCCTTGTTTCGCATTTTGCCCCACATTTCCTTCGTTCCAAATGCTTGTTTCCCTTATTTGCATGATGGTGTGTTTTTCTTAGCCTTTGTAGTTCCTCAGATCCAGAACTAGATCTTAGAGGAGGAAGGTGGCACATGGGAAGAATCATCCACACATGCTTCCCTCCCCATTTAAAGTACATGCCTCCTTCCAGCCCAGATGATTGGCACTGGGAAATGCTGTGGGGAGGTGCAGTGGGATCTGAATGCATAAGGAAGGGAAGTTTAAATTTCTGCATCTCTGCACACTGAAGGGGTGGTGTCTGGGGGCCATGTGTGTGTAACTCCTGATCCCTCGGTGCACACAAGGGCAAAAAGGTTGTCCACCCCTCGCTTGACCCTTGCCAGTGCTGACTAGCAGTGGCTCTCCTTGGTTTCGGACTAGAGTCTTTCCCAGTCCTACCTTAGTGGTGCTGGAGATTTAACCTAACTTCTTCTACATGCAAGGCATGCACTTTTGCAGTGAGCTGCGCTAGCTTAGGGAGAACGGAGATGGATAAAAAAAGACAGCCTGCCTGTGCCTGTTAACCGATAAATAGGCTTATGTGGTTATAAAACGCCAGTACAAAACTCTGGCAAGGAAGAAAGAAATGAGAAATTGATGAAGGCTTGCTCAAGAATGGTGAGGGACAAAACTTAAAATGGGACCAGCATGCTATTCTGGTTTTACCTTAGCTCCTAGTTCTCGTGTGCTTATGAGTGTAGAAGCGTAATCATCACAAGGCTCCATCCTGCATCACATGGGGGACTTTCTTCTCATGTAGTGGGACTGAATCTTCATCCCTCCCTCCAACGCATTCCCACAGATCTATCCTAGAGGATCTCCCAGCCCTCTAGAGCTGATTTGGAGTATGTACAGGAGATATCCTGACACAAATGTGTTTTCCGCTATCAGATGGACATCACTGGATACAGACTGCTCATTTGCATATGTTGTTCTGCATTGTTCCTAATCTGCAGTGGCCTTGTTTTATATATGCAGATATTTTAATTCATGAAGGCTTTGTTCTTAAGCACTTTTGCTTTAAAATCTTCATTTTTGAGGGGCATATTTCAGTTCTTTATACTATTCCATTGTTGCTTTCTACCATCAAGTCATCTCCCCCTTACGGTGATGCCATGAATGAATGCCCTTCAGAAGTAATACCCTCCTTGACTGCCTTGCTCAGCTTTTGTAGATTCATGGCTGTGGCTTCCTTTTTTGGAGTCAATTCATCTCATATTTGGTCTTGTTTTTCTTCTGCTTTTGACTTTCCGTAGCATAATTGGCTTCTCCACCAGTGAGTCTTGCCCTCTCATGATAAACCCAAAGTACCCCAGCTAGAGTTTTCTCATTTTTGCTTCCATTTCTATTCTTCCTGAGATATTGACATAATTCTTCATATGTCATCCTCCCTCTGTTATTGGTCATCTGTTCTCAATCTGTGTTCTTCATAGTGGTGTAGCATGGCCCTCAAGGCTACACTTCTCAAAATCCCCATGCAAGTGTATATGCAGGATTTTCAGTTGTGTGTACATTTGATGCACATTATATTCTAATCTGACCTTGTCACAAGCATCAAAAGTACCTCTTGCATGATAGTTACATGTAAACTACTCGTTAATTAACCTTACATATGGGGGCCTTCAATTTATTGAAAGTCCTTAAATTGCTTTGCTTTTCACTGAAAATATTCCCTCTGGCTATTACCATGAGTAATCATTTGAATTTGTTACCATTTTATTATTCTTTTGCAAACCAGTGATCTTGAATGTTTTATAATGTCTCCATTAATATTTTCCTTTGAGGGGATGCAAAAGCTGAGATTGGATTCTGTTAGGTTCTCTGAGGAGACTATGTATAGGCTGCTAAAATACCTTTTGATTTTCTAATGTGTGTGTGTGTTTGGGACACTGTCCCACCTTATTCAGTAGAACTTACTTCTGAACAAGGGTGCTTAGAACCACAACTTTAACATAGTTTTTGCTCTTGCTGTACCAGTAAGACGTGATCTTAAGTAGGTATATGGTATAGTAGTGCAGTTGCACTGCCAATCTGAAAGAACTACTGCAATAATTTATTTGCCCATCTTTCCACTTTGCTCACACACAGTGTCTTATAATCTTAGTGAGTTGGATGCAGGTAAATTTGTATACTTGAGACGGTCCAAGGGGTTGCTTAACTTCTCAGAAGGAGTTTATACTAGGCTAGTGGAAATTTCTTTTTCTTTTTACAGTCAGCTTTCTTGCAAACTTAAATGTAACTTGATTTGCAAGAGAGGGGCACCCTTTGAGGGAAAAAAGGCACCTCTCCCTGCTTCTTTGGATTTATGGAACTAGATTTGCTGTTCTTTGGGTCCTGGCCCAAGTGAGCTGGAAAGGCATAATGTTAACATTTGTCCCAACACTTAATTGTCAGTAATATGGGAGAGTTGGACATACTCTAGTCTGAAACCTACTTGAAACCAATTTGCTTTAAAGTAAACATGTTTGTAGTTGTGGAATGTTCTGATTTCACCATTCAGACCGTAAGCCATCCTGTACTCAAAGTCCTGTGAAACTTCAAGGACTTATGTTTATTCAGTAGTTGTGTATTTTGCATACATTTTTTAAAATCTGTGAAAGATACAATAGAGGAATGGAATCTGATTTCCCTTTCCTCAGGTCCACTATTAATAAAATGTGTGTAATGCTTTCCACCATGAAAAGCAGTCACAAAGCAACTTATACTCAGATTACAGAAATCCATTATTAATATAATGTCAGGGTGCAGAGATCAATATAATTTGTCATTGGCACAATAATGCAAGTAAAGATAAATACCATAAAATATAATATAAAATCTACATACCCTGTTTCTCCAAAAAAAAGACCTAACCGGAAAATAAGCCCTAGTATGATTTTTTTCAGGATGCTTATAATATAAGCCCTACCGCAAAAATAAGCCCCAGTTAAGATTGTCAGCCAGATGGATGCATTTAGTATGTCCATTGCAACACAGTTCGGGGTTTGGAGAGTTATGATGATGTTCCAGAAGAAGATGGCATGACTGTATTTGAATAAATGTAGATTTTTATACATGAAAAAATAAGACATCACCTGAAAATATGCCATAGTGCATCTTTTGAAGCAAAAATAATATTACATCAATATTATTAATATAATATAAATATAATATAAGGGAAACATGGTATATTGTATCAACAGATACACAGAATTTATGTATTTCATCTACAAATATTCAAGATCCCCATCCCTCAGCAGCCTAGAATAAACATAGAAAAGGCAATCCAGAACACTTGGGCTATAACTAATATTCAGATGCACGGAACAAGTACATCCTTACCTGACACAAAAAATGATAGTGTTGACAAGCTTCCTTGGGCAGACTATTCCACAAACATGGGACTATATTACAAAGGTTTGTTCTCTAACTGACATCTCTCAAAGTTTCTTTTGGAGGGCTTATTCAGAAAAGGTCTTTGATGCTGACTTCAGGGGCTGGGTAGGTTCATATGGTAAGGGGGTCTTCCTTGATGTATTGGGGTCCTGAGCCATGTTTTGGTAAAAGCAGTGCTTTGAATTTGGGTTAGAAATAAATCTCAGATTTGCTGCATTCACAAAAGGCTATTGAAACTTCCATTTTAAATTAATGTATAGAACAAGAGGGAAAGAAATATAAATTAATATTTAATATAATTTGAAAGAAAGTCCTTTTGTCTGCCCTTAAGTAACCATGTGTGTCTTTCTAAAGACTACTAATTCAGCTGCTGTGTTGTGTAAGCTTTTACACTGTCCTGCAAAAATGTCCCTTTGTACTTAGATGTCTTTCAGTCTGAAAGTAATTAACTTGAGTTTCTGGTCTTTGTCTGATGAACAGCCCGACAGTAACGATTTTTTGGACAGTTCAGAAGAAATATACTACACTGCAAGACCTAATCTGGTATTTTCAACTATTGCTTTTTTTGTTGTATGTGCGTGTGTCTTTTATTTTCCAAAGTTAAATGGTTTTGTTTGGTTGTCATGCTGTTCTTGCCATCTGTAGAATATGCCAAAGGTCTACTAAACAAAGACTTGAGTAATAAAGTTACTTGTTTAATTAAGCATCTTAGTGTTGCCTTTTGACATGCTAAAATTTCTCATAATGAGTTCTATACTCTCACAGTTGCTATACTAAAACTAGTTTATAGGACCAGAAAACGGTTACCTGGAGTAGAAAATGTAATAATGAGATACTTGAGCATATATATAACTAATAATGACTGCTTTGAGAGGAGGAATTGGCAAGAATAAGGGCCTTCTCTGTTATCACACCTCATCTTTTTATCAAACATTTCTTTTGCTTACTGTAGATCTCAGTTCCCATTTAGGTGCAAGTTGTTGACTTTCTCAGTGGCACACTAATTTCTTTTTCAAGAATTTACCGGTATATAGTCCCAATAATTCTGGCTTGAATTCAGACTTTGCTCCTGCAACTGGGAGCATCTCTGGAGTTCATCTCTGAGGATGCTTCCATGATCAGAAAGGAGAGAAGGCAACATTTACTTTTGTGTCTCTAGCTTTCTCTGTGCCCCTCAAAAAATTGAGTCTAGAGGGGCATTCTATAATAATGGGGGAGAGTGGATTGGAAAAAACTACTTCCAACAGGATCCTTTCACTTGATCAAAAACCTCCTGTGGGTGGAATAGATATTTCTGTTTGCAGAAGCTTACATTTGGATCCAACTCTTTGTCTCCAGGTAGTTCTGTTGAATGGTGACTTCCGATTTGTTCTGTGATTTTGTGTTCTGATTTGTTCAGATCTAAATTCCATAAACATTTCCCAAGGCACTCCTGTAACATTAAACCAGAACAAGTTTCTTTGAAGAGTATTATATTCTTTCTGCCTCTATATTATTTGAAGAATGTATCAGTTGTGATTTCTCTGCTCAGTAAGCAAACAGAAGACCACTTAATGTGTTGATATATTTAATGGGCATCTGCACTGAACAAAGCATACTGTGCGTCATTTGTTTTTACAAACATCAGCTTTCTTATTAGGAAGTTTATACTTGACTTTCTGCCAGAGTTATTTCAGCATTGTAAATACAGCTATAGAAAAATGTGAAGAAAAAGCTTTTGAAAATCTTTTTGATAATCTTTTCTTTGGCATTGGCAGTGTAGTTTTTAGAAAACTTATCATACTTTCTACATTGGGAAGGATGGTGTCAGTGGCCTTGTACAAACCTCCGTCACCCCTGGATTTACCCATAGTCAGATTGATACCCACGGCCAGCACAGGCCATCATCTTCCTTCTCCTTCCCTGATCCCCTCTTAGTAAGCAGAAACAAGTGAACTTGGAGGTAACACATGTTAAGAGCATTGATTGTCCTTGATGGCACGATTAGAAATTGGGTTCTGTCTCAGAGAATCAAAGATCCTGTGATTGTCTAAATACAAAGTCTCTCGATTTACTCAGTGATCTGGTTCTCATAGCACAGTCAATTCCTGCCTTCTCCCACTCACCACTTGTGTTTTCAATCAACAGGCCAAGAATGCCGTTAATGAATATGATTTCCTAACATTATGTGCTAGTTTTCTAGGTTTGGATATCACAAAACATCTCAGGAATGTTGCATTCCTGAATAATTAACTGACAATACAAGCAGACAGGAGACAATGCATTCATATGTTTCTGCTGCCCTGCCAGTTGCAGGATTGCAGAAGCCATGGAATTGGTCATGAACTAGGCCAGTGGTGGCGAACCTATACTGCACGTGCCACAGAGGGCACGCAGAACCCTCTCTGTCAGCACACGAGCCAAGTCACCCCAGCATTTCCCCAGCAGCCGAACATCGGATAACAGCGTACATAGGGGCCATGCACATGCTCAGAAAGGAGTAGTGGTGCATGGTGATGACATCACAAGCCACGACTCATTAGCTGCAACTCGTCCGAGCTTTCGCATGGCCCATCAGTGCACTGCCAAGGAGGGGGGGGGGAGAGAGAGAGAGAGAGAGAGAGAGAGATGCTTGGACTGGCTGTGAGTTGTCTTTTCTAAACTAAAACCTCAGTTTTCAGGTTTTATTGTAGTGTTGGCACTTTGCAATAAATGCGTGGGTTTTGGGTTGCAGTTTGGGCACTTGGTCTCTAAAAGGTTCGCCATCACTGAACTAGGCCATTGCCTGAAAAAGCAAGTAAATGAGCCCAAGGCCCACTCTGACTCACACTGAAGAAGCAAAATAGTGTCTGGACAGGTCTAGTTGTTACATAAAACTTCGGAGCACCTGTTATCTTTGAGGCAGGGCAGGCACCAAGCATGGAATAGAACAACAAATAATCTTTTTTGCAAAATGTCCATATGCTTGGAATTAGTTGTTGTCTGTTTCCTAAGTTTTGGGGGATGCTGATTGAATTTGAATTTCTACCATAATGAGGCCAAGTGCAGACATTACTAAATCTGAGGAAGTGCTAAAAAAAGACAAACCCCCTGACCACTGTTGAGTAATAGGTCTAAAATTTACTACCGAATGTTGCTAAAGAGTGTAGGTATGTCTATTGAATGTAAAATGTGAAGACCTTCTGCGGAACACAGAATTAACTGATTTTGCACACAATCCTATGCTTGCTTAGACAAACAATTCTACAACTTGCAGCATGGCTGACACGGCCATGTTGGGAATTGTAAGCCTTTTTTCTGTTTAAACACACCGGTTTGCACCTTTGCAGTTTGTGTTCAGTGTGGTTTGTACAGCTGCTATTTTTAAAGATTTTTTCATATGTATCACAGACTTTATATGTACCCGAGACTTGTGCTTGGCATATGTATATAAAGCAGCATGAAATTTGTGTTTGGCAATGTCTTAAAATGTTTTGTTTCAATGATCTGTACATGACAAATGACAGAACCAATCTTCCCTAATTATCTGTTAAAGTGCAAGTTGCATGAGGTATAATTTGACCATTTACACAGCAAATTAGTATTAACACAGACTATTATAACATGTAAATTTGCATCTAACAGAACAACAACATTGCTGCTGCTGCTGCTTTTTCAAAATATCAATACAAAATAGATAAAGTGCTTATCTCCAAAGTAATCATAAAGATATTTAAATTTGTTACCATTATAGTCCAAGCCATGTAAAATCAAATCATCTTGTAAACAGGAGTGAACTTATTAAAAAAAACAATGTAGCAATGATTTCTTAAATTTCAAGCTTGATAATAATCTGTGTGCATCTTATTTAACCTTTTCTCTTATATTCGAGCAACATTCCTGGTCCTGAAGCAAAAGCATGCCTTGTCAAGTATGCTTACTGCTTGCACCAAAGCTTTTGTTAGAAGGTTACATGAGAGGACTGGGTTAGAATTAATTAGTTTTATAGCCTAGTTCTGAAAGACGTAGGCTTGACAGCATCATCTGACAACCTCATTCTTTATCCTCACATCACTTATTATAAGTACAGTCTGTGCTAACCAGCAATGGGGAACCATTTAGGACAACTTTTCCTGGGGGAAAATTTTCTTTAAGGCTCTTGCAAAACCTTGAGTATATCTTTTTATCAAAACATCTGGCCTGAATTTCCTACTTCCTTGTTTTTCCACCCCATCAGTTTCTTTTCGTTTACTATCTAGCCTGATGAAGAGTTTCAGAGAACTCAAATATTTACACAGTCTTTCGTGGTGTTTCATTTGGTCCTGATAAAAAGATTGCCCAACTGTGGGTTTTGGGTTCATTTCTCATGGTCCAGGAAGGCTATCTTGGTGGTGGTGGTGGTGGTGGTGGTTGTTGTTTTCTTATCAAATTACGTTCCTTTAAAAAATGTATTTCACTGCAATGTCTTTCATTCCATCATTAACCAGATAATGAGATCTTTCAAAACAGTATACCAATCACTGCCCAAAGTATCTCTCAATATTTCCTGCTAGGATATTAAATACCCTTGCCAGTTTAGGTTTCTTTTGGTTCTTTTCTTTGAATTTCAATTAAGTTGTTCTTTTCATTGTTCCTTTGTCTAAAGTAGCAATGCTTTGTGCAGTAGCATAGTCATGTATTATCTGCATTCAGGTGCTATTGTAGTATATAGTAGCTAATAGGCAACTATAAATTTGGAAGTTCCATGTTTTGGGTGTTGCTTTTACTTAGGTGTCCTAAACTTACGTGTTTCCTTCACTTAGGGGTCCTCAGCTTTTGTCCTCATTTGCAATATAGGAATAATATCTGCTTGTCCTTTATTGGCGTTATTGTAAGGCTTCTAGCAATATATATAAAGCCCTTTGAATCCTCTATAGCAGTTTATATACATATACTAAGTAGAGAAGGAGTATGATAATTCTTAACTTCTCCAAAATTCCTGACAGTGTAGCCTTCCTGAAAATAACCCTTTCATTTTCCATAGTTACAAATACAAAAAATACAAAACAGGGCAACATTAAAGCACCACGTAAAAGCCTTTATAAAACAAAATCCCTCTGTGCTATTATGTGTACAATTATTCAAGTAATATTCAATTATTCAACCATTATTTTCTTCATACTTAAATACATCGAATGCAGCTCAAAGAATCTCTTTTTCGACTTTGTTCAGAAAGTCAGTCTGTAGTTGCCTTAGATGCCCATTGAAAAAGTAGAAGTCTGTCTTGGGGAATTGAATCAGGTCTCTGCATATGACCTAAGCTTTGATATGAAAAGCACAGGATAAGCCCGTAGAGTTCGTTCTTATAAAATGGAATGGATATATTCCGTGGTGATGGAGGAAGACAAAAAGGTGGGAATGTCCTCCAGTATCCCCCTGCAGTCCCCAGAACTACATCAAATACTGCCCCAGAGGTTTGGAGGACCATTCTAAACAGTGTGGAAAGGATTACTGGGGTCCGTAGGGAGGAGGGCAAATTACAAAGAAAGCGCCACCCTCCTGTCTTCTTCCCATTTCCCTTTACTAGGAAAAGGAGTCCTTCTATTCACAGAGTGGCAAGTCTGAATTCAACCCATTTTTTAAATCATTTCCGCCAACATGAAAGGAAAGCTCTTTTTGGTGGTCTCTGTGCATCACACACAGCGTTTTGGCAGGAACTGCTTCCCTACCCCCTGCATTTGATATATATGAGAGGAGTTCCCACCTGTCACCTCAGTTCTTCAACTACTTTTTTTTAGTGTCTCTGGAAGTTCTTTTGAGAGCTTGAACTTTATCTATTTTTCCTCGGAATGTCATTTTATATATCCACTTCGCTTTTTCATTCTATATTCTATCTTTTTTTCTGAACTCTTAACCATGTATTCTTCTTCTGCACAAATAAAACAATGGTTTAAAAAAAACAATTCCCCTTCCCTCACAATCTTTCTCCATACCCACTATATTCTTTTACAAAGCACTTTGGTTCACACATCAAAGAATTTCTTTGTGTATGAAGAGTGAAAGTGAGGAGGGCTCATTTGCCCACCCCCCATGCCTGCTGCATGTTGTGTGATGAGGCTGTATGTGTGGGCAGCACAATCCTTCTGTTGCTTGTGTTCCCTTTTAGGGGAAGTGATGGCATGTGTAGACTATATCACATGTTTTGTTGGAGGAACAGCAGGGACCATGGAAACTTTCGCTCTCACCAACAGTACCAAAGTCCTGTTTGGCTGAATCATTGAACTAGACACGGTTTTAAGTCTATTTCAGAATGGAAGAAGGGCAATCCCAGCTCTGCCTCTGTAAGGGAAAAATGTTTTGTTACCATTACATGCCTAGATATGTATACCCAGAATATACTACAAGTGAAATCCAACATTGCATGAATGCAAGTCCATTTTCCATGATGGGATTTTCTCCTCTAGACCAGTTTTGAGAGCATAGTGGGGGCTTCAGTGGGGCAAGGAATTCCTCCCTCCCTCTTAGTAGGAAAACATGGTTAGATATCACCCTATATAGCCACATTTGATGATGCTGGCTTATGTCATTGCAAATACCTTAATGGTCAGTACTAATGTTCACTCTCAGTATAGTACAATGCAGTGTGAGTTCCTTAAACAGTAAAATATCCCACAGTATTGTCCAGGAAAACGAAGAGCAGGACTTGGTTACTTTGGCTATGCTAGATAGTGGCTTCTATTTGTACCATGTGATGTAATAAATGTTAGTCCTTTTCTACACCGCTGTTTTTGCATGTGCACACACTTGCCATTTGTCTTTTCAGATGCATGTGTTCTAGAAAGATGATTTGAGTATTCTAATCCACATTAAAATTCTGTGCAAGATAAGGCGGTGATGATTTTGCTCCCTTTTAGAAGCTTCACTTTCCAGCACAAATATTTAAAGGGCACCATCCAAAAAATCCTTTTTCAGTGTTAGGCTGAAATGCAGGTTATTTTAAAAGCACATAGTAGTAGTAGCTTAGAAAAAACTTGAAACATGCAAAACAATGCTCAGATATTAATGTATGGACACCAACAGACAGCAGGATAGTAAACTGGCTGTAAACAAAAGGTTAAGCCTTTAAACAATATAAATATAAACCACACCGACAGATGTCACTTTTCATAAAAATATTCCTTTAAGATTTCCAATGTGTGATGACAGATGAAGGGTCTCTTTACATTTTGCAGAGATTTGCTTATTTTCTCTTATTAACTTTTCTGTCACTGCTGTAGATGACATATTTCCACAGTCTACACTTCACAAATTGAGAGAAACATTTTGCCTCTGCCCAGCCATAAGAACTCCAGTTCCCATTTTTATGCACATTTATTTAGTAGGTACAACTGCTGCCGCTCTCTCTGGCCAATATCCAGTATGGTGTGAAGGAATGTCTGCTCACATAGCAGAGTGTCCCCGTTCCCATTAGCCCATCTATCCTCCAGCCTTCCATAGCAGATGTGGGTGGACCACAGCAAGGGAGAGGGAATATCCATCCATGCCATGATGGATGCTGTTTGAATGAATGCCGTGGAGACAGCCTTTGGATAGTTAGAGGCAAGGCTTTCACTTATATTTCATTGATTTGTGTCTACTGCTTGTCATTTAAAAAACTATTTAAATCACATTTGCTTTGTTGGGACCCTTGGTGACTCATGGTAACTCCAGCAGTTATCCTTTTGCAAACTTATGATCATTTAACTTATTGCAATTTAAGTAGATAGCTTCAGCTGCATAGAGTTTTTGTGTATGCAAATCACGAGTATCATACACTTTACTAGATTACATAGAGCTAGATTCACCTTGGTTTTCCCTTCTCATTCAAATGCCTCAAGTCCAAAAAACATTTCTGAAATTCTCAAGTACTACAGCACCCTCCAAAAATTCCTTTTGGAGGAAGAATTGCTTCCCTTCTAATTTAACCCAGCATTGTTTGCAATCTTATCCTTTGCCCATTTTTCAGTAATTTGGGCTGTTTAACCTTCCTTAACCAACCACCTTGGGGAGGGGGAATTTCTTCACATAACTTACTTTTAGGCTTAGAAAAAGAAAACAGGTCATACTGCAGACTTGTTGAGTGATTATTTGACCTTAAAAATTAAAGGGTACAGGTTACTTTGACACAAGATTACTACAGGTATAAGTTATTATCTTTTTCATATTTGTGTAGAATCATAAACCTGGAAAGAGGCCAAAGAAGCTATCTAGTTAAAGCTGCTGCTGTGAGATAGAGGCCACTTCATCCACCCACTCTCTTCCCAGTAGAGAAACCCGTACTTGAATACCTTGACACAGCCTGTGATGGTTGAGAAGTTGGAATGATGCACACAGCTATAGTATGTAGGAAGTAAGAAAGTAGGAAGGCATGAAGGAAAGGGAAATAGTGTTCATACAAAGAGACAGGAATTATGCACGTTATTGATTGGATCTCCTTCCTAAATATTCTGGTTCCTCTTAAATTTGCTGAGATTGCCCATATGCATGTCTCTTATTCTGTTTTCTGCCTGAGCAGGGCAAGTGATCTCCCCTGCACCTCGCCAACACAATCCTGAGGTTTTCAGGATTCTCAAGACCTGTTTCTGTAGTGCAAAGCTAGGATCCCTAGTCTACATTCAGTTATATCCACATAGATTTCTAAGTCATTGTGCATTTTCTGTTCACAGGAGGTGTATTGATAGTAATAGAAGGTTGTCTGAATATGCCCAGATATAATGCAGGTCTTGGGCTGGGTAAAACAATAGCTTTTCAGAGACTTTAGTATGATAGTGCCAGCAGTTCTAGTTGCATAAATGTTCATCTTTCTTTGCACTTCTATAGTCAAACTGGTTTTGTTCCTTTCGGTAACGATTCAGAAAAGAAGAAAAGATGTAGACAACAATTACTGTATTATAACAATTTTCTTCCATCCTTGGTTCCCTGAGGATAGAGGCAGCAGAATGTCTCAGAATGTCTCAGAACCTTGTTCCTTGTGGCACTTACCTTATCTGTGTGGAAATTTGTAGTGCTTCTTTAGGAAAATGTGAGAGTCAGTTATATACAGTGATAGCAAGTCATTTGCTGGAGTTCAGTAACAGGGAAGGACATGCGATGAGAGATCCATTGGTCAATTTATTTATTTATTTTGTTGTTGTTGTTGTTTTAATAGGATTTGCAGCTAGAGTATGGTCAGAGTCCCCAAGGCAGTTACTTCTTGGGTGCAAATAAGTGAGTATTTTTTAGTAACTCAGTTTATTCTTTTTTCTTTTTTGGCAGTGTTTCTAAATGCATTGATTTATTTAATCAGGAATTTTACATTTCTATACAATGAAATCAGTTGTAAAATTAAGCAATTGAAAGAGTGATTGAAAGTGATTGATGACCAGGTATTTTGCAATCAACATTTAGCTGTTGCACATCCATATATGGCTAAGGTATTTTGGATGGTTGTAGGGTAGGTAGAATGTCTGCTTCCTCATATGCATCTGTACCTTAAAATGTGCCTATGTATGTGTATATATACGTGTCTGTGTGTATGTGACCTAGCTTTAATGCCAAGGTTAAATCAAGTGCCTAGTCACTTCCACAGTGATGGAACCCTTTGAGAGAAGCAGTGTTTTGTGAAAAATAGTTTTGTAGAAAAGTATTTTTTGTTGTAATCCAGAAACTTAAGTTAGTTTAGAAGTAGTGTAGGTGTGAGAAAATAGTGCAAGGTCACCCTAAGTTTTACCATTCTTTTTTCTTATGGCCACACATTACATTGTTTTAGAGTGGTTTCATCCTTTGCTAACTATATTTAAGATAAACTACACATGCCCTAGTCTATATAGAGATGATTATCAGGTGCAATAATTAGCATGCTGATATACAGCTGGATACACTTTAATAGTAGTCTGCAATTAGTTTGCTTCAGATCAAAATTGCACTGTTTCTTTTATCTTAAATAACTGATGTAATTTATTGCATGGCTTACATATGTCAAATCATAAAAAGTGTGTCTGATTTTGTGTGCTTCTGCTAAATGTGTCCAGTCCTTGAATTTTGCTTCTATTTTTAAAGGAGCCTTCTAAAATCAGTTGAAGAAGAACTGCATCAGCGGTAATTCTTAACTTTTCTCTTGATTGCAAAATCCTTTTACTTGTGCACAGATGTTTCTTGTATCTCTCTGTCTGATGCTACTTGTTTGGCCACATTCTTGTCAAGCGCTTACAGAGGATCCTTTGCTTGTCTGTCTTGTAATGATAGTTTACTAAATTAAAAACACTTTTTTAAGGACTGCCAAGAACAAATCTTTGATAGCTGTACACAAGTTGACACTTTGGTGTACTGTTTTAACTCCTTAGGGGACATGTTGCACATCTGGATGATGATGAAGAAGTGGACAGTGATGAGTCTAAACAGTAGGTCCTGTTAATCTTAAAATACGTATCTGCTTCTTAGAGCATTGAGGAGAGTTGCTTCTGACAGTCTTCTCTTTATGAACTTTCCCCACTTCAGTATTTATATGGATGGTATCCTCCTTATAGACCGCTTCCTGTTGGGAGGATAAAGCAGCAGTGGGTTCTCCCCTGGCAGCATAGAGGGGAAGCAGGCAGGGGATATCCATTCTGGTATGGAAGTGGAGGAGCAGGCTGAGATGCAAGTATTATCTTCCCAGGAATTAAACGTTCTCACTTAACACCTGCACAGTCATCCATCACAGAATGCAGTCTGTATTGGTACTGCATATGCCCTGGAGAGAAGGGATAACAGATTCAATACGTAACAAAGTCCAAAGAGTTTGGTCTCTATTCTATCCAACCTGGATAGAAGGCCAGCCTTTTCTAAGTCACACACCTGTGGGCTGGTTTTTCATTAACGAATGCATATTTGTGCAAGTATGCATTAGGACTAATGGACACCTGCACTAATGCAAATACCTAGCAATAGAACAAAATCGTCTGTTATTGAGAAGATGTTGAATAGAAGACTTTTGAAAATCTGCAAAACACACGTGAACAGATAATCAAAATCTGTACATCCTTTCTTTGAGACTATAGTACAGAAACACAACGTTCAGCATATGATCCTGTCCTGATTTCATGATGACATTAAAAGTTCCTTTCCAGCTGCCTAAGTGAAGCATTCACTGCTCCTTAACCTAGAACTTGCCACTGGCAAAATCCAGACTGGTAGTTACTTCAATCGAGTGCTACTACCCTAAGTCAGATCCTTTATATTCTGTATCACAATCGGAATACTTTTATTTGTGCTAACTTACTATATGTAAAAGGATATGTCTGAGAGTACTACTTTATTTGGACTCATGTAATACATCCCAAAAAGCTCACTTGTAGGATTGAAACAGCTCCTCAGTAAGACTTGTGTATTGATGTGCATTTCAGTGTGCCACCTAACACTGAATTAGTGCAAGAGTTTTCCCTCCATTTGGAGTAAGCCATAATATTCATATTTTTGACTTATAGTGCATACAAGCAAAAAACACTGTGGTGGCTCAGATCAAGGGTCCATCTACGAGCACAACATTTTTTTTTCACACAGTGATTAACCAGCTGCCCATGGGAAAATCACAAGTAACACGAGTGTAACAGCACCCTCTTGCTCACATTCCCCAGCAACTGGTGCACATATGGCCTTGGTATGCCTAGGTACACTAGTTGTGCACTATGTACATTTAGCACGTCTGTGTTCACAATAGGCATAGTGCAGTCTTATCCCATTGTGTTCAAAGGACTTACTCTCAGAGAAGAGGGTACAGGATTTTAGCCTTACTTCCACTTTATGTTGCTTTCAACAATGTAATTTTAATGCAAGTTAACAAGCCTGTATTTCCAAAACCTCTTATATAGATAGAAATTCTGTATTTACAAAAGACCATAAACATGCTATTATTTAACAGGACACTATTGGGATTTGGAAAAAGACAGTCAAGGAGAGAAAATGTGATTCCCCATCAATATGTAGGGAATCAAGTCAATAATTTAAACCCAAATACTGGGTAAATAAAGTATTTTATACACAATGTTCTTTTTCTGCTGCTATCTGATTATCTAAGGCTGGGCTTTAGAGTAGGCTTTTTCTTTGGGAGACTTAAATTTATTTGGCAATGAATGCATTGGAAACACATGCATTGACAAAATATCTTGATATGGATTTTAATTGGCTATGATCAAGCTGAAATACAAAAGTGAGAAAAGCCAGTATATCTCATACTCTCATAAATATATTCAAATTAATAATGGTACATCATTTTGAAAAGCCTGGCCAGCATGCAGATGTACTCACTTAAGTCTCTTTAATTTTAGTAGGAATTGTGCATATAATGGAATGTGGGGTTGCAGCTGAATGTTCATAGCCTACTTCATAGCCCTCACTTTTAAATGTTGCCATTTTCTTCTGAGAAATCAACCACCCATAATACCAGAAACTAATCTCTCTATCCCTCCAAATGATTGGTGTTTAATCATATTTGATGGGTTTTCTTCAATAGATTTTGGGTTCTTAATTTTGGTATCTTTAAAGCCTGTATGCACTATATTTATTGTAAATTCTAATACACTAAAATTCCAGTATACTAAAAGCACAATCATACGTAAGTTAAGACAGAAAAAAGACCTACAACTCCCAGTGTGCCCCACCCAGGTCTGCTGGATTGTATGCCTTTGTTTTGTCTCAGATTGTATTGGATTTGCCCTAAATCATGCTGTGAACTTAAATATGTGCTGAGTAACTTGTTCACTATATTTGAAATGTACCATAAACAGAGTGGATGCACAGCATTTCTGTATTTTAATAACATGTAACATAATTCAAATGTTAATTATTTCAAAGTTGATCCTAAACTGCAGTAGAGGAGGCATGTTGCATTTACCATCTTATCTGAAAGCCTCGCATTCAAATCTGTGAAATTTGACCTTGGAAGATATCTTGATAAATAGAATTTAAAGTCATGTGGAATATGATGGATTTGCTTTAGTATAATTTGAGATGGAAACTCCCTGGAAAAGACAATCATGCTAGGAAAAAATTGAAGGCAGAAAAAGAAAAGGAAGACCAAATGTAAAATGGATTGACTCCATAAAGGAGCCACAGCCCTGAATCTACAAGAGCTGAGCAGGGCTGTCATAGATAGGGTATTTTGGAGCGCTTTCATCCATAGGATCACTATAAGTCTGAGATGACTTGCTGGCACATAATAACACAATCCAAGATGGCAAGAATTGCAAGACAGGGTCCCCAGGAGTCTCTCAAAATCTATGGGTCTTGGTTCTTATGGTCTCCACCAAAGTGTAGATCACTTAGGATGGTACCTTGCAAACACTGGACATCTTGCTTTTATACAGCATAACTGGATATTTGTAATTAATTCTCAATTTCCATCTTGTAGCTCAACTATGAAGGCAAAAGTGCCACCTCCTTTACCACCAAAGGTAAGAAGGGTGCCATCTTCCTGCAGGAAATGTTCTTTTTGGTTTGATTCATCCATAACAATCTTGGTCAGATAAGTAATGATTCATTGGACCAAGAATGAGCTGTGTGCTCCACACAATTCATCCTCCCTGATCTCCTTTCACCTTCCCTTCACATGCCTGGCTTTTGCAGAATTTTCTGCTTTCTTAGAAACATTCTTGGAATGTTTCCTATACATTCCAAGCCAAGAAGCTGTTTCGGAGGACAAGCATATGGTCTTGGACAATTGATCCAGGAACCATAGGATGACTTGATGAAAGGCCTTTCTGAGATTGGAGACAGCAGTCTAGCCTCAGAAGTAGAAGTCAGTGATTCAGTCTCTGCCCTCTTGCATTTGGCATGGAGAGACCATGCCAGCTGCCTTTGCAGGGTTTGGAAAATTGAAAAGTGGGTGTTCTGGCTAGAGGCAGGAAACCAGGATACATTTTAAGCCAAGGCCAAAGGATAGGGAGTCAAAAAATTACCTCTGCCATTTCTCCTGCCCTGCTAACTTCAACTTGCCAGAACACAATAATTTTGGAAGTTTGCAGGCTTCTGAACAGAGAGGGCACATTCCATAGGACTGCATCCTTAAGCACCTAAGATTGTTTCCTTGAAAAGATACAGCTTCCTATCTTTTAATAATAAGCCATGGTTTGTTATATCTGAGTGCAGCCATGATGACGATTACTCTTAATGCCTAGATTTCCATATTACTCTCATGATTGCATTCAGTGGCATAATGAGCACAAGAATAATAACAATTGCTGAAACTATTACAACTTTAAAATATTATGGTTTTTAAACCGCAGAGTGTCTTTCCTTCATGACCAGTAACTTCAGCCTTCCCACATGCACTTAGGATTAAACTGTAGTTGTTACAGGGCAATACAAATATTACTTGCAGAAGCCATGTACAGGGGATGGGGAAGGAACCACTGCTTAAAGTCAAGGACCATGTGAGATCCGTTTGATAAGTCTCTGGGATCCAAGTGAAGTGTCCTGAGTTGAATATTGTCCCCCTGCTTGGCCGGGTTTAAGCCAACAAGTGAAAAAGCTTCAGTCCACCTACCAGTGCATCTCCACCTTGCTTCCATGTCATTTGTCCCTCAACCGTTTTCTTCATACCATAGCTAGTTTTAGATAGTCACAAGATCAAACTACGCACCTTCCATGGCCCCTCACTCAAAGTATCTTCTGTCCCTGAATTCTGTACTCTGTCACCTGTTCATAACTACTTTACACCCTCCTGGGGTCCTTAGAGATAGATTTCTTTTTATACCTCCCCCACTATCCCACTTGAATAAGGGCTGCCACTGAAAAAGAATCGCTGCCACAGACAAGGCATAAAGGGCCTTTAAAAAGTAAAGCAGATTAATTTGAAATATAGGAATGAAACACTTACGTCCACTTCAATAACGCTAAATGGGGAAGTAAAACTCCCAACTAAAAGGCTTGGTGTATTTCCTGTAAGAGCCTGATAGAATTTCGGAGCCTGGCAACTGATCGCAGAGCATTTTTACCTCCTTAAATCAGAAAAGAGAGGAGGCCCAATAGAGGAACTACAAAGCTGCTCAGCAGAATTTGGAGATGTGGAACCATCTTTTCATAATCTTGTCAGCCAATGGAGTTGCTCTCACCCCCTCCTAAGGATTGCATTTTTTAGCTGGTTTTAGAGTCCTTTTTAATGAAACTGTATAGACAACTTACTCTTTTTCCCGTGTTAGCCAGGCCCCCATGACACAGCAAGCCTCACTGCATTGGAGCTGCACAGTGCAGCTTGTTACCCCCAGGGCATGCGATGTGCTTGATAGACATTGGAAACAGTGGGTGTCATGAGATCCCTCTACCCTCCTGTTCTCCCCCTTGGGCCTCCCACCATGTGGGGACACTGTGGGAAGTGCAATAGGGGGTGCTGCTAAACAGTGTCCCAGAGGTACTTTTAATCAGTTGGCAGTGGCAGGGATAAGCTGGGCTTCCTCAGCACAAAGCGGTCCATCTCCTTCTGTGGTGAGTGGCAGCAACCTAAGCAAAAGAGGAAGGGATGAGTCACCGTGGACTGGGCTTCAGTCCCAGCATAAAGCAGCCTGTCGCTTCCCCATTCCTTGACACCACCTGCTGCCATGCCCAGTAACAGGGAAAGATGAGAGGATCTTGCCTCCTATCCCCACGGCCTAACATGGAGGTGAAATCATGGTTTAGATTATGCACACGAGCGTACTTGCTTCCCACTCACTGCCACACTTCCCCTTTCTCCAGCATGGGCATGAGGAAGTCTGAAGCATCTTCCTTCCATTGTCGAATTACCAGGGTTTCTTTTAATTGCGGCTTATCCAGAGAGGCCAAGCTCACAAGCCAAGATTTGATTGTGGCTTTTTCAGGCGTTTTGGATACAATGAGAAACTAGTTTGAACTGGAAGTGAAGGCTTCTGAACTTCTACTGGCTGTACCAAAAAAATGGAAGGTGCATGTGAGCCTGAGGCTCATTCAGCGTTAGCGCCAAACATGGTCATAGTTTGAGCTGCCTTCTCTTTAAAAGTCTGCTTTTTCAAATAGTTCTCTCAGCAGACAGATTAAATTTAGCTCGAGAATGCAGAGCCTCTGTTGAATTGTAGTCATTATGTGCATACATTTTCAACCCTATGTTAATACCATTGAGCTAAAACGCAGCTGATACATGTAGATTTTGTGAAACTTTCACCTGTTTTGTGCTTTGGTATTTTTTCCATTGTGTGGGAAATACCTGGGGAGATCATCTAGAGACCGTTGCTAAACCACTCATTATCAGACAGAATTTCAATTGAAGAAGAATTCAGGTTTCATTGCTTTTATGCATGCATTTCCAGTGAAGGAAATTGTATCCCTTTATGCCATTTTTCTGAAATTGTATGGAAACTTAAGATGCTATAAATGTTCGAATGTCTAGCTAGATAGATACTTCAGAGTAATAATTTGTATCTTTTCAGCCTAAATCCGTCTACATACCACAGGACTTGCATTCTTCTGAGGATGATAATCAAGGAACCATAAAAAGATGTCCTGTGTCAGAGAGCCCTGCCAAATCAAGTACTCAGGTCCCACCTAGACCACCTCCTCCTCGGTTACCTCCGCAGAAGTCTAGCGCTTTAGGTAATGAGTCACACTGAATATTACCTCAAATTTGATAAAGTTTAATTTTTCATTCTTATATACATATTCCAGAAGTAAACATTTGCAGGCATGTTCCAATGTGGGAAAGCAGCAAAGGCCTTCAAGACAGAATTTGTTGGCTTTCTTCTTAACATGTTTATACCCCCTTTGCATCAGATTTTATTAATTATATTTATATCCTGCCTTTTTTCCTTCAAGGAACTCAAAGTGGCTTGCATAACCCTCCTCCTCTCGATCTCACCCTATTTAAAATGCAGTCTGTGAATACAGGGTTCATGTCAGTGGTAATGTCATGCTGAGGTGTGTTCTAAGCAGTCACTGAAGATAAACAGAGCAATTTATTTTAGTTATTAAATTTCTGTGCATCCAAAGAGCGAAAGCCCTCTGAGTTCACAAAACTCAGTTATTTATGTAAGCCATAAATTACAGCAGTATAACAACAAACAATCCCACCCCCCTGATACGCACCTTAATGTAGTGAGGGGGTTTGAGAGTGTCTGAAAAGCCAAAAGCAATGCAGGCCACACTTTCTCAATAGGCCGTTCTCCTAGCAAGGTCACCCAAAGTGGAATGGTCAAAGCAGAGACACCGGACTAATGTACATCCACCATCTTCAGGAGGAATGGCCACATCACAAGAGAGTGGATATCTCTAATAGTACTGTTGGTGAAGAAACTCCTGAAGGGCAGCTTGGGTAGTTGAGGAGGGGGATCTTTCACAGGCAGTGGCAGTGAAGTCTAAGCTAACTCTAATTACTACTGTGCAGAAGAAGGCAATTCTAAACCAGTTCTGAATGTTCCTAACCTTGTAAACCCTAGTATGAAACAATCTGAAATGAATTGAGAGATAGTGCCAGGAGATGAGGTTAGAAGGCACTGAACAAGCTACAGGGGAAGAGCAAAGGACAAGTACGAATAGCAATGCCACTAATGACACAACTAGATTAAAGTCAAAGTTGCCTTTAAATGTTTCTTATGAAGGTAATGGAATGAATTCTGTACAACTAAATGGAGACAGAGAGGGATCTCCTCATCAAGAGCCAAATGAGAACAGACACACGAATCTGTCTAGGAAAGATAAGAAGGAAATACTGGTAGGTATTGCTACATTTCCGTTTGCCTCTTTCAGTGCATGCAGACAAACTAAAATGATTTTCTCTTAATTTTAACCTCATATGCCTTGATTGTTTGTTTCATTTCATTATATTTCTCATTTTTGAAGTATCCAATTTTTGTTGTACATGTGCATTAAACCACCTGCATATGACTAAAGCCTCTGGATAGGGTAAAGGAGAGACTAATTCCTGTATGTATTAAACAATGCCTTATTGCACATAGTTGGAACACATGTTGCCATACATATCTGAAAGCTGCATTTCCGTATCTACTGCAGAAGCCCTTCATCGATACAAAGGACAGGAAGAAATTACTTTAGAGTAGGAAAATCCTCTTGCTTGATGAACCTGGCTGGCTTTTGCCACTGTCATACTTCTGGCCCAGAAACTAGCATGTTCTTCCAAATGCACAAGTGCTCTTATTCAGGTATCCAGTGAGAAGTAACAAATTGAGGCCAGAACAAGGGGGGAAAGTGGCAGAGATAAAGCAAAAACAAGGAGCAACAGCAAGTTGAATGAATGAAATTGACTCACCTGAACAGTGACAGAGGAGTCCAAGGCAGCTTCAGAATGATGCCTCTGTATTTGTGGGCAAAGTTACTGGAACTTAGAAAGCAAATAAGGGATGAGGGCAGGGGTGTTTGGAGTAGGGTTCCCCTATTCTAATCTGTTGAAAAGCATGTCAAAGGCACGAGGAGCAGAAGTCTTCAGCATCAAGGTAACATGCAAGAGATGAGGTGAAAGCAGTGATCTGGAATGAGGGCAAAGCTTTAGGGGCATGAAGGTGCAAAAAGCAAACAGGGCTTCCAGGAGTGGGTCTTGCAGGATGGTTGCTTGGCTGTACACTCTACAAATGCATCCAAGTAATTGAGAACATGTGCCTGAGAAAAGGAGAGGTCTGTGGGCAATGTAGACATTAGTGGGGATTCCTTTTTGCACAGGAGCACTGCAAGGAGACCACCAGCAAAGCATCATGAAGTACAACAAATGCTAGGTTCCAGCAATTCAAAACCAGTTAGTCCTGAAAAACAAAACAAGATTCACAACCCGAACAGAATTTTCAGATGGACAGAAGAGAAATATAACTGTTTGTGCTTTCCCAACTAGCAGGGAGCTTGGCTCTGGATGGGTGTGTGTCCCTGTTAGTTACAGGACCAGCCCACCATTAGGGCAAGCAAGGTACAGTAGTTATTTTTTTATAGCAGGGAAATGGGGGAGGGGAGAGGGTTGTGTGTCCTGCAGCCTGCTCCGTGCCCTGCAAACCGGGCTGCTTCAATGGAGGATGCTATTCCATCCCCAGTATTGAAGAAGGATTCAGCTGCCAAGTCCAGCTGGCTTCTGTACGTTGTATGGGATAGAACTCCATCTTTTTTCTTCAGCTCAGAAAATAAGTATCTTGGGATGGCCCTGGACAACTGGAAAGCCTCTCAGGGTCTCTGGAGTTTCAGTAACCAATACATAAAGTTGCTCTTAGCTGTGTGAACATCTGGTTTTTGCAAGAGCTGCTTAGCCTGAAGCAAAGAATGAGGGGGTTGACTTCCCTGTGTCTGTAGGAGTCAGTGATTGGTCCTGCAAACATATCTGTCTCCAGCTATTGTAATTAGCTCTTAACAGACCTGAGAGACAACTGTCAGGTGTTGTGAGTGGGAACAACTTGTGCTTGGTACCCATTGTTAGCAACTGGTGGTTGAAAAATGACTGGCAGAAAATTGGGTAGATTATTTGAATAAAATGTTAAGGAGTTGGGCTGATACACAGTTTTGTTTTTGTAGTTCACTGTATATGTTTGAAGTAGCTTTAGGTTGTGGTAATCTAATGATAATTTGTGTCTACTACATCTTCATATTTAAATGAATTTAAATCTAAGTAATACATAAAACAAATAATATTTCTTAACTAGTACAGTTATTGTACTTTGGAGTTATGACATCAGGAGCTATGACATGATTTGTGCCTTGCCCCTATAATGAACATACTAGGGAGCCATTGGCTAAGGATGGGGCATGTGTAGCCTCCACTATTGTTGGACTACAACTCCCATCATGCCTCTTCATTGGCTATGCTAGCTAGGGCTGATGAGTGTTACAGTCCAATAATGTCTGGAGGGCCACATTTTCACTGCCATTGCTCTCCACCATCTGGCAAAATGGGAGATGATAATACTGGTTTTTCTTGTAGGGTTGTTATAACATTACAGCTAATTAATACACATGAAGCACTTTGAAGGTTTGAAAGCACAATGCTATGGGACACAGTTGCTTTAGTACAAGCAGGAATTGGCAGACAATGACTGACATTGGTAGCTGAGCTAAAGCTTGGCTACCAAGACCCTGAAGATGGCACAATGTGAACCCAGGGACAATCTCTTGCTCCCCTCCCCAGTTCAAGTTTCTACAAGCTCAGCACAACTGCAGAGACCATCCCCAGTCCTGTTTCCAGTTCACAACTTGGATCATGTGATTATTTTGGTTTCGAGTTGTATCACCTCCAGGCCTCTTCTCCAGTTCGGAGCTAAAGAGTGGGTAGAGACCATCCCCATAGTTGTGCTGAATTCTGAGCCCACCGGAACTGTGAGAACAGGGTAGCTTCAGGCTGAAGAGGGCGCTTTGACTCGTCAGTCTTGCCAGGAGATGATGGTACATCTGCTATAGCAAACAGAATTGTGGACTCCTTAGTTGATGTATCCCCTACCCTTTGGGCATGTGTGCTGTTGTAGAAAGGTCAACTTTAAAAGTCACAGTTTAAATGTACTGTTTTCTTTCCTAGAAACCAATTAGTAATGGTCTTCCTCCCACACCAAAAGTGCATGTAAGTATTAAGTTTTGAACAAGGTGAACTATTCAAATTAATTAAAATGCTGTCTAAGGGTGTTGTGGAGTACAGCTTCGGTTTAAAGATTAAACGACCATACTCAGCTTCAAGAATATTGTGCCTTTAGAACAAATACGTAGTTGAACTGGTTTTTAACGAGTTGCAGAGAGGCAACCATTCCAGAGGAGCCAGGGTAGCATTGCTGTCTCTCCTGCAAACAAACATTTTTAAACTAATACAAAAATCAACCTTATGCAGTCTTCTGACAAGTCTGATTCATGTGTTCTCTTCTGTTTATATAGATTAAGGCATCTTATTTGCTTTGGTGTTTCATAGACAAGGAACTGTGAGTGCCAGTCTGTGTAACAAACATGAGTGGCAGAGAGAGGGATGCATGTAACATTTGGGAATATTGCAAGGGTGAGTTAGGAGTGCACCTGTTGGACACTGCCTCAGTACACATACACTTGATTGTAATATCTCTTGCTGTGTCACTCTTTTAAAAATAGATCAATCAATCAATCAATTTGCATCTCAATTATAATGATAATCTAACTGGGTAAATTTCTTAAACCTTGAAACTTACAGAACTTTTCCAGCCAGTCATGTTTAAATCACTTATTCCCTGCCCCATTAGTAATCAGTTATAGGTATTCATTAAAACAAGAAGTCAAAAATATTAATTCCCTATATGCACTGCAAGGTTGTACTCTTATCATGAAATTGGACTGGCATCAGAAAACAGAAATATAATTTTATAACTTCTAAATTTAATACAATTTAGTATATTCTTTTAAACTGTAACACTTTTATGCTAGAATCCCTTTTGAAAAGGAAATCAGGTATCTAGTTTGAAGATCCTACCTGTTTTAGCATACTTGAATTACCAGAAATGTTGGAGAGCAGGTTGGAGAACTCAGCAACACAGTAAAATGCAGTTTCAGTCTTCATTCTTGTAGGGACAGCTTGCCCTACTTTCTTCTGTATAGCTTAACAGTATTAGGTTTAAAGTTTTCAGATTAAAGAAGAGGATTTTCTCCTGAAACCTAACAAAGTGTGTTCTTCTATACATCTTTCAGTTTGCATTCATAAGCTTTAAGAAATATTCCTCAAACAGAAGGCTTGAGAGATTATTTTTTCCTGCTTTGTTTTTTTAATGAGCAGGAGATAATAAGATACAGTTAACATGTTTTTACTCCCCAGCATTAAAGTATAAGTCATGTAAAGAGGTCCTTGAGCTCCTGTACTCAGCCCACAGCCATGTATACGTAACCTTCCCTGAAAGGCAAAATGAACACCTAGAGCACGTGATCCCACAATCATCTGCACATAGGATTCTTCCTGATCTTGTGTAAATAAGTTTTGTTATTGGTACATTTTCTTTACAAAAGTGCAGTGAAAACTGATCATGAGTGAAACATTTAATGAGGGTTTTGTTTTGTTTTTTTTAAATCATTATTTGTTATATAAAAGTGAAATAAATGCTAAGGAAACCTTAAAAACAAGGACAATTTCATATTTTGTCTCTCTTTTTTATATTAAAAACATACTCCCTGAGATTTTCCATATCATAAACTAAAATGGTAGTTGTTTTATAGATTTTTTAAACCAAGAAAATGGTTAGAAAACATGGGTGGGGCATGAAGGCTGACTGCCACAGTTATTTTTAGCATAGGTAGTATTTCTGACTGGATTTGTTAGTTACTAAGGGTGCCGTCCTGTGCCAGTTTAGACAGAAAAATGGCTGGAGTGTGCTGGGAGTCGTACAGCTTTTTTCTGTTTGAACTGACATAAGATTGTGCCTTATTTGGCTCTCTCTTTATTTCTCTGATAGTATACTTAAGTCCTTTTTTTCAGCAACTTTTCTGGAGTAAGCTGCCTCTCAGATGAACAGTGTGCTTGGGATTAAGGTTGAGGCAAAACTGCACTTTGTCCTGGATGTGTATATCTAAAAACATCCTGTTGGCTTGGTTCACACATAATGCTACCCCATTGTTGAGTTAAACCATGGGTTGCCATTACATGTAAACCCAGAACCAGTTAGAGACCCTCAGCCCAACCCTCACAGGGTTGTTGTGAGGAGGAGGAGGAAGAGAATTATATAAGCCACTTTGAGTTCCTTGAAAAGAAAAAAGGCAGGGTATAAATATACATAAATAAATACCATGGATTGTTTTGCCGAGATATAGAAGCACCAGCAAGAGGAGTTAAAAAGACTCAGTCTTCCTACTCGTCAGTACTTAAGTGCAGTAAAGGCATTTGTTATACAGGGGAGGAATTGGGTAAAATGGAAGGGAAACAGCAAACTCAGGGACTGAGCATATAAAACATAGTTGATTCATCACCAGCTAGGTAATTACTTGACAGAGCAATAAACTATGGGCTAGATAAATCATGGGCTAGCATTACGTGCAAATTAGGGCTTTGTTTGGGCATTGTTCTTCCTGCTATGTTCCTTCAACTTCTTTAACCTCATTCTGTCTCATTTGCCAATTTAATCTGATAGCCTATGGCAGCCCATGTGATTCTTCGGTCATATTAGGAAGTTAACATCTGATATTGCAGTGCATTGAACACACATAAACAAAATGTGGCTCGCCACAGCTAATTAAATTGTAGGCAAATGAGAAAAAGGCTAGTCGGTGAAAAGCATCAGCATAATGGCACTGAGGAGCAAGAGCAACCCAAAGAACAAAGGAATGCAGAGGTGGTATTAGTCCAGCAGGCTGGAGCCCTGAATCTTTCATTTGATGCCCCAAATCTCTGGGAGACCATTAGCCCCACCAGTCTGCTGTCCATGGGCACTGGCTGAAATAAAGGTGCAGGAACTACGATGCATTATTGCACTGGATCCCTCTGAACTAGCAGGCTTTTTGCCCAAATGTGCTTCCCTTCCTGCATCTCCCCCAATCTTTCTGGCAGCATTTTTCCCCACTGTCCATACATCACATTTTACAAATAGGGGTCTTCTTAAGGGACAGGTTCTTTCAAAATAAGCACAGTCTTTAGAGTCTGCATAAATTAAAACATATGCTAATTTATTCATTTCTTTTGTCCTGTGGGCCTGGGTTTATCTTTTCGAAAGCTTATCCTTTCGAAAGCTAATAGAGAAGGGATCCCTGATAACATTGAAATAATGCAGGTGTTTCTCAAGGTGAGAAGTACTTCTTTAGCAGTTTGGCTGCCTTGAATGTGTTAATTTCTGGGAAAAGCTGACCTTAAAAAACATGCAGTGCTGTGCCCCAATGAAGCTGAATCCTTTGTTTTAAATGGTGTGTGGTTTTATTTTTCACAGATGGGCGCTTGCTTTTCAAAGGTTTTCAATGGATGCCCTTTAAAAATTCATTGTGCAACCTCATGGATAAATCCTGATACAAGAGGTAATAATTGCATGTAAACTTTGTATAAGTTTTGTATTCACAGTGTGTTCCCACTAAACCAAAAGAAAAAGAAACAGCTGAAAACTATTTTGTGACCATTTTGGTTGCCCCGCTGATACCCAAAGACATCCTTCTCCCAGGCAGTTAAACAAGATGGATGCTTTTTTCTGTTTTCTGTTGTGAAAACAGGATTCTCTTACCAGGATTCTCTCTTAAGCTGAAAACTTTAGAAGACCCTTGCTGGATCAGACCAAAGGTCCATCTAGCCCAGCATAGTTTTCACACAGTGGCCAACCAGCTGTCCACCAGAAACCCACAAGTAGGATATGAGTGCAGCAGCACCCTCACACCCATGTTCCCCAGCAACTAGTGTACATACACATACTGCTTCCAATACTGGAAGTAGCATAGGACTAGGAGCCAATGATAGCCTTTCCTCCATGAGTTTGTCCAGTCCCCTTTTAAAGCTGTAAAAATGTGTGGTCATTAGTGCATCTCATGGGAGTGAATTCATAGTTGTGCACTGTGTCAAGTATCTGTCCTGAATCTCCCACAAATGGGTTGACTGTGGATTCTAGTATTGAGAGAGAGAGAGAGAGAGAGAGAGAGAGAGAGAGAGAGAGAGAGAGAAATGGCTTCTTCTCCACCTCCCATATACCATGCATACTTTTGTACAACTCTATCATATCTCCCTTTATTCAGCTCTTAGGCAGCAAGTGCCCCTTCCTCTCTGGTTGTTCCAAGAATTAGTGCTGGACTTAAGTCAATGCAGCCCTTGCCAGATGATTTTTAGACCAGAATGTATTCCTGAGACAGACTACCATCCAATTTCCAGCCTTGTACACAGGAAACATTTTCTCCAAGTTGTCTCCAAGGCTTGCACCTTGGCTCAAGTATCACACTTCTGAGTTGGACAGATCATTCTGAGATTCTTCATTCTGTTGAAGATTCTGCTGTCTTGAATAATCATCCTCCATGAACTTGCTACATTGGCATTCAATCCTGACTTAAGATAATTTTATGAATAAGGCCTGATCTTACACATGCCTCAGAATGGAATGGGTAGTATCTTCAAGTGTAAGAACAAGTTGTACCAAGGAGTGCAGATTGGGTATACTGTAGTTGAATGCACTCTCATGTAAAATTTCTCTACAAGAAAAGAAATCACAAAGATAAATTCTAGAAATTCTAGCCCAGCTAGTGCTTTCTCCTGTTTTAGTTTTCTGCTTGCAGTGTTTTTTTTAAACTTACACTAGCATTCAGAAATAAGATACTCCACCTGCTGATCAGAAAGAGGTACAGTCTGTTCTTCTTCATTAATACTTCACTGTTCTGCATTTTGTAGATGTAGCTAAATTTAAATAGCACTGACTCCAGGATAGGGCAAACCTTAAACCACTGATAGACACTTTGTCCATTATCATTTTGCACGAGACATAAAATGGTCCCAACCCACCCTCGTTCTTAAAATAAGAATTGTGGTTATACTTTTAATATTTTTTATGGGAAGACTAAATAGCTGGGTGTCAGAATACCTTAAAGACTGCCTCCCTCCGCCCAGTTGATGGTTGATCTTCCTCAGAGGTCTCTGTGGCTTCAGATGTTAGGCAGATGCTGCAGCCCTTTTCATTGGTGGTCCACCAGTTTTGTAATTGCACCTGAGGGAGGTTTGTTCACTACTGCAGGCAAATAGCTCTTGATTTGCTGAGATCCAGCGCCTGGGAAATACCTCTTTGTTGACTTTAGCTTAACATTTAAATCCTATGGTGAGGGGGATTGTCATTTCAGACCATGCACTGAAATGAAAGCAGAAAATTTCATTCTCCTTCTCTGGCACAAAGTGCTTTAATGTGGGGTGATGTTCCTCCTTAATGCTTAGCTTGTATATATAATTGTATATCACTTTTTATAATCTTTTAGCTACTCTGAGAAACTTTTTCTTAATAAAGTGAGATGTTTTAATATATTTGTTTCTGTGCAGACCAGTACTTGATATTTGGTGCTGAGGAGGGTATTTACACATTAAACCTTAATGAGCTCCATGAAACATCAATGGAACAGGTTGGTGTTCAGATTTTGACTTTTCTGTGTAGTGGCATGAAAGTAGTGGTTCAAATCCAAGACCTATTTCATCATGTGATCCAATATATTTTGTTTCTGTTCTTAAGGACTTCTCTCAGTGGATAACTGTATTGGGACTGAAATTCTTTAGGACCAGGTTTTATCTATTCCTGAGAGTAAAGGCAATTGAAAAAAAAGTCTAAACTTGTGAAATCCATGACTCGTGGGGGATTTCTAATCACCAAATCTGTGAATAATGTGCTTATAAGTTCATACTGAGTCTTAAGTCCAAAAGTGATAGGAATTTGGATGAATGTAACATTTTATGAAAGTACTCTGAGTACAACTAGTAAGAGGCAGCTCTTTTTCATTTGCTTATATTAAATGCTAAAGAGTTGATTTAATATGTCTATGCTGCTTTTCAAGTTCAGCTCAAAGCATTCACAATAAAATTGTGTGTGCGTGTGAGAGAGAGAGAGAGAGAGAGAGAGAGACAGAGAGAGAGAGAGAGAGAGAGAGAGAGAGAGAGAGAGAGAGAGAGAGAGAGAGAGAGACGGATGGATACAACAAGTGTTCAGCCTGTTCTGGATGAAGTTGTATTCCTTCTGAAGGAGCTCATTCATAGCTTGATGGTTCTCTTGGCGTTATATTAGGCACTTGAGATTCAGGCGATCTCAGTGGCATGGAGTGCCTTCTGCCAGCTTAGATTGGTGGCTGAGCTATGTCCTATTTGGACAGAGATAAACTGCCTTCTCTGAGGTCCAGTAACCTCCAAATTAGATCAGTACAATGCACTGTATATGCGGGCTGCCTATGAAGATGGTTCAGAAGTCATACCTTGTACAATATGCAGTGGAGCCATACTGATAATGGGGACCAGAGGCTCTGAATATTTAACATAAATTCTGGTCCACTTACACTTGCTGCCTGTACATTTCCAAACCCAACTTATGGTGTTGAATCTGACCTATAATGCTATAAATAGCTTTGGACCACAGTACCTGAAGAAACTTCTCTCCCAGCATCAACATACCTGTATACTACAGTCATCTGAGGCCCTCCTCTTACTACCTCCTCTAAGAGGGGTTTGAAAGGTGGCAAGAAGAGAGAGGGCCTTATTTGATCCCTCAGTTATGAAATAATCTCCCCATTGGTGCCTATGTGGCACCAACATTGTCATCTTTTGGTGACAAATGTACTTTGAGACTTCTGGTAGCATTGGACTGGTGTTAACTGGATCCTGAAATTCCTTGTTTTTGATTGTTTATACTTGTTTACACATATCCGTGTGTGTGCACACATGTGCATGTATTGTCTGTTTATATGCTCATATATAATACTGTATTTTCAGCAGTGTTCATTTTTGTAAGCCAGCTGGGGAGCTCTGGCTGTTGAGTGATATTGAAATGGTAAGAAATGAAATTAAAGTAGCAGCCTAATATCAAAATGCAGTAACACATCAAGCAGTGTAATGCCAGTATGCAATTCAATAAACAATATAGTTTAACACATATAATGAAATAAGATTTCAGAAAAAAAATCAAGACTTTATTTCCAAGTAAAGGCACCTAAACCAGTAAACCAACTGCATAAAAATAAGAATAATCTAAATGTAGAACTCCAAAATGTAAAGCATAACTGCATGTAAGACAACTAATTCAGACAATTCATCCTGATAGGTCCATATCGACATCCAGCATCCCTACTAGAGCCACTCCACAAACTATACAGTCTCTGCTCTTGCTTGGGCAGCATGACCATTGTCACCCTCTCACACAGGAGATAATAGAGTGAGTGTTCTTGAAGCTAAGGATCTGTGCCATTGTGGCATCCTGGAGACCAGCTCAAAGCAAAAAGCCCCACTGGGGTTGACAATAAAGGATGCTCTATTATGAGCTGCCTTGTGAGAATACTAGCTCCCTGGAAGCAGTTGCTGAACACTAGCCCAGTACCAGCTAACCTGGCTCCTCTGGAATGGGCCTTCCTTTCCCATCCTGGGGTCTGCTTGACTTGTGCCACTATGAGAAGGAGCAAGGAAATGGTACTCTTTTGCTCTCATCCTCGTCAGTAGAGAGACTCTGCTAGCCCTGGGCTTATTTTACAATCCTTCTAGGGCAGCCTTTTCATATAAAACCAGTCAGATATGTTGGACTACAACTCCCATCACCCTAACCTAGTTATGATGGGAATTCTGGTCTAGCACATCAGAAAGGTACCTGATTGAGGAATGCTGTTACAGACTGTTAAGTGAGAAAGCATGCTCAACTACTGTTGTTTTTAAATTTAGGAGCGTACAAAAAGCCAAAGGTCTACCTAGTCCAGCACTCCTATACACAGTGGCAACCCAGCTGCCCTCAGGACTGCACAAGCAGGATGGGTGCAAGACCTCTGCTGTCCAAGCTCCTCGGTAACCAGTGTATATAGGCCACCACCTCTGCTAAATGAAGGAGCATGTGGCCAGCAAGGCTAGTAGCCATTGACGGCCTCCTCCCTCAAGAATCTGTCCAGTCTACTTTTTAAAACATCCAAATTGGTGGCTGTCACCACTTCCCTTGGCAGCCTTCTCTAATTCCATAGTTTAACTGTACGTTGTCCTAGCCCTCCCACCAGTCAGCTTCATATGATGACCCCGGGTTTGAACATTGTAGACGGGGGAGAAAAATGTCCTCCTTTCCACTTTCTCCACACCATGCATTATCCCAAACACCTCTGTCATGCCTTCCCTTCCTTACCATTTTTCTAAGCTCTTGTGGCTGCTTCTCCTAGAGAGGTTCCTTTAGCAGCCTGATCAGTTTCGTTGCCCTTCTCTGTACTTTTTCCAGCTCACTAATGTCCAGGTAAGTCAACCTGAATTGAACACACTATTCTAAGTGCAACCATACCAAAGATTTATATATGGGGAGTAAGATCTTGGCAGTTCTTTTTTTCTAATCCATTCCTCATTATACTTAGCATGGAGTTTGTCTTTTTCACAGCAGCTGTGCACTGGGCCAGCATTGTCAAGCTGGCGGCAGCTACCTCAAGATCCCTTGCTTGCTTAGTCACTGAAACCCCATCAGCATATACTTGAAGCTGGGAATTTTTTTTTGTCCCAACATGCTTGAATTGTGCTGTATTTAAAGTCTATACTGTCCTTGGGAATCTTGTACTGGAGGGTGACTTATAAATTTAGCAAAAAACATTACTTGAGATGCTACCTCAAATAACAATTTCTTATTTACAATCTCATTAGAAATGACATTCTTGACATTGTTTTCTCTTATCAGCTATTTCCCCGACGATGCACATGGCTCTATGTAATGAACAACTGTTTATTATCAATATCTGGTAAGATCTTCTTTTGCATAATTTGGAATGTGAATGTCTGTGGTCATACATGCCACTATTTACCTTTTTAAGGCATATTTGCCATTTTATTTACAGGTAAAGCTTCTCAACTTTATTCCCATAATTTGCCTGGATTGTTTGATTATGCAAGGCAAATGCAAAAGCTACCAGTAGCTATCCCAGCACACAAACTTCCTGACAGAATACTTCCCAGGTAAATTTAGGTTTCTTTATCTTTCTTTTTTAAAATGTGGCTCAAAAGCACAGTTTTGAATTATCTCTTTTAATTAACTGTTTATGAAAATGAGTTTTAATTAATGACTTATGAAAGTCATTTCATAGATGAATTGGACCCCTGAGGAGAAGTGTGGGGAGAGAGTGGAGGAGGAGTTGAAAAAACCTGGAAATGTAAAAATGGACTATTCAGGGTTTTGTTTTTTTTAATGGGTTGCATCCAGTTGGTGTCCTCCTATGATGGGAGGTCCTTTGATCCAGCAGAGATTCCCACTGGAAAAAGGGAGAAGGGACGTTTTAGCTTATAAAATAGAAAACAGGAAATAATTAAAAAGTCTACATTTACATTAGATCATGGGAGGAATAAGATTACAGGGGGAGGAATTGGCTTCTTTCTTTGCTCATATTCAGCATGGAAAAGAAAGTATCTGGTGAACAGTACAGGAAATAGGAGGAATCTTACAGCATGAGTATAGAGAATATTAAACCTCTTCCACATGCTGTGCCACTTAAATTGAGGTTTGGTTGAGCTGCCTCCTCTGTACCTTTATAGCTCTACAGATATGGGGCTAGCAAAACTGCATTTTGGAGGACAGGTTTAATGCACTGTCCCATTAAATCTTCTACCCTTTAGATTGTGAACACCTCCCCCCCTCCCAAAATTGATAGGGAGCAAAAACTGAAACCAGGCTCCATCATGAGACCTCAGCTTGAATTTGCATTTTTTTCTTTATATCTTCCAGGAAATTTGCAGTTTCTGCAAAGATCCCAGACACTAAATGGTGTCAGAAGTGTTGCGTAGGTAAGTAAAGATACAATCTAATTTCCCTAACTCTATCTCTTATGGTAATTTGTGCTTGCATGACTTTGGCAATAAAATGGTTGGCTTGAAATGTCACATGTACTGTATGAATCTGCTTTAGTACCATTATTTATGAGGAGTTATCAGATGACTTACTTATTCTGGATAAGGATAGGTTTTGTAAATGAATATATATTTAATCTTTTAACTATGTATGTTCCAGTGTGGATTCTCAGGCTGGCATATCTCGCTGTATGTGCTGACTTTAAAGTACACAGCCAAAGTGACTCAGAGCCTTCGGGAGGAGCCAATGTTGCCATCTGGTCCACAATTGATGGATGAGTTCCAGTTGTTGCGGCCTGATGATGTGGACAAGGTGCTTGGACAAGTATGTCCTACCACCTGCTTACTGGACCCTTCCCCATCTTGGCTACTCAAGAAAACCAAGGACGGGATTGGGACCTGGATCCTGGAGGTTGTCAATGCCTCTCTGAGGGAGGGCTGGGTACCTGCCCCTTTAAAGGAGGTGGTAGCCCGGCTTGTCCTATAGAAGGCTTCCCTGGATCCAGAGATGGCCACCAATTATAGACCGGTGGCCAACATCCCATTTCTGGGCAAGGTATTAGAGCAGGTGGTGGCAGGACAACTCCAAGCACTCTTGGAGGAAACTGATTATCTGGACCCATTTCATTTCGGCTTCAGACCCAGGCATGGTACTGAATCTGCCTTGGTTGCCCTGTACGATGACCTGTGCAGGGAGAGAGACAGGGGGAGTGTGTCCCTGTTGGTTCTCCTGGATCTCTCAGCGGCTTTTGATACCATCGACCATGGTATCCTTCTGGATAGGCTAGCAGGATTGGGGGTAGGGGGCACTGCTCTGCAGTGGTTCCGCTTCTATCTCAATGGCAGACTCCAGAAGGTGGTGCTGGGGGACTATGGCTCTGCACCATGGCAGCTATGCCATGGAGTTCCGCAGGGTTCCATCTTGTCCCCCATGCTATTTAACATCTACATGAAACTGCTGGAAGAGGTCATCAGGAGGTGTGGGCTGCGGAATCATCAGTACGCTGATGATACCCAGCTCTACCTCTCTTTCTCTACCAATCCAGGTGAGGCAGTGGCTGTACTGAACCGGTGCCTGGCCAAGGTAATGGGCTGGATGAGGGCCAATAAACTGAAGCTCAGTCCAGACAAGGCGGAGGTCCTGTTGGTAGGTGGATCGGGCTTTGGGATGGGGGACTTTGACCTAGTCCTGAATGGGGTAGCACTCCCTCTTAAGGACAGGATCCGCAGCTTGGGCGTGCTCCTCGACCCAGAGCTATCGTTGGAAGCTCAAGTGACCTTGCGGTGGCGAGGAGCACTTTCCTTCAGCTTTGGCTGATCCATCAGCTGCGTCCCTACCTGGAGAACGACTGCCTGGCAACAGTGACACATGCATTGGTCACTTCCTGATTAGACTTCTGTAACGTGCTCTATGTGGGGCTGCCCTTGAAGACAGTCCGGATACTTCAATTGGTGCAAAATAGAGCTGCCAGGCTGCTGATGGGGACTGGGCGTTGTTCTCATATAACCCCAGTCCTCCGTCAGCTCCACTGGTTCCCCATTGAAGTCTGGGCCCAATTCAAGGTGCTGGTTATCACCTACAAAGCCCTGAATGGCTTGGGACCTGGTTATCTAAAGGAGCGCTTGCATCTATATATGCCCTCCCGCCCCTTGAGATCGGTGGCAGAGGCCCTTCTCCGGGAACCCTCTGTGAAGGATATTAGGAGGGTGAGTACTCGGAGAAGGGCTTTCTCTGTGGTGGCGCCCCACCTATGGTATGTGCTCCCCAGAGAGGTCCGCCTGGTGTCATCGTTATTTGTTTTTCGGTGCCAGGCCAAGACCTTTTTATTTAAACGCCATTTTAACTGTTAAGTTTTATTTGTTGATTTTAAACTGACCAGGCTGTTTCCATTATTTTATTTTATGTATTTTATTTATTCGATGAATTTATTTGTATTTATATGTGGGATTTTATGATTGTAAGCCACTCCAAGGCTTATGTGATGAGGGCGGCATACAAGCTGTCTAAATAAATAAATAAAACAAGGGGCCTCCTACTCTCTGCAAATCAGTATGTAGGGACAGTTGTGTTTTTGTAGGGATGTGCTAGGGAAAGTCTGAGCCTAGGGATCCCTAGGAGGGAGAGCCTCATAGGTGACCCTTAAATATATCAGTCCTCTTTGCAATTTTCCATGCAGCTGCATAATATCAAGGGAAAGATGGGAAAGTGTATAGGTGTCAGGCTTTAATACTAGTTCTTCTCTCTGTGCAAGTAATCTCCATTGCTCTCAAAGACTAAAAAATGGCATTCTTTCCAGATATGGTCAGTTCAATGCCTATTGCCCCAGCCAGAATGGCCAACAGATCTGGAAAATGCCAGTTGGGGAAAGATCTGCTAAGTCACTGCTATCAGCCTTTTGTCTTAGAAAAATGTGGAATTTACAGAAGATTAAAAAGCCACCAACATGATAAGCTACCACCTCATCACAATACTGGCCTCCAGTTAATGTGTTTCTAAGCAAGGCCAGCGTGATCAATAACCTACACTACCAACTTTCTAAATGTCAAGTTCTAAAGGAATTAGAAAAGACATAAAGCAAGCAAGCACTTGCTGAATCTGTCTCAAGTAATTTAAGAATAAAAGCTTCAGTACTGATTAGTAACAGTGTTGTAATATATCAGTATTACTTTAGATAGCATTGCTATATGCTGTCCAAAGAGATGCTGTTTTACAAAGAATGAGAAGCTAGTCCCTATCATGGGGCTTACAATCTTAAAAAAACACACTCAACAGAAGAGAAGGTAAAGGGAAATGGAAATAAACAGGCAAAGAATATATTCTGCTTCCAGGTACTTTGACTTAGTTACAACAGACTATTTCATGCTTGGGGTGGTGATGGACACCTCTGGCCCTCCAAATGTCTTGGCAATACAGTTCCAGTCACACCTGGTCATTTACCAATTCTGTTGGGCTAAAGTGTGCTTGAGTCCAGTAACATCTGAAAAACACCCAAGTTTCCCTGTCACCTGACTGAGGAATTTGTTCCAAAGGAGTCAGAAAAGGGGAGTGTTGGGGACAAATTGGGAAGGAGAGGGGGAGGTGGTTTATGGAGGTATTTGGAGAGGCAGTTCAAACAAGGGGGTAACAAGAGAGAAAGGATAGTGTAATTTCACGGAGCAGGAGACTTATGGGTAGCTAAGTGTGGTGCTGAAACTATACAAGGAATAAATGAGGGAAGCAAGATAATAGAAGAACTTGAAGCCAAAATGTTTGGGCAGGATCTGAGCACAGATAATGCTAAATTTTCAAGGGACTGTCATCCTCATCTTTAATACGTCAATAGTCATGATTTTCAAAAAAAAAATGGGTCAAAGAAATTGTCAAGTAATGCAGTGGAAAGTTCTGAAAATATTAACACCATCTGACTTGTAGTTCCAATAAGGCCCCCCTCCTCACTATATGATATTATGAAATATAATCTTACCATTGTATATGTAGCCCTGTGGAGATGAGGCTTTGTCATTTGAGAACATTTGAGAGCTGGGGTTCAGCATTGTATCATCACACTTGACTTCCATACTTTGGATGTTGGTAGAAATGAGAAATTGACACACATAGGTCTAGTTTGTCTGTTACTCCGTCAGATGCAGAACAAGTTGGAAAGGAATTGGATGTTCAGAGACCTGTATTCATCAGCGATGCTCAGTGCAGGGATATTAAATATGCCACCATCATCTCAATATTCTGGATAGGATCTGACCTGCTTTGCAGTTACAGAGATTGAAGTCCCTGTGAGATTTGAATTGTACAACTATTGCTTTAATTCAATACCTGGAGAAACGCAGTCCTTATTTTTTCTGTTTGCTAGCAATAATTTAAACCTATTCCCAGAGGGACAAAGCATCCCACAGCAACTGTCCTGGCCTGCAGTAAGTTAATATGGACCATGAAGCAGTGGTAACCTCAGCCTTAAATCTTGGCATCTTACTGTCTTGCATTTTCTCCCTTTATGTCAAAGTCTGGATTTAATCTACAAAAGATCCTGCACTAATCCCATTGCTATATACAGGCAGCTCAGTCCTAGCAAACAGGGAAGACAGATACCCATTACTTGCCAGGCAGTTGTCCAAAAATAGCATCTACATGCCAGGAACGATGAAGTGCTTGGGATACTTGCATAGCTATCTCATCTCACTCCCATATTTGCTAAGACTTTGGATGCCCCTTTAATGGTGTACCAGTTAAGAAGAATTGGAGCAGTGCAGCATCATAGGTCTTTTGTGGATCAGGCCATACAATGTATTGACCTCTTCTAAGTCCTTTACTCTACCCTAAGCTATTATATTTTTTTTTACAGTGAGAAATCCTTACTCAGGCCACAAATATCTTTGTGGGGCACTACAGTCGAGTATTATCCTTTTAGAGTGGGTTGAACCAATGCAGAAATTCATGTTAATTAAGGTAAGTTCCCTTGCAAAATTTCTCTTAATTAAGCATTCTTTACAACAGAATTTTAAAACTTTTAAATTTAAATTTAATTTTTAAAATCTGTATATAGTAGCTAAAATTATCAGGGAAGCATGTATGCCCTGAAGGAAACCCCTAGTTTGCTAACATAGATGCATATCCAGCAATAGGAGAAGAAAAGGGCACTTCATGGTCAGAAGTCCTACAGTGCCAAAGCTTCTTCATTTCTCTGATGCGCTATTAGCAAGCAAGACAATACTGACCCTTGACCTGGCTTAGTGTTTTTTCTCTCCCGTTGGTGTTGGTGGAAGAGAATTTTTTTTAAAGAAATGGAATAGGGAGAAGGAAAACTCTGCCCTCCCATCCTTTGCATGAGCATAGCAGGAGTTGATGGAACTTAGGAAGTGACGGCTCCTCTGCCATGGATTGTCACCTCGCCTCCAGTGTCCTTATATGGACTACAGGGCAAGTTTATAAATGCAGTAATAAATAAAATATTTCCTTCCATGCATTCAAATGGCTATAGTCATGGTAGACCAAGATTTCTGTAAGTGCAACAGCAAGCCAATTGGCGGTATTGGAGATTCTTGGGTCTGTGCTGCAAAAGACTACAGAAAAAGCTTATTGTACCAATAGCGATGGCAGAATCCACATACAAACCTTATTTGTTCTGTCAAGTTGTTACAGTGATAATGTTTGATGTTGTTATGTTAACAGTCCCATAATGACTTTGTGGCTAACACTTTTCTTAATTTAGCACATAGACTTTCCTGTACCTTGTCCATTGAGGTTGTTTGAAATGCTGGTCGTACCTGAACAGGAATTTCCTTTAGTTTGCGTTGGTGTAACTAAAGGGAGAGACTTCAATCAGGTGGTGAAATTTGAAACTGTCAACCCAAATTCTACCTCTTCATGGTTTACAGAAACAGGTTTGTGAATTATTTTGTTCAGCTTTCCTAGTACAGTTAATTAGAGCATGGCCAGACCAAGCATAATGGTGGCTCCAGAGAGAGAGAGAGGGTTGTCCAAATCGACAGACAGGGTTTTTGGTGCATGGATGATAGTGGCCAGCTTATCCCTGGGAAGTAGAATTAACATGTGACCAGCCAAAGCTGATAACACATGCTCCTTACCACAGAATTCACTTGGGCTCCTAATGACATTGGTGAAATTAGGAGTGCCTATTGTTTTTCAGACAGTGTAGTCCTCTCTAGAGCAGACAGTAGGCAATTGTACTTGTGCCTGGAATTGCCCACCCATAGAGGCTGTCTCTTTGTGGGATTCAGCCTTCACTCGTTTGGCCCCACATTCAACCCATCACTGTATCCAGGTGCTAATTTACAATAGGGAAGCATTTTTTTTCAGTTTGCATATAACTCAAAAGTGCCTATTTGGAGCCTCAAATGTGAGTGTAAATGGAAGTGCACAATTTCTGAAAATTTTAACACATTCCCAAACTTTCATTTATATTCACAAAATACGCCCTTTAAAAAAAACGTGCAGTTTAAAATGCTGAACAAGTTAAAGTGTGCTATTATAGCTTAATTGTGGGAAAATGAACATTGTTTAAAGCTGTGCATTCTTGAAGTCAATGGAAGAAGTGTGCACTTTTGAAATATGCATACTTTTCACATTCAAACGAACAGATAAAATAGTTAAAAAACAAGGGAAGAGCCAAATCAGGCTTTGACATAAAGCTAGAATTTTAGCAGCATGAGCATCCGTGTTTCTTCCATCCCTAAGTCAAACTGTGCAGTTGCTCTTGATTCAGATGTTGCAGCAAAATAAAGCCAGATGTGCATTGATGACATATTGCTCCAAATCTCCCTTAATGTGCTGTATTCACATAGTACCAAACCAACCAGTATCATATGTACATTGATTCTGATAAAGAAAAATTGCCCTGGATTCTTATGCAATTCAAATAGTTAATTATTTGACTCATCTCGCTTAAGATTATAATTACTCACGAATGTCCATTAATCTTATTTCTGTTATAGATACTACACAGACAAATGTTGTTCATGTAACACAGTTGGAGAGAGATACCATTTTAGTCTGCTTGGATTGTAAGTGACATGTGACCTAGATAAACATATTCCAAAAGGGTGCAAGATTTAGGAAAAACTGCTGAATGATATATGTTGTTTGTTTTTCAGGCTGTATAAAAATAGTCAATTTACAAGGTAGATTAAAATCTAGCCGAAAACTATCTTCAGAACTCACATTTGATTTCCATATTGAATCAATAGGTAAGTTTTAGCCTTTATCCTTCATCAGATGGCTCTTCAAATATCTCATTATATAATACATAAAGGACCATGCAAAGGTGAGAGGATGCACAGCACTCAGCCTTCTGTTTTTATAACACACCTTTCTTTCTGCATATTTCTAAATACAATTGTGGCTTTAAAAGCCAGTTAGGACGGATTGTAAATTATTTCTTTTTAAAGTTGCTAGACTGTAAACTGCTTTTAAAACAAATAAAAAAAATCAAGAGAAAAAGGAAAATATATGACTCGGGCACTGTTTGTAAAGGACATTATTAGATAAAATCCTACTTTATAAAATATAAACTTTTAATATCCCTGGAAATAAGGATGACATGTACAAAAGTATAATTTGCAAAGATGGTATCTGGGAGTTTGTAATGAGTTCCAATGTTCATGCCTATGGGTTCTTATATGTTATACAGATATAGATATATTTTTCTTGAACTTAGATTTAAAAACATTGTGCCGTTCAAATAAAGTGGCTATTGTAGCATTAAATGTGAGTTTTTGCCATTTATCGTTTGGGTTCCCATAATCTCTTAGAGATGTAGGATGTATCTAGAGTTATATGTGTGCAGTGGAGCAGATGGAAGTGGGCATCCCTAGCCCTCCCTCCTCTCTATGACAGCTTGTGCAAACTCCCAAAAGTGCTACACAAAACTCAGATCATTGTGGAGTACTGAAGAGAAAAGTGAAGGACCCTGGAAACCAGGCAAAGAGTCGCATGTGAGGGGAGGAGAGGGGCAGCTTCTGCTTTCACTTTTGACTAAAATCTCAGTTCTGTGTTATACATAGAGCACAGTGCCCTGAACCGGGCCATTGGCTTCTGGTAGGGTTAGGCGTTTTTAATTATTTCTAGATTGCATCCAAAGGCTGCAGTCCTGCACACATTCAGATGTGTGTGGAATCAACACAGTCTAGGTGCAAATAAGTATGATTACAGCCTATAAAAAGCTAATTTGAGTTGTCTCTTCCAGTTTGCTTGCAAGATAGTGTTTTGGCTTTCTGGAAGCATGGGATGCAAGGCAGGAGTTTTCGGTCAAATGAGGTAAATATTGCAAGATGAAATAAAAATCAGTGTCATTCTGCTTGAATTGTCTTGAAAAAGACACTTAAAAAGCAAGTTTGCTTTTCTTAGTATCCATAATTAACATTTCAGTCTTTAAATGATTTTGTAAACTAAAATGGCCTTTCTGTGATGTTTTCCCTAGAACAAAGGGCTACAATGATCAAAAGAAATAGCTGGAAATTCCCAGTTGTGCTTATGTCTGCTTATGTATGGATTTGCTGGGTAGGCTTTGGCAAAATCAGATTTAAATGCCCCATCTGAAAAATGTAGGTGTAGTAAGAGAGACATATAACATAGGATCAGTTGTTCAGATTACTGAACTCTGCAAAAATATTTTCAGCATGTGATATTTATATATAGCATTTTCCTTGAAATAATATGGTACACTCTTTCCCTGAATATGGTGCACCCTGAAGTGGTACACTTTTTAAAATTGATCATCATTGAACTATGAGAGCTTCAGCTGTTGGGCATTATAGATAAAATAAATAGATCTAGTTGGAGCAACTTTAGAGCAAAACAAATCCTCAAAAAATATTATTCACTTGAGCATTATTAAGCACTTAAAATAAATTATTTATTTGGTGTTTCAAATAGATCACACAGGAAATTTCTGACAATACAAGGATATTCAGACTCCTTGGATCTGACAGGTAGGATTTTTTCCAGCCATAACATACTTAAAAAAGTAAGAAAATGGGGAAAGAGAGGAGTGGGAGTAGACAAATCGTTGGGCTTGGGGTCAGCATTGGGTTAGTGGGCTTCAACAGCTGCCAAGAGTACATGACAGCTGAGGAACAGCAGGGGTTCCTGCCACCAGATACTTGCCTGCCCCTCTCCTTTCCTTTGGGGCAGCGGTGAAGACTGGGCCCGATAGACCAGCAGTGTTGAACTCAGGCCCAAGGACCAGATCAAGCCCACCTGATGTCCCAACTTGGCCCTTGAAGGAGGGTGGTCTCAGATGACTACAATCCCCTTTCCTGTTCCCATCCATTCTGCCTTCAACTGTTTTGTGGCTCCCAACCTCCTCCATTTTTTTCCTGTCCTCAGTGGTTTGAATGCCTCCCCCAAGGCTTAGTTACTTGTAAGAAGAGTTGTAAAAGCTAAAAAGATTTCTGTTACTTTGGATAAACCTGGCTCTGTTCCTTTGGGTGTTGGCCTCACCCTCCATTGAAATATGACCCTTCAGGCTGTCACAGACTCAAGGCCCACCATCACTCACCAAGCAGGGGGCGGGCGGAGTGCACAGCTCTGAAACTTGCCCACATTGCCACTCTTGTGAGCAGGGGAGTAATCAGTGCTGGCCAGATCTGCACTTTCATTCCAGCACCAAGGAAGAAGCCACTCCTCCCGCAAGGGTTCTTGCCTTGGACGCCCCTGCCCCAATCTGAAGCTGACTCTTGGGGTAAAATGAGTAATAAAGTGATGTATTTGTCATCATCATGATCATCATTATTATTGCAACTTTTTCTTCTTTTCTAGAGTTGTGGTACTGGAGAGTAGGCCAACAGATAACCCAACCGCCAACAGTAATTTATACATTTTAGCAGGACATGAAAACAGTTACTAAGAGGTAACATGCATGGGAATTTAATCTTGAAAGAAAACACTACTGCTTCAACACTTACAGATGACAACACTTTATGGCTGAAATTGCACAAAAACTGCAGTACCCCAACTTCAGTTGCTTGGTAATTTATTGTGGTGTACAAGAGAGCAAGTGAGAGGAAGAACATTTGCCTGAATGATATGGACATGCTTAGCACATTTATACCACGAAAGTGCTTGATTCACCATTTATGTAATCTTTGTACATATATGCATTTTTTTCAGTGAATTGTATTCTGAAGGCCTCCCTTGATTTTATGTAGATAGTGGTCAAGTCCTACCTGTACAGATGTATAAAGATCACTGAGGATATTTGGGGTACTATTTTAAGGACTATTCTAAAATTGGATGCTAGCGATAAAGACAGTGCATTTAACACTATTGTTATTTTATTATGTAATTTACTAATATGAATAAATCATACCTTTTAGACATTGTAACCAAGGCTGTAATCCTATTACAATCTTGTTTTTAATTTTATGCAAGTACACTGGTGTTTTGGTTACACAAAGTATTCATGTGTGATGTATTTAGTCACGAAAGTAAGCTGTGACTTTGTGGATATGATTTGGGTGTTATAATTTTAGTTTATTTGATATTTTTCTTTGTGAAACCAGCCAATTGAACACCTGTATTTTTATATTTAAGGAAAATTCTCTTAATTATTTTCTGTGCTTGGAAAAATACATATTTTGGAATGGGAATAAATCCCAAATAGTGGTACCTTGGCATAATTATAAATATATAAAATTATACTGTAAGCATTATTCCAAGTTTGTTATAACCAGTGCCACTCATATCATGCAAAAGAAAAGGAATGCTTTATTTCACATGAAGTAGTTGGAATATTTCGGACTGGATCAGGAAAATGACATGTAAAAGGCTGCTACACATGCTTAGTGCTCTGTGCAGTACTTTAGTGATATGCATTAACACTTGGATTAAGATGAAGGGATGCATCTTCTTAAGATATGGGTAACGGACTTGGCAGGGCAGGTTGAATACTATTTATAAAGAATTGCTGTTGTAACTTTTGGATCTGCAGAGATCCTCCACCAGTTCTCATAGGATTACTATGCACTGTGGGATTCTATACATGATTCACATGTGCAGAGAGCAGAGTAGTCCATCTACTCTGGTTTTCTTTCTGTGGTGGGATCTCAGAGACCTGAATTTTTCAAGCTGCATTCCAGGGAACCTTGGAGTTCCTCCAAGGCTTAGCAGAGGGCTTCCCAATGAGAATATCAATAGTAACAGAAAGAGTTCCTGAGAGATCATGTGCTTAGCCCTACTAGTTTTTCCTTGCCACGAGCAGACAGAAGGAATTTAGGATAGGTTTTTAGTTCATGCAGGGTAATACTAAGGCCCAACAAAGAAGGCCTACAGCCCCTGGGGACTGAGCATGCACCTTATGCAATAGCTAAGAATCCTTGGTAACATGCAGGAAATCCTTTAGCAGACAAGTTATTTCTCTGAAGGTAGGAAACCCACTGCTACACAGGGATGCATATAGAATGCACATAGGGCTTTGTTCTGCATATAGAAAAGAGTTGCTGGATGGAATAATTGTCTCAATTCAACCTGTTTAGGGGATTTTTCTTTTCTTTAATTCAGCCTTACTCTGTTTTCACTTTCTTCCTTTTAATGTCTTAACACCTGGCCAAAATAATTTAGTTACTACCTCACACAAGTGAATTAAATGGTTATTAAACATCACAGGAATTTTAGTTTTGAGTAAAACTATTTTTGATTGTTTTCCAGTGCAGTATGATGTAAATGACGAGTTTTAGAATAATGCACATACTGGCTTTTTTGTATATGTTCTTTATACTGTGATATAAACTATGAACAAACTGCATTAAGGTGATTTATGGTCTGTATTGATGTTGTTGGTAATGCTTTTGATTATTTCCTAATGTATATAATGTAAAATAAACTTTTTTAACATGTTTGTTGTACATGTGGATACCATCTGCACTCATTTTCTGAATAAATTAAACTTCTGCTGATTTGGGAAACTTGTGTCTTAACTGAAATTGTTTTTAATTCCAGTGAATATATAGAAATAGTAACACTTAAAGTGAGGTTAGGTACTAAGCTTATTAATTGCAGCTTGACTTGGTCCATAAATAATGACATAATAGTGGCTTATTACATGTGAACACCACTCTTTTGTGCTTGGCTTGTTGATACATCTCAAGCTTCTGGTATTTAAAAAAAATTCTGCAAGATCAAAGGCTGCCCACACCTGTTACATAAATAACACTGCAATTTTTGCCTCTATTTCCAAGTTGAGATTTGTCTTCAGTATATTGTATGCCTTAGCTAGCACTCAAGACTTGCTGGTCTAAAAGTTAGAAAATGCAGATTTAATTCAGTAAAAAGAAATTATACAAGAACCTTGCATATTTTGCATGAATCATCCAAGTGCTCATAAGTGTGTTTGTGGGTGGCCCATTCACTCTAACAGAAAGAGCCAGTCCCTATTTGCAAAGGAATGAGCACAGCAGCCCTTTTGGCAGCAAAATCAGATTGCAAGATTGAAGTGATAAAGAACCTTGACATTTATAGCAGTGCAACTTGGCAATGACATTTTTAAAAGGGAGTATCTGTATGTCTAGTCTTTCTACTAGGATGGAATAGTGATAACAAGTTTTTAAGTCTCCTACATAAACAACAATACTAGAACCAAATAGGCCTGGACTTAATTTGAGTCAGTGATTAAAATAATAACTAGTCTTTTAAAGCAGAAATACTTCTTTTATCCATTTGAATTGCTTGGACTTCACCAATTCTGTGCAGTAAATGGGAAAAATAGCATGGCTTTACAGATCAAAGGGGTGACCAATCCCTCATCTTCCTTTTTCTCCTCACTTTGCAGTCCGAGTGTCATTTTTATTAGCTGGGCTTCAGCTTCTGTGCTAGTTGTGCTTTGTTTATTATTTATTATTATTATTTATTAAAACATTTTTATGCAGCCACATTCGCCGAAGCCTCGGGGCGGCTTACAACAAAAAATTAAAATAACATTTTAAAATATATACAATAAAATACAAATATATAATATAAAACATACACTATAAAACAAGCCGCCCTGGCCAAATAAAATTCAATAATATTAACATTTAAAATACTGCTTAAATAAAAAGGTCTTCGCCTGGCGCCGAAAAACAAATAACGACGGCGCCAGGCGGACCTCTCTGGGGAGCGCATTCCATAACTTAGGCGCCACCGCTGAGAAAGCCCTCCTCCGAGTAACCACCCTCCTAACTTCTTCCATGGAGGGCTCCCGGAGAAGGGCCTCTCCCGCCGATCTCAGGGGGCGGCTGGGCATATAAGGATGTAAGCGCTCCTTCAGGTAACCAGGACCCAAGCCGTTTAGGGCTTTATAGGTCATAACCAACACCTTGAATTGGGCCCGGACTTCAATGGGAAGCCAGTGAAGCTGACGGAGAACTGGAGTCATGTGAACATAACGTCCAGTCCCCGTCAGCAGCCTGGCAGCTCTATTTTGGACCAATTGAAGTATCCGGACCGTCTTCAAGGGTAGCCCCACGTAGAGCGCGTTACAGAAGTCCAAACGGGAAGTCACCAACGCATGTGTCACTGTCGCAAGGCAGTCATTCTCCAGATAGGGGCGCAGCTGATGAATTAGCCGAAGCTGGAGGAAAGCGCTCCTCGCCACTGCTGTTACCTGAGCTTCCAGTGAAAGCTCTGGGTCGAGGAGCACTCCCAAGCTGCGGACCTTGTCCCTAAGAGGGAGTGCAACCCCATTCAGGACAAGGTTCAATTCACCCTCTCCGAAGCCCGATCCGCCAACCAACAGGACCTCCGTCTTGTCTGGATTGAGCTTCAGTTTATTGGCCCTCATCCAGCCCATTACCTCGGCCAGGCACCAGTTCAGCACAGCCACTGCCTCACCTGGATTGGTGGAAAACGAGAGGTAGAGCTGGGTATCATCAGCGTACTGATGGTTCCGCAGCCCACACCTCCTGATGACCTCTTCCAGCGGTTTCATGTATATGTTGAACAGCAAAGGGGACAAAATGGACCCCTGCGGTACTCCATGGCATAGCTGCCATGGCGCAGAGCCATAGTCCCCCAGCACCACCTTCTGGAACCGGCCATTGAGATAGGAGCGGAACCACTGCAAAGCAGTGCCTCCAACCCCCAATCCCGCAAGCCTATCCAGAAGGATACCATGGTCGATGGTATCGAAAGCCGCTGAGAGGTCCAGCAGAACCAACAGGGACGCACTCCCCCTGTCCTTCTCCCTGCACAGGTCATCATACAGGGCGACCAAGGCAGATTCAGTACCGTACCCGGGTCTGAAGCCGGACTGCAATGGGTCCAGATAATCAGTTTCATCCAAGAGTGCTTGGAGTTGTCCCGCCACCACTCGTTCTAACACCTTGCCCAGAAACGGGATGTTGGCCACTGGTCTATAATTAGTGGCCATCTCTGGATCCAGTGACGCCTTCTTCAGGACCGGTCGGACTGCCGCCTCCTTCAAAGGGGCAGGCACCCGACCCTCCCTCAGAGAAGCGTTAACCACTTCCAAGATCCAGGTTCCAATCCCGTGCTTGGAATCATTTATTAACCAAGACGGGCAAGGGTCCAAAAGGCAAGTGGTTGGACGTACTCGCCCAAGCACCTTGTCCACATCATCGGGCCGCAATAACTGAAATTCATCCAATAAATCTGGACCAGACGGCAGCGTTGGTGTCTCCTTTGAAACCTCTGAATCAATAGTGGTGTCCAGCTCGTGACGAATCTGAGCGATTTTCTCCCTGAAATGCCTGGCAAAGTCGTCACAGCGGGCCTTTGAGGGTGGAATCAGGTCTTCCTTTGGACCTGGACGGACCAGGCCTTGCACCACTCGAAAGAGCTCCGCCGGACGGCATTGTGAGGAGGCAATGGAAGCGGAAAAGAATCTCTTTTTTGCCGCCCTCACCGCCACAGCATAGGCCCGATAGTGGGCTCGTAAGTGTGTTCGGTCAGATTCATCTCGTGATTTCCTCCACCTACGCTCTAGTCGTCTCCCAACCTGCTTCATCGCCCTCAATTCAGGAGTATACCAAGGGGAAGAGCGGGCTCTGCCCGGTGGGAGAGGACGCTTAGGAGCGATCGTGTCTACAGCCCTGGTCATCTCCCCATTCCACAGTTCGACCAGAGCCTCGACAGGAGCACCCGTCTTGTCAGCCGGAAACTCCCCCAGGGCCTTCAGGAATCCTTCTGGATCCATCCGGCTCCGGGGGCGGACCCACATAATCGGGTCCGCACCCTTACAGAGGGAGAAGTCGCTCTCGAGCATAAACCTCATCAGGAAGTTTACCGTAACTTTGTGGTGTAAATACCTGTTGCTTTTATTGGATGGTGATCTACCATTCTTCACAAGCTTAACATTATAGACAGATGACTATAATGCATTCTTTGTGGGACTGCACTTGAAGAATATTTCACAGCACGCCCAAGCTGGAGATGATAGATCTGCATTAGCTCTTATTACCCTGTAAAATGAAGGTGCTGTGTTTGAATCAAAACCTTCCATTACATGAGAACTCCATTAATAAGCCACTTATGCCAGGGATAGGCAACTTGTGGCCCACCATATGCTGGGCCTATAACGCCCTTTAGCTCTTACCATTGGTTATGCTAGCTAAGGTGGATGGGAATTGGAGGCTAAAACACTGAGGATCACAAGTTGCCCTTATTCACTTGTGTTGACATAGGGGACCAGGGTGCTGGTCCCAGTAAGATCTCTATGGGACTTCAGTATTTATACCCCTCCATTGGTGGAAAACAAACATCATGTTTTTTTACCACTTCATGAACCAAAGACAAGACGACCTTTCCTTTGATTCCATGACTGCTAGGTTTGCTGAGGGATCTTCGGTGAGGGTCTTTTTCAAAGGCCTTTTGGGATTTCAAATAAGCAATGTCTACCAGATCACCCCTGTCCATATGTTTATTGACACTCAGTTCTAAAAGGTTAGTGAGGCAGGGGTTACTTTTGCAGAAGCCATGGTGAACTTCTTTTCAGCAGGGCTTGTCCTATATATTTACTAAATTTATCTTTAGTGACGCTTTCAGTAAACATACCCGGAATGGATGTTAAGCTAACCAGCCTGTAGTTTCCCTTAACCCTTTGGATTCCTTTAAATAAAATCGGCATTACATTGGTCATTCTTTATTCCTCTAGTACAGAGGCTAATCTAAAGGACATGTTACTTAATTTTTGTTAGAAGATCAGCAATTTCATAATAGTTCTTTTAACTCTGGGATGAATATCAGCTGAGCATGGTAATTTATTATTCAATTTGTTGATAAGTTCAAGAAATTTATCTTTTGTCCCTTCTATCAGTTTAGGCACAGGTATCTGTCTTACATCAACTGTGAAGCTAGATTTAAAAAATGCAGTTGTTCTGGAAATGATTTCCCCTGCTTTAATACTCCTCTAAATATTCCCCAAAACACTCCAAAAATAGTTGGCACCCCAAAACACTCCAAAAATAGTTGGCCACATAGTAAAATGGTTATACTGTCCCAAAAGGGAGGGGGGTAAGAACAAAATGAACTCTAACCCACAGCTAACAGTAATCAAAGGGACAGTGGAAACAGGTTCTAGCCACCATGAAAGTTGCAAATGTGCAGGGAGTAAGAACATGGCAAGTCTGTGTGAATCTTGAGCAGATAAGAAATAGACATGGGAAATGCCTGGTCCTTGACAGAAGAAAGAAGGAATCTTTGAAGCTAACAGCAGGAGGGTGTGTGTGTGTGCACATACATTGATGTATTGATGCATAAGATCGATTGATGAGTTAGATGCACTAACTGCTTACATAGAGTATAAAACACATATACTGGGGTGTAAATTTCGAGACATTGCTTTGAGCCGCGTATCCCCTTTTGTCTCTATTCTATAGTGCACTAGAATAAAGGTGCCTTGGCTCTAAGTCTCTTCTCAGGCTCCTTTTGACTCAGGGTCTGGGGTTCACCCAGGCTTGCCCTAACTGTTGACGGGCTGAGTTCAGTAACACTAGCTAGTTTCTTCTATCAACAATTCTAGAAATCTAAAGAATTCTTTAACATTGGTCTTAATGATCCTCAAAAAGCTCTTTTTTGCATCTTGTTTGCTTGTATTTCCTTTGCACAAATTTATCCTTTTTGTTCTCATTTGGGAATACTTCCATTTCTTAAGGAAGCTTTTTCCCTCCTCTAATAATTTCCTTGACACTGCTTGTTAACCATGTTGGAGATGGTTTGGACTCACCTGTGCTATGCATTCTAACTGAACTTCTGTTTTGGTTTTGACTAACCTCCAATCATTTGGAAAGAACTTAACCCCCCCCCCCCCTTCAACTTCTTTTGCACAGGTCTCCCAGGAAGCATTTTCGAGAAAGCAACCTTAATGGTGCTGGATTTCCCAGCACCATCCTGTACCACAACCACTGATTCCACTCCAGCATTATATTTTTAAGACCCTAGCAATATAAGATTTCCCTAACACTGAAAATGTAGAAATATGGATGCCATGCAATCCTCTTTCTAAGGAAATCTCATTGCTATGAGTGAATGGTTCTTTCCCAGCAGGGTTGGCACAGCCTTTCGTTTCACTGAAGCCCCGAAGCAAAGCTAGGCAGTCGTACGCGCTGGGCACCATGTGCGCGCCATAAATGAAGTCACACCCACTGGGTCTAAGGAATGCCTCCTGCGATAGTTCGCCCCTAAAGCCCCCCGAGGACTGTTTCTGCCCACTCAACTCCTGGGAAGGAAGGCTGGCCCGCAGCAGGTGGGAGGGGACAGGCAAAGGTATGTCCTAGTTAGGTGAATCTGCCGCTCAGTAACGAATGACTGCACCGGGCGATTCAAAATAATTTAAAATACTCCCAAGTGCACATCACATCATAGAATGCATGACAAATTTCAGTATTTTACGTTTCACGGTGTTGAAGCGATTACTGACAGACCTCCTATTTTATTAATATATATTACTACTACTGCTAGAATAAGAAGACCCAATCTGACTTTGCACAAAGACGCAACATGCTCGCAACTGCACAAAGCAGTACACAACCAAATTCCTGACTCTACAGAATCCACAACGCTCCCTCTACCACCCCAGCCGTATCAGCGCGCCCAGCTCTGCTCGGCGTGTGCAGACAGATGCAGAAAAAGTGCTAGAACTTCCAGCATACCCCAGCCGTCCATGCTGGAAGTAGCAGGACTTTTTTCTGTCTAAATATGCACAGGACTGCACCCTTGTTTTGGGTTATACTTCCAGTTTACGCGTGGAATCAGTGTCATGTTTCCTCCGCTCCGCAGGCGGCGCTGTGAAAAAGTAAATGTCTCCGTTGTGTTTTTCTCTTGTTCAGCCCCTACAGCTTATTTTCAACTCTCCATCCTAAACTGAGGAAAGGCTATGTGTTACTCAGACTCTCACTTCCGTGCTGAAGAGGGGGAGGGGCCCTGGTGGGGCGGAGGGATAGGAAGGGGAGGAGAAGCGAAAAGGGGAAAGGGAAAGCGGAGCGAACGACTTCCAAATAAAAGCTTTTGGAAAGGAAGGGGGAGGAGGGTCGAGAACAACTCGGATTGCGCATGCCCCGTTGGCCTTTGTGCCAACTGCGCACGCGCGGGCGGTTGTAACCGTCAGGGTTAGCGAACCCCAGGAGTTCAAAGCCGCGCTCGGGACCCTGCCCCTCCCTCTCTCCCTCCGTCCCCTCAGCAACCGCCGATATCCTGCCGCTGCCGGGCGGCCTTCCTTCCCTTCTGCTCTTTCCAGCCTGGTCCTGTCAGGCTGAGGGAAAGGATGCCCGGTGGTGTCTTGTCCCAGGCCGGCCCCGGCGCTGAGTGAGACAAGGCCGGGCCGGGCGGCGGGCGACCGACTGAGGGATGTCGCCGCCGCCCCCCGGCGCTGGATCCTGCCGCTGCCGCCTCCGGCGGCTCCCGCCGCCTCTGTCCTCCTCAGGTTCCGGGTGTTGCCCGCGACCGCTTCGTCGGGCCCGGGGACAACGTCGAGCTCGGCCCCAGCAGTGATTCCCGTCGCTTCCCCTCACAAGGGACGGGACGGGGCAAGCAGAATGCAGGCGCCGCCGCTGCAGTACGAGTTCTTCAGTGAGGAGAACGCGCCCAAGTGGCGGGGACTGCTCGTGCCTGCCCTGAAAAAGGTGAGCGACGCGGAGCACCTCGCGGGAATCGAGCGGGGAGCGGGGAATGAGCAGCTCTCCTTCCCAACGGGGATTTAACTTGGGATGAATCAGAGAAGTACTGTGTAAATAAAGAATGTGGGTGGGAGTCATGCTTTGTGCGTACATGTGTCTCCTAGTATGCTGCCTCCACAGCTGGCTGGGGAATTGTAAACGTTGTCTTTCAACAGAGCTGGAGGGCACCAGGTTGGAGAAAGCTCCTGTAGTAGGTCACAGGTGTTTTTGTAGATGTCTAGGGCTTGCTAAATGTTGACATCTGCATGAGTTGGCTGACAATCTCAGATGAGAAAAACTAGATGTTTCCCCACTTTTTTGATATACATCACTGAATGTTGGCAGTCATTCATGTATCCCTGAGTGCTTGGGTTATCTGCAATTTTTATTCTTGGGATTACCAATCAGCAAATTTAATTTATTTCATTTGTGTCTATTTGTTTGTACCTATTTGTTTGCATCCTGTTTTTTACAGTATGAATTTTTTTGAGGTACAGATAATGTGCATGCTGCCTAGTAGTCAGCATTTAGAATACTGGTCTCTAATTCCCTGCCCCCACCCCATCAGTTTAGCAGTAAAAGATGCACAGAAAAAAATCAAGTGGGGAAATAAGATATTGAGTACAGCAATGGTTGTATAGGGTTGGATCCAGAGAATAGGCACTAGAATTCATGCAATTTTATATGGGAATTGCTTGAACATTTGTTTCTCCTGACTGATATTGCAGAGATTAACTACTTTAAATAAATACATATATACATACCTTTATCCATACATTTTCCCATCAGCTGATGAGTCTTCACCATGAAGCTGATTGATGAGAGATTCAGTATGGAAGTACAGAAGTACTTTTTTACAGAATGCACATTTAATGAAATGTAGTATTGCAAACAATACCAATTACCACAGATTTGCATGGTTTTACCAGGAGATTAGATGAAATCAAAGAAGAGAAAGCTATTTATGCCTATTAGTCATGATAGTTATTTAACCTCCAGATTTGGCAAACTATGGCTGTTCTATGATTAGTTTTGGGAAAGCCAACTGCAAATCATAGTTAATGAAGCTGGCTTGTTTAAAGTAGACATAGTTACTGTTAACTACAGTTATGGGTCCAGACAATCTGAAGAGTTGTGGTAAAGCAAATGCCTTTGAACGTCTTGCAGAAAAACAGGAGATGTGCATGTTTAAGGCTTTCAACATCTTACATTGTTCATGGTGTTTTTGATTATTAATGTTGAAAATATATGTAACCTATTACATTCAGAGTTGGTATGGCCATGTTCACCTGAGGCATAAAGATGACTAGTTATATCCCTGTTTTTGTCAGTGTTTATCCTGTTCATTTGTAGTTGTGCAACTGTTTTCATTTGCATTATACAATATGCTATATAAAGACAGATTTTTTTTCCACTCTCCCACTGAATTTTGATTCCTCAGTAGAAATGAAAGAAATCAATTCAGTTGGATGGTAGATTTAATCTTTCAACCACTTGTGTTCCTTCTTTTCCCTTTTTGTCAGAACTGTACCATGGTTGATCATAATTGCTATTGAATTCAGCTAGGGTTCACAAGCTTGGCTTAACTGTATTGAGTTAAACAAAAGTTAGCTTGAACATCATTATAGACACAGATCTCTGTCATGGTTACTCAAAAAGAGTGGAACAGTGAAAGAGCTAGTTCACACATAATGGCTAACTGTGTTTATGTCAAGACTCAGATCACTGATTACTTTAGAGGTTGAACAACCCAGAGTTAAGTGAAAAACAAACCACAGGAAACTATTGAGTTAACTCTGGGTAGTTTAACTCCCAAACAGCCCAGAGTTCTGGATTCAGATACCACCATTACATTGTTGGTTGTAACAACCCAGAGTTAACCACTGTTTACAAACCAATTTGTGCCTTAGGCTAGCACACTATCTCTTAACTGTGGGTAAGAGAATAGGAGTATCTGTATCAGCTAAGTGAGAATTTATCCAAAGGTAAGTTCTGCCTTAGGTGCCATTGTTTCTTGCTAGAAAGGTGGGGTACAAATCAAAGTATATTATAAATAATCTTGTCCAGGTAAAATGTGGTTATTTTAAAACATCATTATAGTAATTTACCAACAGCATTTAGTTAATTTTTTCGGTTGATAATATGAAAAGCAATATTTCATCCCCTCCATAATAGAAAATCATTACTGTGATGTACCACAGTAACTGAAATGTGTGGATGAAAGGGTTTTAGGCTATATAATGAAAACTATGTTTTCAAAATTTTATATATTATATCTATTTCTTTATATACTGCACTTTCTTGATTGGAGCCCAAACCCTGAGAAGTGCTTAGCTATTGATTTCAGTGAGATTAAATATGGTCTATGTTGGATTGGTGACTGATAGGTGCTTAATTCTGGGTCCCTAAGTAAGTACAAGATAAGACTTTCAGCTGTTCTTTGGCATTTTACATTTTGGGCGTGTTTACTTGTACTCTAGTCTAAAAGTTTTCTTAACACTTCAGTGCTAACTACATGTTACTTACAATATGATATTCCATCTATCCAAATGTAGATTAGATTGCAGTGGACATAGCTTTGTTATACTGAGAAGATGATTGCTAGTTATGGGGAGGTAGTTTAATATTCTTGTATTACTAGCATACAGTCTGCACAGTTGTACCCATTTAGGACAAATTTGTGGTATTTTAAAAATATGTAGACACTGATGTTTTAAAACTCAGACTTTTTTGTTAACTCTTATGTGCAAAAAGTATTGCACTTAAAGTTAAATTTTATTGTACAGAAGACATCCTTTGAAGAAATAAACAGATGCCTCTAAGAATTTGATAATTTAGCTCAGTATTTTAAAGACTGAATAGTCTGCTTAGCTGTTAAAGGTATGCCCCTAGAATTCTTTCCCCCCCTTTCCCCTTACTCACTAGAGTAGCATTTTTGGTCTAGAATAACACTTCCATGTGCTGCCACATTCTGTGGCAAAGTGTAAGTATACCCCCCACCTCTTCCCTGCAACTCCCTTGCTGCAGATGTGTCCACACTCCCGTGGCATAGGACTTGTACATGCCGAAGCAGCTGCCTCCCATGTAGTCAGGCACATGAAAGGTATTGGCATGGGCAGGCTATGCCCTCCCATGCCATGATTGTAGCCAGCTTGATCCAGGGTCCCACAACCCCACTGTCAGAAGCACCACCCCCATCTCCTCCCTCACATTCACACATGGAGGCAGCTTACCCTGGCACCCCTTTCTTCATGCCAGAGTGCAGTGTGAGCAGCCTCATCTGGTACTGCCCCTTGCCCCTCTCCACCCAGCCCTGCAGCTAGCCCTCCCCACAAGAACTACACAGCTGTAGCAAAACATGTGTTTATTTCTGCTGCATCACAGGGCCAAGGAAAGGGTGACTGTGCCAGAGAGAAAATCATTTCACATGTTAATAAAATCCAGTGGCTTCTTCTGTTGGTGCACGAATTCTGCTGCTCTACAGCTGCGCCCACATACTAAGCCCCACCCCACAATAGCTTGCCTTCAGCCACTGGATGCAGGTTCCCTTCTTCTCCCATTTCCTACACTTGTCGCTGTCTGCTTCCTCACTGCATGTACACATGCCTACTCATCTGTGTACATAGTTAACTTGCAGCAGTGAGTTAGATCTTCTGAGTGCTGGTTGTGAGGCTGTGGGGGAAAGCATCTGTGTTGTAGCCCCACACAACACATTCTTTTCTCTTCAGAATGACAGGAAGCTTTGAGAGGCGTTCTGATGTAGCTACTTCTGGGAAGTAGGTTGGCATCCATGCTGGAATGGAGGCTCTTTTGGTGAAACTTCCACAGGTAGTTATCCTAGATCCATTAGGAAATTTCAGTATGATCTTCCATGCCTCATGCCTGGCAGCAGTGGATGTCATTGGGGTCATTAGGCAGGGGTAGGTGACTACAGGGCTTGTTGACAGTCCCAAAGAATGCCAGAGACAAGATGGGAGTAGAGGAGAATGTAGGAGCCAGAGCAGGGGACATGGGCTTTTCAGAGCAGTCTCCTTGTTGGTGATGCTCCACACATAGCACATGTGCTCCTCTCATGTTAGGGCAACTTTGCAGAGAGGGAAGCAACGTTGCAGCCAGAAAAACAGCAACAGAGCAGTTCCTGAGTGGTGTTTGTGTGAACTGCAGTGATCAGGTAGGAATACCAAACATGACTGTCTTCAGGGTCACTGCTGGAGGTGGTACAACATGCTTCTCTACTGTCAGCAACATTGTAAAGCCACAAGTGGGTATCTGGAAGACAGCGAGAAGGCAAAAATGTAAGAGAGTATGGCACAGTGAATCAGTGCATGGCTGGAGCTGACTCATCTGTGGCTAGGCAGAACTGGACAGTGAAGGCTGCAGGTATGAGCATCTCCTGAAGCAGCAGCAGCTCTTTCCACCAGACTCTCTTATAGCAGTGCAGAAACTATATTTCTAGAGTCACATAATTGAACAAGCCATGGTGAAGCATGGAAACCATACAACAGACAATTGATCTCTCTGTGGTTACACAGAAACCAAGTGTACTAGGTGTTAAGTCTCTGACAGGGTTCATTCAAGATGGCAAACCATGCCAGGATGGTTTCCAGCATGGTTTAGCATTATGTCTGAACCTGGCTGGTAGCGTTTGATTCCTGGTTAGGTTAGCACAGGGGTGAAAAGTCTTTCTACCAAAAACCAAATTAAGTTTTGGTGAAACTTTTTAAGAGTGCATTTAAATGAGAAAAGGGGTTGGGGTCAGATACCAGCATATTTTAGGTTAAAACTGTTATTACCTATAATGAATCCTTAGGAAAGAGACTAAGAATAAACAAAAAGCTGTGCACTAAAGTTGGGAAATCACCAAGAATTGGTGTATGGGGAAAGGGAGATGCCTTTCTGGGAAGGTTTTGTACCTGTAGCTTAGCATTTCGTGCTGCTAACATGTAAATGAATATATGGTCCATCGTGAGTCTTCATTTTGTACTGTGGATTCCTTGCATCAAAGACAACTTGTTGCATTTCATAGGCTTTGGCTATGGATCCAGAAAAGAATATCTGTATGTGTAGTTCTGATTTTATCTGCAATGCATTAGTCTTGATAAAACTAGCCTGCAGCATAACCATGTTATAGTATAAGTTCGGAGCATGGCAGTTCATTAAAAATGTGGGTCAAAAGATGTCTTTCCACACCCCCTTTAAATTTTGGAATGCATAATAAACATGAGGTGGCTAAAACTCAGAAAGCAACTTTCATGACTGCATTTAGACTGCTATTTTCCGCTGGAATACTGGTTATCAACTGTCTGATATTATTGGCATCATACACCTAATCTGTGCTATTATTTCCTTTTAATTATCATCTACTTTACCCCTGGTGCCAGCAGTTGATGTCAATTTTTATCCTATGCTGACTTGGTAAATTGTGCTCAAAGCAGTTTACAGTATCAAAACATTTGTCCATATGTTTATAAATTAAGGCATTTAGACATATACACTCAGTTACAATTAATGTACCCAATGTTATATGAGGATCAGACAAAGGGGAATTAACAAATTCATAACCATAGAGGCAGCAATATTTGAAGCTTCAGTCAATCTGTTTGTGTATTTTCCTCCCGTGTTTCATGAAATGATGCCCCCCAACCCTTCCGCCCCCCAATAAAACAGACCTGCAGGACTATTAGGTTGTTTCTAGGCAGGTTCAGCAGCAGCTTTTGTGGCTGGAGTCAGTGGAATCCTTGCCCTTCCAGGAAAATGGAATGAGGCAAAGAAGGGACCTGGCCTTGCAACTAGATGGTCTTTTGGCATCTTCTTCAGAAACCTTTGTAGCTGAGGTGAGTTAGGGTTGTGCTGTCCCAAACCAGGTGGAAGGAAGGGGCCACATATCATAGAACTCAGAACTGGATGGTTTCTAAACATCTTAAGAAGAAATAGCAGTTTCTGTAGCTAATGTCATTCCAGTGACCAGAAAGAATTAACTTTGTGAACCTGATCATCTTAGCAACTCCCACCAAGGTCATCAGCACTTACTTCCTAGTATGTGGGTTTAGAATTATAGCTTAATACATAGAAATGCTATGGGATAGGCAGAAAGGTCAGAAAAATTTGGCTTCTGCTCTTGGGCAGAGAGGCCAAATAATGAACAAATTTGAGAAGGAAAGAGGAAGTGAAACCCAAAGTTGTAGTGTAAGCCTCTTTTAGCTGTATCCAATTTTTTTACAAGTAGTTTTATTGCAAAGCTCTTCACTGTGCAATGGTCCAGTTTCCTAGCTGGTAGACATTGGATTTGCTTCGCCATCCTAATTATAAGGCTAAACCTGTAGTTATCAGCAATGAAATATGATCTTATAGGGTTAAATAAGTTTTTAGCTTGCATCAGAAGGTAGTTTCTTATTCTGAATGCTTGTTTGATAAAGTTGTTTTTGATAATAGAAAAAGCTGTATGCTTGTCCATTCATCAACATTATAGCCCCAAGAATATTAAAACTAAACACATAAACATACTAAAGGAATCTTAGGGATGGGCAACTCAGGTTATTTTGAATTTAAAGCACAATTTTAGTTACTTTTAAGTTATGTCTACATGTATTTGAAGCCTGCAATATCATCTTCTGCCATTAAGAAGCATATGGTTTTGCAGTCCATACAGTGTGAAAGACACAGAAGATTAGCAGGTCAAGAGGCACAATTATATACATGGCTTCACTCAGATGTGGGCAGGCATGATGTGGCCAATTCTGACAGCTTTTCTTGAAAGATTTGCTGTATCAAACTAAGGCCTATTCCAACTCATATTAAGTTGCATCTGTTCATTAGTGGTTAATAACAGTTGCAGAATTTTATTCTGCATTTGCATAAAGAAAACTGAATATAAACCTTGGTTGTATGGGATCTGAAGTTAATATGAACAAACGATAGTTGAAAGTGTTTGTATTCCAGCAGTATGAAAGGATGCTAAGGTCTAACAGTAGTATTTATTTAGAGATTTTAAAGCCTGCTCTTCATTTGAAGAAGTCTCGCAGCACTTATAAAGATCAGTAATAAGATAATCCGCACTCTCAGATTTACAATCTGAATGACATGATACAAAAAGAAAAGGGATTGGCTGGAGGAGGAAAGAACAAATATGGGCATTAATTCTTAATTGCAACATTCTTATACTGACTAGCTGAAATTAAAACTGTAAGCGGAGCGGGGGCAGTAAAAGCAAAGGTAAGTAGGGAAGTGGTAACTTGAAAGAGCGTACATTTCAGTTGTCCATAAATTTTGACTGTGCTTAATAGCAGGCTGTTGAAGTCAATCAAGGCTAAGCTAGCTGCATTTAGTCCCCACTGAAAATAAGTGATAGTAAATTAACAAGTAATTTGTCCCATCGAAATCAATATGATGTAAGTAAACTAGCTTTGGATCCAGTCCATAGTTTGTAGCAGCCAGCTAGGTTTGGTATTTGCACTTCCTGCTTGAGAAACTAAGAGCATACCTTTTATAGCCACTGCCTAGTGATATGTTTTACACCACACCTCTCCTGTTTGGTGTGTTTATAGTAGAGCAGCCTGTCTCCACCATGTCCTATCACTGCTAAATCCCAGAACAAAATGTAGGCCTGTTTAATTTTGCAGAGGCACTATCTGCATTTGCATGCTACCAGTGGTTTCCTAAAACTGTTGTACCTGTAGCAGAGTATACTGATACGTGATTTTAACTGCTGTAGCTGCTCTTAGTATGTATATTGAAAGGTCTGAGTATGAATATTTATCTAAATAAATAAAATACTGAAGGCTTTTGTTTTAGTTGCCAAATCAAATTTCTGGTCATAACTTGCTGACCATATTTGTAGACAATGATTAGAAAAGAACAGTATATAGATAATGCATTTTAATTTGTTTCAAGAATGACAAATGGAAATACTTATTCATGTAGTGGCTGAGTTCATAATAACACTAAAACCCATATGCAAAGTTGAGTATGAGTAGGAGTTGAATTTGGGTTGTTGCTGAATGCTTGGTTGTGTTGTGTAATTGCAGCCATACAAACAAACAGACAGCCTTGACAAACTTTTTTAAAAGATATGTATCTTTATTTTATTCTGTTTTGTATTTTATTTTGTATTTTATTTTTTGTTGTGACCCACCCAGAGAGCCTTATGGCTAATGGGTTTACTTTTCTTTTTTTCTTTTTTTGGCGGGGAGGTGTTCCCAGTTTTCCCAACTGGCAGAAATTAAGAGATGTATTTCAGAGTGCAGCAGCTTACTACTTCATATTCAACACCTGCCATATTTGCTGATTATTTTAATACAACAAAGACACATATTTACATTTCATAATACAGTAAATAAATAGAGCAAACATATATTCTGTATACATCATATATTCTTAAAATCATAAAGTAGGTTGATCTTGACCTACATTTTCATTTCTCTGAAGACTGATTCATTTTGGTTTCAAAATTTCCAGGAATCTTAATACAGGTAACTTGAATGCTTCTATTGCACAGCACAGTATTTTATGTATAGGCATTTTTAATAGAGGAATAATCAGTTGTGTGAGCTATTATCTGAAGTGGTATTGCCTAGAACAGGGATAGGTAATCCATCTGCAACTTCTGTAATTCCCTATCATTGGTCATGCTGGCTGGACCATATCGAAGTTGTATTAACACAACTTATAGAGGACACCATGTTATCTTATCCTGGTCTAAAACAAATGGGTTATTACCTTGTCTGCTGTTTGAGAAGTAGGTGCAGGTCTTCAAACTCTACTTTTTATCTTCCTTTTTCCTCAGCCAGTGTACAGGTTCACAAAATAATGTTAACCCATGGTTCACTTGTTCAGTTTAAAGGTTGTTTGTTCCCTCTTCCTTTATCTGCTCCCTTTCTGTATCCCAGAACTACAGTACTGGCATGTAAAGAGGTGCAGGGAGGGCCCTGGTCTTGCCATGATTCTGGGTTCACAAACCATAATTTAAATCCACACTTCACAACCCAGCAAGAAACCATTCATTCTCTTTCTGTGTTTTCATAGTTAACCCAGTTTAACCCACACAGATTTTCACATAATCCATATTTCAACAAATCATAATTAAATAATAGCTTGTCATTACATGTGAACAAGATCTGTGACTTCATAGGTAGTGAAGTCTGAACCAGGAATTCTTGCACATAGCTATTGCTATTGCTCTTAACAATAATGCTACTCTACTGCTTTCTCTTTTGCCTGTTTCTCCTTTCTGTAGTTCTACACAGTTGCATGACACTTGAAGTTTAAACAATGTAGGTTCCCCTCTCTGTTTCTCACTCACAGAGTGTGGTGCAGGACTATTTCTTTGAACTTGAGAAAGGTAGTGTAGAAAGTAGTTCCCTCTCATATTACAGCCTGTGAGGTAGTCATCTGATTCTGAGGAGGAGGAGGTATAGGAGTGAGTTGGGGAGAGGACTTCAGTGTTTCAAGATTACCTAGTGAAGTTTCTCAGACAGAGCAGGAAAATCAGCTTGTTTTGGAAGGGGTGGAAGGGTGTTTTCATGATGGAGAGGAGTATATGCAAGACCCAGTTCTTGTCCCAGTAAGGAGACAATGGGAAAAATTAATTGCTCAGTTAGATGATCTTCTCCATTCCCATTGCCTTGCCTTCAAGCAGCAAAGACAACCCTGAGGGTGGAGTCAGAAGCTTTACTGAAAGGGAAAGACAGAGGGAGAAATTTCACTTTGGATTCAAATCTTTACATGGGAAGATGCTTCTGCCTATTTTAATAGACATTTAAAAAATAAGGAGGAATTTTAACCTAAATGCTTAGTTAACATTCCCAAAGGGCTGAATGTGTTGTGCATATCCAGCCAACTGACTTCTAAGATGCTCCTGAAAACTGTGGTATAAAATATAAGTTTGATTGTTTTATGTTGTATTAGGTTCAGATGCAAGTCCACCCAAAACTGTCATCTACTGAAGAAGCATTACACTATGTTGAGGAGTTAATTCTGCAGTTGCTAAACATGCTGTGCCAAGCACAGCCAAGAAGCTCCCAAGATGTAGAGGTACCGGAAGAGTTTATTTGTACTTCATTTTGTAACCATTTATGCAGTGTTATTTTTACTCTACTAATATAAAATTAAATCCAATTTGACATTAGTAGAATTCCAATAGTGCTACGAAGACTTTCTCCCGCCTTTCTTGCCCTTACAGCCTTCCACAACACTTGTAAATCTGCTCTGGTGGATTGCCCAGATGTCCAGAGCAGATTTTGAGGTTGTGTGGGGAGAAAGAGAATAGCTTTGCTCCTGTTTCCACTGATGCAACCAGCTTACAAATACATGTATGATTTTAATGTTTAGAGTATGCTATATATACAGTTATGTATGCAGAAATATAGACTGTTATTTGCTATTCCTTTTTATATAGTTCAGTAGTGAATTATACCAGTACATTGAAACTGAATTCCAACAAAATAAAAGCACACATTACATCAATTCCTAAGGAATTACATTGGCTACCTCTTTGCTTCTGAGCTCTATTCAAGGTGCTGGTGCTTATCTCTAAAGCTGTAAGATCTTAGGACCAAAATATCTTAAGCTCCTCCTTTCATATGAATATGCCTGTGCCTTAATTGGATATTGAATTAGCACCCTTCTCTGGATGCCTCAAGTGCAAAATAAAGCATTTCATAGTGTACTTTGTGCATTACAAAGGCACAGAGAAAAGGGCCTTTTCTGTGTCAGTGCGCCAACTCTCAAAAACCCACCCAAGGGTTATTTGCCCAGGACAGATGTTTATTTTTTCAGATATGAATGGGAATGTTTTTATTTGCCTTAGCATTTTAATTGTTTTTAACACTAATATGGTTTTAGCTGACTCAGTTGTTTTATCATTGTTCTATCCTTATATGCCACCTGAACTTTTATGTGTGAAGGGCAATATGTATTTTAAAAGAATGCACTTCTTATTTCCTTATTCCAAGTAGATGTATTTAAGACAAAGATCCTATAACTCCTATCATTTCTCAATCAGCACAGGACCTTCTTCTGTCTAAACTTGCTAAAGGATTGCACCTTGGAAAAATATTGTTTAGTCGTTATATATTTAGTCATTATTCTTTTGTGTGTGTGTGTGTGTGTTAAAAGGATCGTGTACAAAAAAGTTTTCCCCATCCTATTGATAAGTGGGCAATAGCTGATGCACAGTCTGCAATTGAAAAGAGGAAGCGAAGAAATCCACTATTTCTTCCTGTAGAAAAAATTCACCCATTGTTAAAAGTAAGTATTTCGAATGTAGTATATAATAGTATATAGTATAGTAAGACTATATCTTAAGTGGACTCCGGGGGATGGTGGAAGACAGGAAGGCCTGGAGGAATGTTGTCGATGGGGTCGCGATGGGTCGGACACGACTTCGCGACTAACAACAGCGTAGTAGTACTATACTATAAATGTAGTATATAAGGTGTTAACACATTTAATCAGTATTTGTCCTTCAGAGTTGATACAATTTCTAAAGAGAAATTGATTTTTGTACAAACTATACCTGGATTTTCTTTTCAAGACTGTCTAGATCTCATCTAAGTCATCTGTTATCCTAACTATAAATCGTTCTAACTAGAGCTTCACAAATTTTGGCTGGTACTGATAAGGGGCCAGAACTTGTGACCACCATAGCCTTTCCAATTTCCTGACTTCAGAGGAGTTTACATGATGCTGAGCTTCAGAGTTAGTCCCAGGTCATAAGAGGTCAGGAATGATCCCTTCTTAGCTCCAGACTTTAAAAAAGGGGGGTTTCTATGCTTGTTTTGTTGTTTGTATATGTCTGATTAGTACTGGATATGTAACTCAATATCTGAGGTGTAATTACTTTTGTCCTAGTTTTGGAGAAATGTAGGGCTCATGATACCTGGTTGAAAGGTAAGGGATGCTAGCTCTGATTACTTACTTGTGGCCCTTGGGTTCTGAATGATATTGCTGTTCTTCAGAAAATATATAACCAGGGATAGCATGGCCTTTCAGGTACATAGGCACCTATTTTTAGTAACCAGCCTGTTCAGGAAGAGGGGAAATCTTGCATTTGTGTATACCAGTATAAATGTAACCACCTAGGTCTGTGGACCTTTTCAAAGCCTTGATTATATATTTCTTGATACATCAGATACTGGATGTTCATTGTAATTGGATTGTACGGCAATAAGGTAAAAACTGTAACAACTTTGTTTAATTTGACCAACAGGAAATACACTTAAGCTTCATTGTCTAGTATTCCAAATTCTAGTTTATCAACTGTAACTCAATGTTTCATTGCAAATAGTTCTATTAAAACTGTCTTCCAAAGGAACCTGTTGCATGATATTATTTAGATTCCCATGTTTAGAAATAGGCATTTCTTAGAGGTTGATGTATATGTATTACCAAAAAGAATATGTTATCTCTTACTTTCAGGAAGTTTTGGGTTATAAAGTGGATCACCAAGTATCTGTTTACATAGTAGCAGTATTAGAATACATTTCTGCAGATATCTTAAAGTTGGTTGGGAACTATGTACGAAATATAAGGCATGATGAAATTACACAACAAGACATCAAAGTAGCAATGTGTGCTGATAAGGTATGTAAAGTTTATATTTTCAATTACTTTCTAATGGCTTAGATCCACCAGAGCCCCTCCTCAAACAGGAGTCCATGAGTGGAAGGGGCTTCAAATTGGTGCAGACTTTTGTGGAAATAAGGAGGATATATTTTGCCAATCTCTATTTTCCAGAGTACCTTTTCCAACCCTATAGAGCTACTTTCTGAGATAATGCAGCGAAGGGTAACCAGGTGAATATTGTCACATTTGTGCCTTCTTGCTTCAGATAATGATTTGTTGAATTGGTGTGTTGATCAATGCTTATGAGTAGGGCTCAGTAGTAAAGAGAATCTCTTCCAAATTTGATTAACCATTTTATGTTAAAGTCTCATCTATTTTCTCAAGTCAAAAATGAGGTTGAAAGTGAAAAACATGATATTAGCTTGAGTTACCACTAATTTTAGAGGACTGGTCTGATTCATTTATTGAAGCTTGTACAGGTTACCATCTCATGAGATGGAAACCTCCAAGTTTGGGGTATCTTCTCTATTCAGTGCCATGACAGTTTGAAACTGGTAGGATGGGAAGAATGACAGAAGCAGTCTTCTCCCTCTTCCAGTTGCTGGGTTATTTGTTAGATTGGTTGTTTGGTCTACTATTGGTGCTTTGTCAGCAAGAGGCAAGATAGGTTGAAAAAGGCTCAGGATTGCTCATATCTTTGTCTATTTTGTTTCTTTTCCTCCCTTTTGACTAGAATGTCCCATTTCCCTCCCTCTCCTGAGGCAATTTCAAACTTCAAAGACAAGTCAGCATGGTTCTTTCTGCCCTGGCTAAAGGAGGGATGGACCTCTGACTTCCTTTTTTGAGCACAGGACAATTCAGAAGGAGGAATCCTCAGCATCCTGTGGCCCTTCAGACACAGGACTGCTCCTTAAATGACCATTTTAACATCTATGTACTATTAATCTCCACTCTTCACATTTTAATAGTTGGAGTTAATACTTCATAATACTTATAAAATGTACAACAGAAATCTTAGTATAAGATTGAAGCCAGGGTAATATGGTATTAAGATTTTTTCCTTAAATTTCTGCGTACAACACTAGCTACTTTTAATTTTTGTATTAGTAAAGTGAAAAACAACATAAACAATGCCAGTTTCCAATAAGCTTTGTTTTTCTTTATGCATGGCATAATGAACCAGTGTCAAGGTCATATTAAAAATACAATGTACATTCTGTTTAATTTTAACTTGGTTGGAAAGAATTGTATTTCTCCAGTTCCCATTTAATTTTGATGATTTTCTTTCTTCTACCTTTAACAGGTGTTGATGGATATGTTCCATCAAGATGTAGAGGATATAAGTACACTGACTTTATCTGATGAAGAACCCTCCACATCAGGAGAACAAACCTACTATGATCTTGTAAAGTCATTCATGGCAGAGGTTCGACAGTATATAAGGGAATTAAATCTCATAATAAAAGTCTTTAGAGAACCTTTTATTAGCAACTCCAAGCTGTTTTCAGGTCATGTAAGTATTTTGATTTTTTTCTGATACATTAAAAATGTGTTTGCACATTGGAGGAAGTTGAAGCAGACTACTAGCTTAAGTTGAAAGTATAACCTAATGAGTATAAACAGTTTAAACCCAACAGATACCATAAAATGCTATTTGATGTAAAGGTATATCTAGATGTGTCACAGTCTTTATGAAGCAGATACACACACATACTTATTTTCTGGTAACATCTTTTACTTGGCCACCAGATGATTGGAGAGAAAATTCTTGAGCGCTAATTTATGTCTTCACAATCTTAATGGGTGCTTATGAGAAATAGCCTTCCTCTGTCTGTTTGAAATCCTGAAGCCTGGTGGAAGCTTCCCTCCTGTTCCTCCCAGTGGCTCTCAGAATAGGCACTGGTGGCTGGCGTGCATTGGAGCCACTAACTATTGCCTAACTTTTTCTGTGCTCTTGGCAAAAAGGGACCCCCTGTCATCACTGGGTAATTGTCTTTGGTGGGCAAAAGCAGGTCTTTGTCAGAGGAAGAAGTATGAATTGGTTATCCATTTCACTTTTTGCAATCCTGTGCACTTTTATAATGGATGCAGAATTGTATTCCCTTAATCCTAATTGTGTACTATTTTTTTAGACCAGATGGCATTTGAACTCAAATGCATTGAGAATATTATGTTGACATTAAGGCATTGTGTGTTTTCTCTTGAGGAAATTTTATGTTGAAACAATAGTTTTATGGACCCTCAACTATAAAACTAATATTAAAACACAGTCATGTCCATTGAAAAGATGGGATATAAATAAATAAAATCACATTACTCAAATCTGTTCACATTATTTAAAAATAATTTCTTCAATTTTTAAAGTATATTGCACTGATACTGAAATATCTTTTTACTTAAAGATAAATTAATGTACATTTTAAGTATTGATAATAAAAATGCAATACAATTTTTTCTGTGTAGCTTTCCAATTTGGTTTCATATGTATACGTATTCCTTTATAGTTTATAGAACTATCCTTTATAGAATAAACTTTGAGGTGAAGAGAACTAGTTTAGTAGTCATAAGTTTAAATGGGATTACTTTCCCCATCCTTTTGCTGAATGTTGCTTCACAGTGGCTTCACAAATCAAATGAAAGGTCAGAATCCAGAGAGCCCTATACACATGGGAAAGGCACTTCTGTGCATTGAGTGAGGGCAGAGTGGATTAAATTCAGGTGAACAGACTTCCACTTGGCACAGTGAGTCTTCCTCTTTCTCCTGAGTTCCCTCTGCATATGGCTCAGATTTGTTCCAATGGGTTCTCCATTCTTTCAGAGCACATTTGGGGAGTACCTAGGGGGCTGTAGTTAGAATGGGAAATCATTTCCACCATCAGCTTTCATTCCACTGGAGACAGCCAACATGGATATAACCCAGGGTTTTTTTAGTCAAACACTGGAAGTTTGGTATGAAAAACCATTATGTAGGGTACTTCTACATGAGACCCCTATATGTCTCAAACAGTTTTCATAAAGTATACAATCATTAAAGTTCAGCAATATATTGTGATTTCCTGCAGCATTTATCACCACGTGAATGACAAACTGATATTTCAGTATCTCAATCATAACTCCCACTTCCATTTACTATTGTATTAATCTATTTTTGCAGGATGTAGAAAATATATTCAGTCGAATATCAGATATTCATGAACTTAGTGTGAAGTTATTGGGCCTTATTGAAGACACAGTAGAAATGACAGATGAAGGCAGTCCCCATCCTTTAGTAGGAAGCTGTTTTGAAGATTTAGCTGAGGTGGGTAATAGTATTCATGGGCTTCTTGCTGCTGATGTCATTCTTCTGACAAATATTGGGTGTACCATGCATAGAATAAACATGTAATGCCATACTTTTAACAGTTTCTGTTAGCTAAAAGGTTGCACTCCAGGGATGGATTACTTGTTAGAAGTCAAGTAACTGCATAGGAAAGCTGTTTAGAAAAATGGGGTTTCACTGAAAGGAATGTTATTGTGTAAAATATGCAATGATACACCTTTCTTGGAATTCTAACATGGGTGTTATGCTACTGATCCTTAATTCTATTCCAGTGGGAACTTCTCCCTTTCCTTATATTTCAAAATTATTGCAAAGTCTGACATGTGTGTCCCTTTCTGGGTGCCATACTTAAGAAGAATGTAAAAACATTGAAATTAATTCAGAAGAGGGCAGTGGAGATTGTCAGCAGTTTTGCAAGAGCTAGGTACATTTACCCTGGAGAAAAGAAGATGGGGAAACAGAGGGAGGACGTGAAAGCACTCCTGAAATTCCTAGGCTTTCACACAGAAGAAGGTAAATACTTGTTCTCTGGTGTCCAAGAGGGCAGCACTAGATCTAATGCTTAAGTTATAAGAAGATAGATTTTGGATAGAAATGAAGAGAATTTCTTAATACTGAGAGCCAACAGTAATAGATCCAGTTAATAGGATCTCTCCAAGCAGAGGCTGGACAGGTCTGCAAGACCTTGCAGAAGTATACACACCCCATTGTCCCTCCCCCCCACATTTTTTGCATTGAAACTTAGAATTGGAATGGATTAAATTTGTTGCAATCTGCTTAGAGAGTCTTCAAACTAGTTATAGTGGAATTTAAGTTGAATAAATAATAAATTGGCATTGTTACTGCTTGATGTACATAAGATACTCAGCACCATGAAAGTGCTGAAATTTTTATTGTGGCAGAAGAGTAAGAAAAAAACAAACTGTTTGTTGGTTGCATAAGTATTCACTCCCCTGAGTCACTACATGGTAAGAGCACCTTTGACAGCAATTACAACTGCAAGGCTTTTTGAGCAACCCTCTTATCAGCATTTTGAATTTGGATCCTGCAATGTTTACTCATTCTTTTCAATATTTTTCCAGCTCTATTAGGATAGAGACTGTAATTGGATAGCAACTTTCAAGTCTTGCTACATTTCCAGTCATTTTTTGGTTTGGGCTTTGATTGGGTCATTCTGAAACATCCAGGTTCTTATTTTTAAACAATTCCAGTGTTACTTTGGCTCAGCGTTTAGAATTATTTCCTGCTGTAACATGACCCTTCATCCCATTCCTGGGTCCCTTACAGACAGAAACAGGTTTTCCTCTAGAATTGCTCTGTATGTGGTTCCATCCATCTTGTTCTTGTGCTAACCAATTTCCCAATTCCTGCTAGGAAAAGCATCCCAACAACAACAACAACAACAACATCATCATCATCATCATCATCATCATTATTATTACATTTCTATGCCGCCCCTTGCCGAAGCCTCGGGGCGGCTTACAACACAATAAAATACATTGTAATACAATAGAACATAATAAATTACCATTAAATACAAAAATACAAAAAATACACTGAGTTACAAACATAATAATATAAAATTAAAATTATCAGTATAAAATAAGTAAATAAATAATATAGGAGGAGAAAAGAGAAGGAAGAAGAAGTTGCCCTGGCCAGATCATATGTTTTAACAATTAAAATGATGTTTAAATAAAAAGGTCTTTACCTGGCGCCGAAAAACCAGTAACGACGGTGCCAGGCGGACCTCTTTGGGGAGTGAATTCCAGGTTTCACTGTGGGGATGTGTTCCCAGGTAATAAGTACTGTTGGCTTTGTGCTACAGATAGTGTTTTGCAGGAAGTCCAGAAAGTTTCTTTTGGTCTCATCAGACCAGAGCACTCTTTGACACATAATTGCTATATCTCCCACATGTCTTTTAGCAAATCCAAATGGGCTTTGCTATGGCTTTGTTTCAGCAATGGCTTTCTTCGTAAGTTCTGAGAGCTCTTTTGCTAAATGATCAGTATAATAAAGCTTTAAACACACACACACACATAATCCCAGCTTTATGGGATGTCTAGGTAGAAGCTGTCCCTTCTCAGTTGCAAATTTCTCCTGCTCTTTGGTCTCTTGGTTGCTTTTCAGTCTGATGCACTCCTTACCTGGCTCACTGAATTTTGGTGCGTGGCCTTCTTTATATAGAGGCGCACTTAAGCTATATTCATTCCATTTTGTAATGGGTTTTCTGGTGTTCTGAGGAATGTTCACAGTTGGAGGGTTAAAAAAAAATCAAACCCATATTGGTACTTCTGCACAACTTTATCCTGGAGTTATTGTAATAGCTCCTTGATCTTCATAATGCTATTATTTAAATAAGGTTTCTAACAAATTCTGGATTCTTGCAGGAGCAGAAGTATTTAAACTGAGATCGTGTGGCACTAGAATTGCACACAGACTTTATTTGAGTACTAATGTACTGGCATATAAGATAACCCTTGGAACTGGAAACAGCGAGGCAAAAATCAGGGGGTCATCATATATGCCAGTACTAATGTACTGGCATATAAGATAACCCTTGGAACTGGAAACAGCGAGGCAAAAATCAGGGGGTCATCATATATGCCAGGTGAAAAATTTTCATTATGCAGTAGGATCACTGTATCCACAGGGAATAGGCTCTGAGCCCCCCAGTGGATGTCTGAAACTGCTGGGCCCCTGCAAAAGCGGAAAAACTGACGATCTCTAGTGAAAAACCACAAATATCTCTAGGAACTTTGGGGACTCCAGGCTCTTTGTCTAGGCACTAGCCAGCTTCACATGTTTTGCCTCTCAGTGGGCATGAAGGCTCTAGAGATACTCATTTTTCTTTTCTAGAGATAATTATTTTTGCTAGAGATATATCTCTATATACTAGTGTATAAGAGGTCCCTTGAAACTGGAAATGACATAACAAAAATTAGGGGATGTCTTATATGCCTGACATATAAGAAACACCAGAAAATCAGCCCAAAATATCAACCTCATCTTATACACAAGTCACCTTATGTGCTGGTATATATGATTCCTATACTATGTGACTTTTCCAGGCAGTAAATTACACCAGAGTTTTAATTTTGGCATGACACAGTAAAAGCTGTGAATGCTTATGCAAGCAACAAGCACCTGTTTGTTTGTTTACTTAACTTTAGTGCCCCAGTAAAAATATTTTGCACTTTCACAGTGCTGAGTATCTTGTGTACATCAAGTGATAGCATTGCCAGTTAAATCCATTTTTGTCCCAGGTTGTTACACAATAATATGTGGAAGATCAAAGGGGAATACTTTGGTAGTCTCTTGATGATGCTCTAGCTCTGGATATCCTATATCTAGCAGAGAGTTGAACAAGTTGGCCTACAGGTCTCATCCAGTTTACATCAGGCTGATCTCTGCCAGTACTAACAAAAAGATAGTCTTGTAAGAATGCTAAACTCTACACATAAGCTTGGAGCTTTTGCATGTCAACCTGTTGCGGCATTGATGCAAGGAAGAAAACTGACATTTTTAACGAACCATGGTTTAAAACCAAAGACCTTCAAAACTGAACTTAGGGTCCAGGTAGGTACATATGGCAGTCTTTCAGGTGACCTGATACCAATTCATTTAGGGCTTTATGTGTTAAAACAAGCACCTTAAAACCCCTTTATATCCTCCTTGACATTATATTAAAAAGTGGGTAACAAATTATAGAACAAAAATAAATGATATAACATGGGATGGTGTAACATGGTGTCCTGCAACAACAGGGGGTTGGACTCAATGGCCTTCATGGCCCCTTCCAACTCTTCTGTTTTATGATTCTATGAAATGGGTTGCTACAAACTGCTCATCTGATTTCTCCTGAGGAAAAGTGTTTTTTTGACAGAAAAAAGGTTCTCATCTCCTGGTAAAGGAAATCTTTCCTTCAACCTTGCTCCAAACCATTTAGGGTTTAAAGGTCAAAGGTAACACTTTAAATTCGTAAATACACCAGTAACTGGTGTAATTGGTCCAGAGCCAGTGTTAAATACTCTGATATGTGGGCAGCAGTGTTCTGCCCCAGTAGCAATTTCCAGACCATCTTCAGGGACAGCACATTACATTACAAACCATCCTCAGATGCAGTACCCATTACATTACAGTGGTCTGGATGTGACTAGTGCACAAGGTAATGCAGAGACCTGGAAAAAAAATATAACCTTGAGCTTGCTCTTGCATAGTGAGTACAATTTCACCCAAGACCAGTCACACTCCCACATTCAGATCAGTCACCTTCCTCATACAGAGTACCACCATCTTGTCTAGTTAGAGAAAAAGTAGAGCAGGGAGCCTGCCAAGAGAGAGGGAACATGTGAGCTTGCAGTTCCACACTGAGTCTAAATCATAGTTTGCCGTCCTTGGGTTCATGATTTCTGAACCTTTCTGTATAGGGTATATGTAATTCTTTGAAGGGATAAAGCCTGATAGAGCATATAAGGTTCTCATATATTTGTGTTTATGATTGTCATATTTGACGTATTAACTCTGAAACTGTTTGAGTCAACTCTTTAATCCTTTGTTTAGGAACTAGCATTTGATCCTTACGAATCATACACTCAAGATATTTTACGGACTGGTTTCCATGACCATTTTCTTAGCCAGTTATCCAAGCCAGGGGCAGCATTTTACTTGCAGGTAAGTTAAGTAATATAATAGAACTAGCAGAAGTTGTCAAAAAGCTTGTTCATACAACTGAAATATATATATTTTTTTCCTAGTCAATCGGAGATGGCTTTAAAGATGCTGTTCAGTATGTTTTACCCAGGCTACTTCTAGTTCCTGTTTATCATTGCCTTCACTATTTTGAATTTCTAAAGGTAAGAGAAAAATGTTTCTATCTAAAAATTTAAAATGGAGTTAATATTAAATTTTAAATAAAGCATTCAATGGAATATGCTTAGAACAATGAAACCCTCATTTTTCTCAGGTTTTGACTTGCATATAATAATTTAGTAGCTTGGGTAATTTGCATGCACATACAGCTGCTAACCCACAAGTCATAAACTGAATTTGTGGCTGGTATAAGCTTGTCTACTTATTCATGGCAGGGAGAGGACAAATGTTTTCTTCTGACAACTATCCCTGTCCTCTGGCCTTTAGGGGTTCTTAGGTCGTAAGTTCAGTCCAGTGATCTGTTAATGTGTATGTGGGGCGGGGGGATGAGAGAGGGAGAGCCCGCAAGTCAAAATGGTGTGGGGGGGAGTTGTTTGCCCCCAGAAGAGGGAACTGCTGACCATTTGTAAACAGGGTACAAGTTAGGGTGATTTGGATTTCGGCCATTAACATTAAACAAAACTCAGCACTTTTTTTATTACAAACTTCAGAATTTCTGGTAGCAAGTTGCTCTGTTAACACAAAGATAATAAATGTAGGCACACATTCTGATTCATACTTACCTCCAGGAGAGTTTTCAAAATGTCTGAATTACATAGTAAAGTAATAACTAGAGTAAAATAATGCTTCTAATTCTGACCAATACCTGATTATACACATTTCAAGACTTGTTCTATGTTTTTGCAGTTACCTTATTTAAACATTAGGTGGCGTTGATGTACATTGTTTAATACTACTGATTTAAAGAGGCTGCTGCAAAAGCAAGCATAGGTTTAAAAATTTAATTGCTTAAACCACATAATGTGTGAGATTGTTTTGTCACTGCTAGTTATAGAATCTGCCAAAATTCATAGACAGCCTTATTAAAAATGTGTGGGTGTCTCACATATTTTACATAAAAGTTGTAATGCGTACAAGCCTCTGGATGTGAATATTTAGAGGGGTGTTCGTGTGTGTGTGTGGATGCACACAGCTCGTAACTATTTTATTTATTGCTTTTATTTTATTGATTTATTGCTTTTATATGTCATTCAACAGCCATACATGGCTCTCAGAACCATTTTGAAAAAGCCAGAATGATTTACAAAAAAGATCTTTTTGTCTCGGATACAATTTATACTGGAATAATAGCTTGCAAAGTGGACTCTACATATTGATGTTGAATGTGAAAATACAGAATTGCTCAAGTTCTTCATTCTAGGTTAACTATCTTGTAATAAATAATACTAGTTATTTATATAGTTGCTGTTTGTTTGTTTGTTTTTATTTCTATACAGTCCATAGTCAAAGCTCTCTGGGCAGTGTTCAACAAAATATAAAACACAATAGATAAAAACAGGAAGAATTTACAGTTAATTTTAAAGGGCACAAAAGAACATTGAAAGATAATTTTAAAAGACTTGGCCAAGAGTAAAAGGCACCTGGCTAATCATATCAGCCCCCTGAATTACCAGGGAGGTCTTTAAAGTCTTCCACAAAGAGGGCTATCTTAATCTGGCACCAAAAAGATTGCGAATTTGGTGCCAAGCAGGCTGTCATTCTGAAGATGGGAGGCACCATAGTCCTTTTATTAATGTGCCCAAGTTATTTCATATATGTTCTCTGTAATCTTTATAATGGGTGGGAAACCTCAGGCCCAACAGCTAAGTCCATCCCCCAAGGTTCCAGAGATGGCCATGCCTTCTTTACCCTGATTCTACCCCACGTCCCCTTACCACCAGCAGGTTGGGGGACATGAGGTCAGTTTTTCCCCATTCTAATACACTGAGCAATAAGAGCTTTAAGCTACAATTGGCTAGTACCTTTGGCTCCACCTATTTTTGCCTTTGACTTTGTCCGTTTCCCCTTACCACTGCTCAAAGAGAATCTCCAAAATTTAATTTGGTCTTTGAAGGAAAGAGATTTACTGTCTCTGCTTCATGTCATCTGTCTAAGGTACATAGACCATTATTCATATTCCAGCATTATAGATTGGGAGTGAATGTAGGCTAGACTGAGTATAAGTGGCTTGTTAAAGGCCAATTAATATTGAATGGCAGATTGGAAAGATATTTGAGCAGAATACTTGGTATGATCTCTTCCCCGCCTTTTTTATTGCAACAGCCATAAAATATTACAGTAAACTGTCTTACACTCAATCTGGTGTTGGTTCACACAGCTCAGTATTGTCTACTGACAGTGGCTTCCCAATGTTTCAGCCAGGAGTCACTCCCAGCTAAACTGGAAATGATTAAAGCTAGTGATGTCAGTTTCCATCAGCTGGGCTTTTTCCTAATACCATACTTAATAGGATTGCAGTATTCTACTCACAAGTGGATGTCTTATTTAGTCTTGGTCCAGGTTAGTACCTGAGGTTAAACTGAAGTTAGCAACCTCTGTCTCAGATATCTGAGAGTGTATACTTTTGAATAGGTTTCTTGTATCATTTGAATCATAGACTGCCAGCACCAATTATTTTATGGTCTATCAAATTATTAAAAATGTGAATAAGCAAAAGACAATAACAATTGGCCACTGAAGGATAAAATTTTATTCATAAACTTACTTGCAGGAGCATAAACTATTCTTCTTCTCACATTCATAGCAATTAGAAGAGAAAAGTGAAGATGAAGAGGACAAAGAGTGTTTGAAGCAAGCAATTACAGCCCTGCTTAATCTTCAGAGTAGTATGGAAAGGATATGCTCAAAAAGTCTTGCAAAGAGAAGGCTTAGGTAAACACACTTCCCCTTCCCCCCCACTTCTTTATATGCTGTGCTATAAATCCAGGCATCCAGTTTCCTCTTTCAGTAAACAATGAACAAAATAGTTTGTGGCAAGCCTGCTTCTTCAGAGGAAGTGACATCAAAGTCCACATAGCTATTGTTTTAAAGTTTGGTGTGTGTCCCCTTCATGTTTCAAGTGAATGCATCTTGAGAATTTACTGGTAAGCCAACAGAAAAATAACTTCATTAGCTATTGCAGGAACAAAAATATCTTGGCTATCTATTTAAAATGCTTAACAGATTTTTATGCTAATTGATGGTGCAGTGATGGGTTAAAGTAAATAAAAGTGGTGTCAGAGCTTTTTAAAAATGCTTGCATTTTTTATTTATTAGTTGCTGCCTTGCAGTGCAACAGGATTAGTTGCTGCTTTGCAGTGTAATCAAATTTGATTTGCGAACTAGAATTCTTGGTCATTTTTAAATTACACCTATGATCATAGCACTTGCACATCTGAAACTTTTATATTTAACTAAAACTAGCTCATGGAATTCTTGTCAGTCATACCTTCTGGATGTGATTATGCACTTCTTCAGATTGTTAGCAGAAAAACATGTATTAATGTTTAATGTCAATATGTGAATTATGAAATAACTTTTTGAATAATTTCTTCATCCTCCTTTTTCGAAGTGAATCTGCATGCCGATTCTATAGTCAGCAAATGAAGGGGAAGCAGCTAGCAATCAAGAAAATGAATGAAATCCAGAAGAACATTGACGGTTGGGAGGGTAAAGACATTGGACAGTGCTGCAATGAATTTATAATGGAGGGGACACTCACACGTGTGGGTGCCAAGCATGAAAGACATATATTTCTCTTTGATGGGCTAATGATTTGTTGTAAGTCAAATCATGGCCAACCAAGACTGCCTGGTGCTAGCAATGCTGAATATCGTTTGAAAGAAAAGTTTCTAATGCGAAAGGTACAGATCAACGATAAAGATGACACTAATGAGTACAAGCACGCCTTTGAAATAATTTTAAAAGATGAGAACAGTGTTATTTTTGCTGCTAAATCAGCTGAAGAAAAAAACAACTGGATGGCAGCCTTGATCTCTTTACAGTATAGAAGCACCTTGGAGCGCATGCTAGATGTAACAATGTTACAAGAAGAAAAGGAGGAACACCTGAGACTTCCAAGCCCTGAGGTTTATAGGTTTGCAGAACGTGATTCTGAGGAGAATATTGTTTTTGAAGAGAATGTCCAATCCAAATCTGGAATTCCTATTATCAAAGCAGGAACTGTTGTCAAACTGATTGAGAGACTTACATACCATATGTATGCTGGTAAGGAATTCTTCCAAGTCTTTAAAATATCTACATTATTTAACTGTCTTCCATATACCCAGAGAAGCGGGGTGGAATAAGCCCAGGGCATTAGAGTTTCTGGTCTGAGTGGCATATTATTAGTTAATGATTTGTTTGAGATAGTTTTTTTAAGACTTTAACATTGTGCTCAATGATTATGACCACATCTGCCCAGTAGCCAGGATGCTGGATGATAGAACTCTTATCTATCCTTATCAACACTAAGTTAGTATTAAGAAGTCTATAGCGAAACAGAAGCATTCGTTGGTAAATATGCTCAATTGAAAATAAGTCTTATATGGTCTGCTTGTAAATATCCAGGAGCATAAACAGGTACTATAGATTCATTTACCACACACGTCATTTTTAGTAGCTGTTGCCTGCTATACTACTTCCAGAGGATGCTTCCATTATTCTAGGGGGGAGGGGGATCACACTGCATAGTTCATGTTACTAGGCATTATTCGTGTTTAACATTTGTGGTGCTGCTGACATGAGTATCAATTCATCAAAACTAAATACATATCACTTCAGTTAGATTTTCTGAAACTGTTCAGTATCTGTTGCATAAGAGCATATGATACATTGAAATTTTAATGCAATAATTTGTTTTGAATCAAATATTTGAAAGCAAGCATTTGATATGCAAATGTCTAGACTTAGTTGACATGTACCTTTCTATCCAGTTGGTGTACTTACTGTTATACGCACTTTTTTTTACAGAATATTGTTTATTTTTAATCTTTTTAAATTTAATTGTTTAATTCTGTCAAATTTGTTGGATATGTGATTCCCTAAATACCTTCATAAGAGTTGGAAAACACTTTAATCCCAAATGTTTTCAGTCAAGGTACATTTGTGAATGGTACAGGTATGCTCATGAACAATTAAATTAGTTTGGCTTAGTACTTTTTTTTCCAAGCCAGCACTTGGATGGCCAAGCCTAATTTCAGCAAGTGAAGGTAATTCCATGGACCTTCAAAATATTACAGAGTCCTTCCCTTACCCTTTTCTGAAGAGCAGGGTTCTTGCTGTTACATGAATGGCAGTGACTAGGCAGCATTTATATTCCAGAAGGGTATTCAGAGCTGTTTCTTCATAGTAAAAATCACTTTGAGTTTCAGGCAATCCAAATCCTGTTTCAAGAAAATTTTTATTTCAGAAAATTCATATTTGTTTGATTGGTGCATAAATTTCCATAATGCTTTAGAATTTGTTGGGTTATAGAATAGGCAACAACAATAAGCAATTCCCTGCCATCCTGTTGGAAATCCTATTGAGTAACTTCTCTGGCTTCTGCATTTCTTCCTGTTCCCAAGGGTCAGAAATTAGCTTTTGAAAAAAATGAGGACTGAGCTCAAGAACCTGAATTCTGCACCCCCAGTCACATTTTTCCATCCTGCAAAATTGCTGCATCTACATACTCTTGTAGGGTTCTTATGAGAAAATGTATCTTTCCAGTTCTTATGTGTCATTTGCTATTAAAATGCTGTTAAAGAAGTGGAAGCTTCTTTCCATAAGTATGCTAATAGATTTGGGGCAGAATCCAGCATGGTGCTTATGTCTCCACCACTTCTTTTCCACAAGCAGAGAGTTCCACCAATTCTATTGTGCATGTGGGATTTACGTCTTACCTAAATTAGATTTAGCACTTCCTGGGGGAAGTGTAAAACAAATGGAAATACTAGTTTTTTAAGGAGGCAGATCAGTGGCATTGCTTAGCATTGCTGTTGAAGGCCACCTGCACAATGCAGCTGGTTGGGGGGCGGGGGGTTAGAAGAATCACCCTCATTTGATTGTGCCTTTGGATAGTGATATTTTCCTTTCTTTTTTTATCTTGCTCAGTAACTGTTGGGATGGATATATTTCCAGGGGCCAAATTGCAATGTGGCAAAGGACTTGGGTGGAGCACATTCTATTTGTAGGTGTGGCCCAATGCAGGGCAAAAGCCTCAAATTGAGTTTTACCAATTTTAAGCCTACTTGGAAATAAGCAGGACTGGATAGCTCAGAAGCACTTTCAGATAGCATCCCAAATATCCACCCTCTGCATGTCTGCACAGTAGTAAGCATGAGCCATACTTCTACCCATAAACAAGCAGAACAGGCTTCTGTATGTCCTCTCAGAAGTAAGTAGGGCAAGTCACTGCAGGACAAGCCTGAAAAGTATGCAGGACTATCATTTAGCATCTTTCTCTCAAAGCGCCATCCCATCTCTGCTGCAGGGTAAAGTTTTTCTGTTTGGAAGTATGACATTTCCCCTGCTGAATACGTAGAAAGGAGCCTCTTTCAGTGTTGTCCAGGGAAAATATTTTTCCCCAATTGGTTGCTGATCAGAGATAAAAGCTTTCTCCTGTGGGGGTAAGGGGCAGGGTTTGGTTTTTTAAAAAAAGGTGAAAGAGCTGGAAGGGGAATCCCCACATGCCAGAGGTTCTCCATTACTAAGGTTATGGATAAGTTGTTGTCCACTTCTCTGTGTCTTAGGCCAATCAAATACTATTATCCACAGTTTGGATGTGGTCATTTGTACGGAAGACTGCAAAATGTGGCAAGAGTAAGTAGCTGCAGGCCTCCACAGCACGAGTATCACATGAGTGTGATGAAATTAGTTGGTGCCAATGCCCTTGTCATGGTATAGTCACGTAACTCTGTTTCTCTGTGCTATGGCAACTGATGGCAAGCAATTTTGGGAGAAATGAAAACTAAGGAATTTCAATCCAAGAAAAAAAATGAAATAGGACCTCTTACGGATGATATGTGGACTATTTATGTGCCTTCCTGCAACAGAGGAAAGTTGCCAAGGCAACTCCAGCTAAATTGGCAGCTCCTTTGTCTCTGGTTGAAGCCAAAGTTGTCAAGAACAAGGATTCAGATGTTGCTGGGCAAGGTGGAATCTTCACATCACTGTTCAAGCTTTTGCAGCAAAATCACATTGTCCTTGCTTTCACCCAGAGGCATGTGTTAAACCCAGTTGCCACCAAAGATCTTTGTGAATCTATTTTAGTGCTGAGTAGGTTTTTCCTCTTTCGTAAAGCAAAATAAGTTTTTCTTTTATAAAAATCCCCAATTAATTTTGGTATTCAATATATATTTTGGTATTAGTAACATAGATGTTTAAAGTACATTATCCTTTACCCATGCTTGTGGTTAAGTGAGCTCCAGTTTATAAAATTCGGCTTACTAGAACATGAACTTGATCTGCTAGAAGATAATTCTTAGGTATACAACCCAAACATCTTTAAATATTTTCAAGGTAAAGAAATGGATTGTATCTACAATATTTTGAGATTGTCCAAATTAGAATAGTTATTGTTCCATATCTGCAAGATTATAGAGTCTCATATATCCTAAGACAGGACTATGCATAGTTAAGCTGCAGCAGGACTGTAGAACTGTGTTGCCCAGTGCAGATTAAGATGTTTCTGGTTACAAGTAGGCTGAAGAATACAAGGATAGAAAAGAGGATAGAAAGGATTGTTCAGAGAATCAAATCATGGTTTAATAAGACCAGGTATAAATGCGCTTTGTATAGCTATTCATAGCCCCTTTGCTCTCCTGTGTAAGCAGCAAAATGGAACAGTGAAGCACATGTAGCCCTAGTGATGTCCAAACTGGGAAATACAGTGAATAGCTTTCAGTCAAGCCAGGAATAACCTGGCTAATTTAGAACTCAAAAGGGACTGTAAGTGCATAAAGTTCATATGTACCCCGGGTTATTAAACCAGGATTTGATCAGACAACTGGATCCATTACTTTATTCTGCTCGTGCCCTTAATTCTACCATATGAGAGGTAGAAATGTAGAAGGGGAAGTGGGGGGTGCATGTATTTACCTTCTATTTTCAGAGAATGTCAGATATACCCTCTACGTTCCACTAAGGTGGTTGGATGGGTAACTAATTTGCATAAAGGTAGGAAATCAGCCCAAAACAAATAGCTTCTGATCGGGCAAAAGTGGCCAGGATGAGTCATTGGCATTTGAATTCGGTATGGGTAGTACTGATGTTTGTTTGAGAAGAACCATTTTTTACATCTCTTGACATTCCTCAGATTTCTCTGAATAGTACAAGTTCCTTTCCATTTCCTGATTTGGTGCTTCCAGGTTTGAAAAAGCTTGCAGCTTTTTTGTTTGGTAGGGCTGTGCTGTTCTATTTATAAACTTTGATATGTTGAATGCTTGTGCGTCAGCATAGCATTCATTTCCTTACTTTAAGGCATTCAGGGGTGGTTGGTTATTTATTATTTATTTTTGGACAATGTTCTTTTAGCTTTTAAAATGTCTGCACTGAGGAGAGATTTATCACATAGACAGACATCCTGACTGTGTATTTTTAACCCAATTACTTGGCTATTTTGAAGTCATTGTAGTAGCTAAAATGTACTTGCTGTGCAGTTGCACAAAAACAAAAATCAGTTTGTAGGAAGGAACAGGCTTTATGTTTAAATAATCATACAAGAGTTTGCTGATTTATAATGTGGGAATTTACAGCTTGTGAAAATGCACTGTCCTACCACTTGCACAGATGTAACAGCTGTTCCTTAGCCACGTTCAGTGAAACCCTGTTCTGGTTGTCCCCAGCTGTAGCACCTTTGGGCCACTCTTAGCACCTTGGAGAATTTTGTATTGTAGGCTTATCCATGCTGGTTCTGTTTTTTTTTCTTTGATGCCCTGAGTGCAAGACCTTCTACAGAGAAAAAAAGCAAACTTGTTGAATTGCTATTTACCTAGTAGGTAGCATTGTTTTTAGATTGCCCCAGTGAGATATTTCCTGATACAGCTCCAGCTCTTTCCAATAATCAGAATTATTGGAAAGAGCTTTAGAATGGGAAGCCCTTTAGAATGGGAATCAGCAACATGACATCCTTGGGCTCACTGATGCCTACCAAGCCTCCTCAATGTAACCGTAAAGTTAGCTTTACTAAATTTATTGGAGCAGTATTAGTTGATTTTAACAAGAATGAGGACAAAACTTCCTTGCCAAAAAAGAGCAAGATGGGGAGGGAAGGACAAGAAAAGAGAGAATTCAGATAAGGCAAAATAAGAGAATCCAGAGAAGGGAGCAGTCCCAGAGGACCGAAAAAGTTCCCAAGTTCGTTGGTAGAAACTTGCTCTTTCATTCTGAGTTCAGTTTTTATTTTTACTCTGCTCTCTTACCTGTTTTTAGTCTTGATTGGATTTGATTTAGTCTTCACAACACCATGAGAATCAAGGGAGACATTACATTTTTAAAAAATGCTGGTTAGCCCACCTATTCAGTTCTATAGGCAGGATGTTCCCTCTACTAAATACTGTCCAGCCTAGAAAAGGAACAAAAATCTGCTGGGGAAGAGTTCTGTCATCCATGATTAAATGACAGCTGCTCTTAGTTCTGTTTTTATGGGGGGGGGGAATTGGGGGTTCAAATTACCATTAATTTATCCATTTGCTTTCAAAGCAATTAAAATAATTTGCTGTTTGTTTTCTACTCCAGATCCAAACTTTGTTCGAACATTTCTTACAACATATAGATCTTTCTGTAAACCTTTGGAATTATTGAATCTCCTAATAGAAAGGTATGAGTATTTTTTTCTGAATATGGCTTGTCTTTTGAGATTTAAGTTTACAATATTTGTTTCCTACATAAAGAAGTGTACTTTGCTCTTTTGCCAAAAGACATTATATGTGGAGGATTCTGAACTATTACAAAAATAACAGAAGAGTTAGAATTTCCAATTCAAGCATGTACAAATGAATGAGGGAGAGAGTACATTGCAAAAACAGAATTCTCTTTCATTGTGCTGCTGAAGTCAGCTGAAATCCCTTGGTGTTGATTTCAGTTATTACTGAGTAAAAGGATTTTTTCTTTCTCTCTGAGAGGAAGAGTTGTATTTTATTTATAATATTATAAAATATATTTTTTTCAAATTGTTACAGTTTTTGAGAAATCCAAAAACTCCTTACAGATTTGAAGTCAGAGTTGTATTGAAGAAAAACAAATGTGTAAACTTGGTGAAAATTCATTAAAATACTTCTCCCCAACTTGGGTATGAAATAGTATATTTATGTAGATTACTATTTTTAGTGCCAAGTATATAGAGTATAAAGCACACAAAATGCCATCTATTTCCAGCATACTTGTTTAAAGCAGGTAGAAAGATAGGTGTTTGTAAACAGATAATAAGGTAATAGTTTACTCAAAACTATAATATATTTGATATGAAAGCTGTAATTCTAGCGAATGGCCTCTATGCAGTCAATCCTGTAGGAACTGAAACTGGAACATTCTGGAAATCTTAGAAACCTGTAGGGGTTGCATCCCTTTCTTTTCTTGTCATTGTGAGACTTCCTTTGAAAGTTGGTTCTTACTGCTTTTTACAATTATTCACTTCCAATTATTATTGCTAAACGATCGTTTAAACTTTGTGTTTAAGGCATCTAAATTTCATTTTACTACCCCACAATAGATTTGAAATTCCAGAACCTGAACCAACAGAAGCAGACCGTATAGCTATGGAGAATGGAGATCAACCTCTTAGCGCAGAGCTAAAAAGATTTAGAAAGGAATATGTACAACCTGTTCAACTACGGTAAATATCCTAGACATGTAAATGTTTTCTTTCCAAACTTACTTCAGATGACACATATTCAGAATGTGTTAGTTGAATGATAGTGTCATAATAGAATCATCAAACATGTAAAAGTGCAACTCCTTAAAAATATTTTTATGTATCAGTAGTTTGGATTATGCAATATTCTGTGTGCGGCATTCCATGTTCAGGACTATGTGCAGTGTTCTATGCATATACTAGAGCTTTATAGCTTCCCCTTCATTTTTTGGGGAACTATAAATTGAATGCTTGAATAGCACTCTTGTAAATGATGTTTCCATCAGGTATCCTAGACTTTGATTTTTTTGCTTCCAAAATACCAGTGCTAGGGTTGTGATCCTCTGGAATCTGTCCCTCTTCTGTTCATTGGACTTCTTCTCATACATGTCTCCCACTTAGGAATTGATACAAGCCAAGAGAAAGTCTGTGGACACTCTTGGAAGTTGTGTGATGGGCAACCTTCTTCAGCAAATGTAGCACAAACAAAAGCTATGAGCCACATGCACAGAAGAGGGACACTGCTTGCACAGCGTTTGTGCACACTTGCTTCTTGCTGGGCACCCAAGTGAATGCTCAGTGCACTTGCTATGAAGTCAGACTCATGGCCAGAAGAAAGCAGACCAGAATCTAGGTAGCTAAGCCCAGGGATTCCAGCCAATTCCCACCCCAAAAACAGATTTCTCATAGCTGGAATTGGTGGTTCATTTGGATGATGCTAGATGGAATAAGGAAGCTGCAGCTCCTAAGTGCTGTCAAAAATATATTGAATAAGCCGTAACTTCAAAGATTTTATAATCTCTCTTAATGTTGTAGAGTACTAAATGTATGCCGACACTGGGTGGAACATCACTTTTATGATTTTGAAAGGGAAAAAGTTCTTTTGGAGCTGTTGGAAGGATTCATTGGCCGAGTCAGAGGTACTTGTTTATGTCAAATATCTAAAATGATCTGTTTTGTTTCCTTAAAGACTCATTTAGTAATGGTGTCTTGAATGTCTTTATGTGTCTGTATATAAAGATAAAGAAAATCAAGTTGAAACAAATTAAAAACAGCAAGTGTAGCTATAAAGCAGGGGTGTACAATCTTTTTAATCCCTGAGGTCTCATCAGGTTTCTGGTGGGGTCTGTACATAAAACTTAACAAGCCAACTGTGGTCTGTTATGCACAGGAGTTGATGTTTGAAGTTTGTTGGGGGAGAAGGAAGCTGCAATCTGCTACATACTTCAGCCACCCAGCTCTGATCATGTTTTTCAGTGCTTCTAAATAACATGACCACAGTTGCTCAAGGTGCTCATCTCTTCAGATATCTGAAATCCACTTTTCCATGTTTCTTTGGAGGAATTGCTTTAGATTTAAGAGAACTTCCTGTAACCCTGACTATTTTGCCGGAGTGCATGTTGCTGCTGATCCTGTAAAACTAACCTTAGAAACAAAGTACATTTTTGTGTACAGAAACACAGTGGGCATAACACTATGCCAGAGGTGCCAATGTTATGGGCTCGCAGACAAATTTGTTGTTTTAAAAAAGCTCCTACAGTAATCATCACAAATTGCTAACAGTGAAGTTGAACACATTGTCCCCAGCCCTTACATGTGTGTCCCCTTTCTTTTCCCTCCTCTTTCTTCCCATTGCCTCCAGCCAGGACTTCCTTCTTTTGACATCTTTTTTGCCCTTGTAAAGATTTCCGTCTGTCTTCCTTCTTCCCTCCCCTGCCAATGCCTCCTCTCATTTCTCTCAGCGTACAACTGGCTGCTGTTGTCATTCTCACCTAGGAATTCCTCCTAAACTTTCTCTTCAGAATTTCTTTTCTCCGCTACTGTTACTTTTGCCTCATTCACCTCAGCAACAAGAATCTGGAAAATCAGCCTCCTCATCTGCTATCTTCCTGCGGAGGTAAATATAGAGTTAGGCAGAAGCAGCAGTGCAGGGAGAGCAAATCCTGAGCAGAAATAGAGGAAATTCAAGATGCATGTGGCAGAAGCAATGCTGGAGGGGGTGGGATAAATGGAGGACACAAAGGGGTCACACTGGCATAAGGCAAATTGCAAGGTAAATTATTGGATGCTTGTGCCAGATGAGAATGGGAAAGTAAGAGCTATGTGGTGATGCTTCAGCTTAAAAGGGAAAAGAGAGAAGGAAGCAAAAGAAATTCAGAAAACTATGGGGGAGAAATAGAAGAAATGGAAAATGAGAGATTATGTTGGTATACCCAGCTTTTTCAGAAGTCTGTCTTGGTTCTTTCTGACAACAAGCATGGGAGGAAAAGTGTCTTCAGTTATCAAGATGAATCTAAAAGATGGTAGGAAGGGCAGGTTTTCACAGCAACATTTTAGCCAACACTTAACTGCTAAACTTAACTGGCAGGCACAGGCACTTGAGGCCAGAAGCTTGGGTTGGACTTGATGGTCTTATGGGTCCTTCCACTTATTTGAATTCGTCTGGTTGAATGAAAGTCCCACCAAGTTCAAGGCTCCAATACTGGTTAAACCCTTATACAAATACTAACACAAACTAGAACAACAACTGATAGGAAGATTTCCCAGTGCAAAAATGGCATGATTATCATCTTCACTTTTCTGGATAGAAGGGTTGGTTGACTCTAGATGTGTTTTGCTTGGAAGAACCCTTGAAAAGTTACACAGTGTTGTCTTGATTGAAACAAAAAATGGTAGAGATTTGCCTTTAGCACTTTCTAGCGTTTCCAGTTTGTAACATTCTTTTCCATGACAAGAAAAGATGTCAGTAGGTTTTGCATCCTTGCCAACTAACATGTTCAGAAAAGTAGAGACTTTTAGCAAAGGTATTAGTGTGAGGTTAATATGTCCCTAAGATGGAACCTGAGTATGAATATGCTCAAAGGCAGTATTTGTCCAAGTCTAATCACTTGGTGTTAGGGACAGAGAGGGTGGGTATCTGCGTCATGACTTGTTAGCGTCTCAGAATGCATCTGACATACCACTGTTACAAAATTAGGTCTAAATGGATCAACTTTTGCATTATGCAGTTTTTTCGTTCTTTTCACTGATGTCCTCCTATACAAATTATGTGCTTCCATTACGAGAACTTCGCTAGTGGCTAGGTATCCACAGTACTGTAACATATTTTCCTTTTCTGCCTTAGGTAAAGCTATGAAGAAATGGGTTGAGTCAATCACAAAGATAATCCATAGGAAAAAGCAAGCACAAGCCATTGGGCCAAGTCACAATATTACTTTCGAAAGTTCACCTCCTCCAATTGAGTGGCATATAAGCAGGCCAGGAAACACTGATTTCTTTGATTTGCTCACTTTACACCCAATAGAAATTGCTCGACAGCTCACTCTACTTGAATCTGAACTTTACAGGTAGTCTTTTCTTCCACTGAAACATATTGTTCCACACTATAATATATAGGAATTATGTTCTTCTCTTCTGGCTTTTCTACATTCTATTTGTAATAGCATGGTTACTTATATTGCCAGCTGCTTAAGAGATATGTTCTGAATTGTGACTTAAGTATACATTAATGCGTATTTGCTAAGGGCAGGTGTTAAACATGAGGATTTCACTTTATATATTGGAATTTGTATTGCTTTCTGTGTAAAATTCTATTACAAACAGGATATTGGAAAGTGTCATGCTTTTTCCAGAATCAGAACACTATTTTCCAGATCACTGGGTTGTTCACTGAACAGCCTATAGCAGTGGTGTCAAACCTATGGCACATGTGCCACAGCGGGCATGCAGAGCCCTCTCTGTCGGCACGTAAGCCAAGTGGACAAGACAAGACTTTTTATTCCTAATTTGTATTTGGTTATGAAGGATTGGATGATAAATTATAGCAAAGGGAAGGAGAGACCCAGTAGCTCAAGTCAAAAGCACCGAAAATAGTGAAGAGTGGAGAGCCAACGAGTAAGTTCACCACAAGAGTAAGGAGTAGCATCTCTCACTTGGCAGTGTAATCCTGTTGTTTTTCATTCTTGAAATGAAACCTCTTAGTGTACTCCACCTTTTTAGTTTTACCCCAACTCTCCAGCTACTCCAAGAAGGGAAGATGTTAACTCCTCCCCATTTTTAATGGTTCCTTTTTGAAATGCATATTGCTGTGATTATTGTGGTTTCTTGAAAGCCTTAAAAAAGAATGGAACCTCCAAGACGTTGGTTGCATGGGATGGAATGAATGGGGTCCAGCTGATATGTCTCTATGTAGTGTTGGTGCTAGCACCCCATTTTGTCCATCTCATGCCCCCTGGAGGGTCTTTTTTGAATTGTTTGGAATACTTGCACAATTTTTGGAATGGAAAATATGTGTAAGTCAAATACAGACAAATTTAATGTCTGGGAGCTAAATGAAGAATTTGTACAAATTTAAGGCTAAGAAGTTAAGGCAGATGGGATTTTCATGCTTTCAGGAAAGTAGCAGTTACTTCAGGTGGACAGATTTCCCCTCCATTTACAATACCTTACGTTAGTGTCCACCACCACTTCTTGACTTTTCCATGTTTTATTGTGTTACAACCTAGAATTGGGATGGATATAACTGGCACTTGATGAACACAAGGTTCACAGCACAGTGAATGTACAAAATACTTTTATTGTTTGTTGGTTGCATAAGTATTCACCTCTTTTGCAGTGTCATGCCTAAAAAAGTTCTAGTGCAGCACACTGCCTACAGAAGTTACATAGTGTAAGTAGTTGAATGGAGTCTTATCTGTGTGCCATTCCATTTCTACATGATCTCAGATTAAATATATCTGCTCCTAGAAGACCCCAGAGTTTGTTGGAGAGTATATCTAAACAGCATCATGAGAACCAAGGAGTTATCAAAACAGCCCAGGATAAAGTTGTGCAGAAGCACCAATTGAGTTATATTATTTTAAAAAACCCTACTATGACCATCCTGCAGAACACCGCTAAATCTGTTATCACAAAATGGAAAGAATATGGCTTAACTGTAACTAATCCAGCAAAATTCAGTGAGCCATGTAAGAAGGGCATCAGTCCAAGAACTAATGAAGAGACCAAACAGCTGGAGAGATGTGCAGCTGAGATGAGAGAGACTGTCCATGGGGCAGCTATTACCTAGATGTTCTATAGACGTTCTATAGAGCTGGGATTATGGAAGAATGGTGAGAAGAAAGCCATCACTGAAACAAAGCGAGAGACAGCATTGCTCGGGTCTGATGTGACCTAAAGAAACTTTCTGGGCTTCCTGCAAAATACTATCTGTAGCACAAAGCCAACAGTGCTTTATTAACAGGGAACACCATCCCCATAGTAAAACCTGCTGATGGCAGCATCATGTTGTTGGGATGCAGGGACTGGGAAACTGTTCAGGGCTGAGTGCAAGATGGATGATGCCACATAGAAGGCAATTCTACAGGAAAACCTGTTTCACTCTGCAAGGGACCTGGAACTGGGATAAAACTTAATCTTTCCAGCAGGAAATGATCCTGAGGCAGAGTAACACTGGAGTAGTTTAAAAACAACAACCTGAATGACTCAGAATGGCCCAGTCAAAGCCTAGACCCTCAGTCTCATTGAGAATCTGTAGAAAGACTTGAAAGTTACTGTTCAACCACAGTCCCATCCTACCCAGCACAGCTGGAAAAATATTGAAGGCAAGACTTTGAATTCATTGAAGAGACCAGAGGCACAAAGCTGATTGAGGTTTACCGAAGAAGACTAACATCTGTTATTGCTGCCAAAGGTGCTTCTACCAAGAAGTGACTCATAGGGATAAATATTTATGCAACCAATAAGTGACTGTTTGTTTTGTTTTCTTAACTTTTGTGCCCCAGTAAACATAATTTGCATGTTCATAGTATTGAGTATTTTGTGTACTTTATTAATTTACAGCTATCATTTTCAAAAGCATATCTAAGATTCCGGGGGGGGGGGAAGAGTATGACATTAAATAACCAAAACCCTACATATTAAAAAGGAGATAACATGAAAATGTGGCCCATGAGCAAAAAGCTACATGGAGCAAGATTATCTTTAGCAAGGGCTGTTGAAAGCACAGTGTGGGTGCCTGTCTGACCTCAGTGGCAGGGAATTCCATAGCAATGGGGCTGCTGCATTAAAGGCTTTTCTCTTGAGAGACACCAGTCAGGCCATGGGTCCATGTGCAACAATCAGGAGAATATCCTCTGATGACCTCACTGAATAGTAGGTTGCCATAAGAAGAAGCACACTGTCAGGTATCCTGGATGCGGGGTTTTGTACACTAGTACTAGTAGGACAAGTAATTCCTTCAGCAAAGGAGTTGCATGTTGAAAAGTGGCAGCAGCCAGTGATAGCCAAGTTGCTTTATTAGCTCCAGCTACCTCATATATAGTGCATTACAATAATACAGTCCAGAGGTTACCAGTGCTGCATCACTGTAACCAAACTATTCCTGCCCAGGAGAGGACAGTTGGGGAACCTGTCAGAGATGTTAAAAGACATTCTGAGGCACTGCAATCACTTGGGACTCCAGCAACAGTGATGGATCTAGGAGTATCTACAGACTATGAACCTCTGAAAAGAGGGAGTGCAGCCCTGTCTAGAACAGGAAAAAAATCTTTTCTTCTGGACTTGGGACCCATTCAGCTACAAGACTTAGAGGATTCACCTTCAATTTATTGGCCCTCATCCAGCCTATTACTGAATCCACACAGTGATCTAGGGCTTGCACAGCCTGTTGTGAACCAGTTGTTACAGGGAGATATAGCTGACTGTCATCAGTGTACTGATAGGAATACAAGGAATATTCACCCTATCTTATCCCCTGAAATTGACCCCCTAGATCAGACCAGAACTACTGATAGCACAATGCCTCCAATGCCCAACCCATGGAGTCTATCCAGGAGGCTACCATGGCTGATCGAGTGAATAGCCAATGAGAGTGAGGAGAATTAGCTGGCCATACTGTTCCTCTCCTGATAAAGGTCATCAGGATGACCCAAGTCCAATTCAGATTAAAATCCAGACTAGATAATCCGTATCCTCCAAGATGCAGTTGGTGAGCCACAATCCTCTCAAGTACCTTACCTAGAAAAGGAGTATTTGCAACTAGATGGTAGTTATCAAATAGCATTTGTTCCAGAGTGAGTTCTTTCAGAAGAGGTTGTACTACTGCCTTCTTAAGGACACCAGGAACTGAAACGATGTAGATACTACCAACAGTTTTTTTAAGCACTTAGTGGTGACAGAATGAAGCAAATGGAACACCAAGAGTTTTTACACTCATCCCTGCATTGGAAGATCATGCACTTGATCCCATTCTGTTTCCTCTTCAGGGGTTTTATAGAGCTCTTAAAGAACCACAGTAACTGCAACAACATGAGCTGCAAAAAGCAGCCATGAAAAGAGAAGAGCTTAACTTTAACATCTCCCCTTTCTGAATTAGCTGTAGATAAGAGAAAGTGTTGAGAAAGTGGTAGACTGTAAGAACTGCCAATTCAGTTTGGTGGGGGCAAGGACAATTATTATATGAACTTACTGTTTTATTATTTATTTTATTAATGCGTGGATTATCTTGATGTATTTTATTGTAAACCACCAGAGAGCCCTCTGGGCTGTGGACTGTGGGCTGTTAATAAATAAATAAGCAAGCAAGCAAGCAAGCAAGCAAGCATTTAAATTCAAGATCATTACATTGTTAAGAGAGAGATGTTGATTGCCTACCAGAGAGCCCTCTGGGCTGTGGGGTAGCAATAAATAAATAAATAAGCATTTAAATTCAAGAGAATTGCACTGCTAAGTGAGAGATGTTGATTGCCTACCCACCCTTTCTTTTGAGGCACTTCTGATTTCCACACATTTTTTTCCCTGTAGCAATTGGGTACCTCCTCTGCTTTTTCTGAGCCTTTATCAACTGTGCAGCAGTCTTGCCTTGTTGGTTCTTTTGAATTTTCCCTATTCTACTTTATGCAAAGATAGAGCAACTGGACAAGACTATGTATATTGAACAAGTGCATAGAAGTGAACTTGTGAAAGAACTGCAACAATAATATATTTTTAAATTTATTATATTTGTGCAATTTTCAAAAAAATAATACTAAAGGGTAGTGAGAGTCATTCTGATGTATCATTCTAACATTAGTTGGGGACAGTCACTGATGGTAGCATGGGCAAGGCTACAAAGAGCAGGGGTTTTTGCCATGCTCATCAAGAGCTGCTGTTCCCACTCTGTGCAACCCACAGTGAAATTGCTCCTCCAGGGTTCAGATGACATAATCCTTTAAGATACCAACAACGCCTAGAACAGATCCTCAGTGGCCAGGGTGGCTTGTTCTCGAAAAATAAGCTACCTTGCCAGAAGCAGTTGAAGTCTACATGATGTGAGAACCCTTCACAGGTAGCTGCCCACAATGGGTTGTTCTGTCACTTGAACCAAGTCATTTTATTGTATAGTGCAAACAGGCAAATCTAGTCCTTTAATTTCTTCTGATGGAGAAATATTGGTGAAATTGCAAATTATCTGTGATAACCTAATTGGAAACAGTAGCTTAATTGATCAGAACAGTTAGCTTTTTTCACTTTGATTTTTATGTTCAATTTGTAGAGCTGTGCAGCCGTCAGAACTAGTTGGAAGTGTATGGACAAAAGAAGGTAAAGAAATCAATTCCCCTAACCTGCTCAGGATGATACGACATACCACTAATCTTACTCTGTGGTTTGAAAAGTAAGTTGTTTCAGGTTTTTGTTTTATCCTGAGATCTTCTCAGTGTTGGAACTCACATGGTTCCTAAGCTACAGTTTTGCAAAATACTAGTTTTGAAAAGGAACGTAAATATACCAGGAACAATTATTGCTAACATTCTGTGCTGCTTTTACTCTAAGAAATGAACTGTAAACAGTAGTGTTACATTGAATCAGTATTCCCAAATTTGGTGTTGGGAGACATTGCCTATTTAAAGTACGTTACATAAATGAATCACACTGCATTTTATGGTTTTAATTGTGGCACACCTCCCAGAGAGCTATGGCTGTTGGCCAACATAGAAATGTATAAATAATACTTTAATAAAGCCTCTCATAAGACTAATGTATTTTGAAAATTAGAATAATTCAGAAAAATAGTGGATGTTTGTAATTATATGTTTATCTCTTACTATGAATAAGGTTTTACTTTTGAAGAAAAAATGTTTCAGATTATATTGTTGCTTTTTAGAATTAAATTATGTTCTGCTGATCAAATACAAACATAAATGCTTTTTTTGTACATACAGATGCATCGTAGAAACAGAAAACCTAGAGGAAAGAGTAGTTGTTGTATGCCGCATAATTGAGATCTTGCAAGTTTTTCAAGAACTAAATAATTTTAATGGTGTTCTTGAGGTTGTCAGTGCTATGAATTCTGCACCCATTTACAGACTGGATCACACCTTTGAAGTAAGTCAGATGTAGATTTAGATACTGTAATTGCTTTAATTGTGTCATGAAATACATTTGAAATGCCATATATATTGGTAATACCATATATATACCATCTAAAGCATGGGTCCTCAAACTACGGCCCACGGGACGGATCCAGCCTGCCATGCCCATTCATCTGGCCCATGAGCAAAAAAATGCTTGCTGTGTGGGTGGGAGGTGGTGGCTTGCTCACTCAGATATGGTTTTGGACTTGTTGGGAGTTATCCCAGCGAGTTCAGAACCAAGCGAGCAAGCTGCCACATGTCTCCCCCGCACAGATGCGCTCGCCGCTGCCTTGCAGCGCGGGCTGGAGGCGGTGGCTTGCTCGCTCGGAGATGGTTTTGGACTCACTGGGAGATCTCTGAGCAAGCCGCTGCTGTGCACACCCTCGTGCACACTGGACGACACCTCATAGACCCCTGTGCCCATGCTCCCCCTCCTCACCGGCCCACCTGTGTAGCTGCCGCCTTTCAACTGGCCACCTGTTGAAAAAGTTTGAGGACCTCTGATCTAAAGGATCCACTGTATGTGTTCAGCCTAAGTGCTGGGAAGACCATGAGGTACATTTTTCTTTCTGTAGAAATAATCTCGGGATTTGTAATGCTTACAAAGTGCAGTATGAATGTTTCTTTTGCTCCGTTTGTGCAGGACAAACTAACACCAGAACCTCCTTATTTCTGCCCTAGTTCATTTGAGGATTGATTCAAAATGGGAAGACGGCACATTTTTCTTTGCACTTATATTATCTCCAAGGTGGTTATGCATTTTGTTAAGCAGTCATGACTGTCTTCTGTCCATTACAAAGGGAAACTGAAATTATCAGAGTAATAGAAAAACATTAGGTTGAAAAATTTTTTTTTTTTTTTTAGGTTGAAATTTTTTATTTAGAAAAACATTAGGGCAGGTCCTAATGCCACTTCAGACATTACAGGTCTGACAAGAGTAAACAGAATAAACCCTGCAAAAGAATCCACACAATTTGAGTAGCCTTGGTAACCAGCCAAAGGACATGATTTGTTATTCAAGCAAAATATAACATAAACTCTTTCTATCTTCAGCAAATCCCAAGCCGTCAGAAAAAGATTTTTGAGGAAGCTCATGAACTGAGTGAAGATCACCATAAGAAATATTTGGCAAAGCTCAGGTCTATTAATCCTCCATGTGTGCCTTTCTTTGGTAAGTAGGATTTTATTTTTGATGAAAATAACAATTGTTTCTCCTTCAGTTGATGGAAATGAGTAGAAATGAATAGTTTCTGCTATTTGCTATTATCTGGAATAGCCAGACCTCCATAACTATGCTTCAGTATGACAGCGTTTAGTATAAAAGAAGCCAGTATTACCATATTTCAATAGGATCTAATGGCCTGATTTTTCAGGTATCTTCAGGTATTAGCTTCAAATACAAAGGGGGATAAGGCCATGGAGGACTTGGAATGTTAAGACAACAAGCTTATGCTGGTCAGAAGGAGACAGGAAGCCAGTGTAGGTATTTAAGGAGCAGGGGCTGCCATGTGATCACAGTGACAAGAGAGACACATGTTTAACAGCAAAGTACTGAAATACGCTCCTTCATGGCGAAGGAGCCTTGTCCTGGCGAAGGGGCTTGCGTAGCTCAATGAAGCTATGAGCTATACCGTGCGGGGCCACCCAAGACGGACAGGTCATAGCAGAGAGCTCTGACAAAACGTGATCCACTGGAGAAGGAAATGGCAACCCACTCCAGTATCTTTGCCATGAAAACCCCATGGACAGTACCAAAAGGCAAAAAGATATGACACCGGGAGATGAGCCCCTCAGGTTGGAAGGTGTCCAATATGCTACTGAGGAAGAGCAGAGGGCTAGTACTAGTAGCACCAGAAAGAATGAAGCGACTGGGTCAAAGCCGAAAGGACACTCAGTTGCAGATGTATCTGGTGGTGAAAGGAGAGTCCGATGCAGTAAAAATCTGTATTCCATAGGAACCTGGAATGTAAGATCCATGAATCAAGGCAAGCTGGATGTGGTCAAACAAGAGATGACAAGACTGAACATCGACATCTTAGGAATCAGTGAACTAAAATGGACAGGAATGGGTGAATTTAATTCGGATGACCATCAGGTATACTACTGCGGGCAAGAATCCCTCAGAAGAAATGGAGTAGCCTTCACAGTCAATAAAAGAGTAGGAAAAGCAGTACTGGGATACAATCTCCAAAATGACAGAATGATCTCAGTTCGAATCCAAGGCAAACCATTCAACATCACAGGAGTCCAAGTCTGTGCCCCAACCACTGGTGCTGAAGAGGCTGAAGTTGACCGGTTCTATGAAGGCCTAATACACCTTCTAGAATTAACACCAAAAAAATGATGTCCTTATTATCATGGGGGATTGGAATGCTAAAGTAGGAAGCCAAAAGATAACTGGAATAAGAGACAAGTTTGGCCTTGGAGTACAAAATGAAGCAGGGCACAGGCTGGCAGAATTTTGTCAAGAGAATACGATGGTCATAGCAAACACTCTTTTCCAACAACCCAAGAGACGGCTCTACACATGGACATCACCAGACGGTCAACACAGAAATCAGATTGAATATGTGCTCTGCAGCCAAAGATGGAGAAGCTCTATACAGTCAGTAAAAACTAGACCAGGAGCTGACTGTGGCTCAGATCATGAGCTTCTCGTTGCAAAATTTAGGCTTAAATTGAAGAAAGTAGGGAAAAGCACTAGGCCACTCAGGTATGACCTAAATCATAACCCTGATGAATACACAGTAGAGGTGACAAATAGATTTAAGGAATTAGATCTGATAGAGTGCCTGAAGAACTATGGATGGAAGTTCACAACATTGTACAAGAGGTAGCAACTAAAACCATCCCAAAGAAAAAGAAATGCAAGAAAGCAAAATGGCTGTCTGAGGAAGCTTTACAAATAGCTGAGGAAAGAAGGGAAGCGAAAGGCAAGGGAGAAAAAGATACACCCAATTGAATGCAGAATTCCAGAGAATAGCTAGAAGAGATAAGAATGCCTTCTTAAATGAACAGTGCAAAGAAATAGAAGAAAACAATAGAATAGGGAGGACCAGAGATCTCTTCAAGAAAACTGGAGATATGAAGGGAAAGTTTCATGCAAAGATGGGCATGATAAAGGACCAAAATGGCAGGGACCTAACAGAGGCAGAAGAGATTAAGAAGAAATGGCAAGATTACACAGAGGAACTATGCAAGAAAGAGCTTAACATCCCTGATAACCACGATGGGGTGGTCACTGACCTCGAGCCAGACATCCTGGAATGTGAAGTCAAATGGGCCTTAGGAAGTCTGAGCAACAACAAAGCTAGTGGAGGTGATGGCATTCCAGCTGAGCTATTCAAAATCCTAAAAGACAATGCAGTAAAAGTGCTACACTTAATATGCCAGCAAATTTGGAAAACTCAACAGTGGCCACAGGATTGGAACAGGTCAGTTTACATTCCGATCCCAAAGAAGGGCAATGCCAATGAATGTTCAAACTACCTCACCGTTGCACTCATTTCACATGCTAACAAAGTTATGCTCAAACTCCTACAAGCTAGGCTCCAGCAGTATGTGGACCGAGAACTACAAGAAGTACAGGCAGGTTTTCGAAGAGGGAGAGGAACTAGAGATCAAATTGCCAGCATACACTGGATCATGGAGAAAGCTAGGGAGTTCCAGAAAAACATCTACTTCTGCTTCATTGATTATGCCAAAGCCTTTGATTGTGTGGATCACAACAAATTATGGCAGGTTCTTAAAGAGACAGGAGTACCAGACCATCTTATTTGTCTCTTGAGAAACCTATTTGTGGGTCAAGAAGCAACAGTGAGAACTGGGTACGGAACCACTGATTGGTTCAAAATTGAGAAAGGAGTTCGGCAAGGCTGTATACCATCGTCCTGCCTATTTAACTTATATGCAGAGCACATCATGAGAAAGGCAGGCCTAGATGAATCACCAGTTGAAATTAAGATTGCTGGGAGAAATATCAACAACCTCAGATATGCAGATGATACCACTCTAATGGCAGAAAGTGAAGAGGAACTAAAGAGCCTCTTGATGCAGGTGAAAGAGGAGAGTGCAAAAGTCCGGTCTTCTCACTTCCTGGCAAATAGAAGGGGAAGAAATGGAAGTAGTGACAGATTTTATTTTCCTGGGCTCCAAGATCATCACAGATGGGGGACTGCAGCCAAGAAATTAACAGACGCTTGCTCCTGGGGAGGAAAGCTATGGCAAATCTAGATAGCATACTAAAAAGCAGAGACATCGCCCTGCCAACAAAAGTGCATATAATCATGGCTATGGTTTTCCCAGTTGCAATGTATGGCTGTGAAAGCTGGACCATAAGGAAGGCTGAGCGCCGAAGGATTGAGGCCTTTGAATTTTGGTGCTGGCGGAGACTCCTGAGAGTCCCTTGGACAGCAAGGCAATCAAACCGGTCAGTCCTAGAGGAGATCAACCCTGACTGCTCTTTAGAAGGCAAGTTCCTGAAGATGAAACTCAAATACTTTGGCCACCTAATGAGAAGGAAGGACTCCCTGGAGAAGAGCCTAATGCTGGGAACAATGGATGGCAAAAGAAGAAGGGGACGGCAGAGCATGATGTGGCTAGATGGAGTCACTGAGCTTGAGTGGACTGCAGGGGATGGTGGAGGACAGGAAGGCTTGGAGGAATGTTGTCCATGGGATCGCAATGGGTCGGACACGACTTCGCGACTAACAACAACAACTGAAATAGGCATACAAGGCCAGGATGAAATAAGAGAAGGGCTAAATGGAGCAAAATGTAGAATAAATGAATAAAATAATGCAATAAATCTGTCATGAACCTTCTTCATGCGAGCAACATGCTGTACATTGGAGACTTCCAAAGAAAAGGTGGCAATGGTGATAATGTCAGAAGGAATTGGAGCTAGCTTTCAATGGAAGGAAGTAACTGAAAGAACTGAAAGAGCAAAAAATCAGAGAGTGACTGTTTTCTTAGTGAGGGACTAGCAGTGTCAGATGAAACAGCAGAAGCACAACAGAAATAATGGTCAACACTGAATGGGAATGAGATTGGGAGAGGGGGAGGACAGATGCATGCCATGATTCTTAAAAAGAAAGCTTGAGAAGCACTGAAGAAAATGGAAGGAAAAGATTAAGAAGTTATGAAAGATGAAGAAGACTTCAGCTCAGAGAAAGGTGTCACAAGGAGTAGTTTCCTGCCAGAGTTGCCTCATCATGACCTTTGTCACCATCTTCAGGCACTAGCCAGGCAATTGCCTTGGTTTTGCTGACCATGTGTAGAAATGAAAGCTGACCTTGGTCTTGGTGACATTGTTGACTGGAAAAAGATTGAAGGGATGGTTTAGCAGCAAGGCAAACTCATCTGTTTGGAGGGGTGGAAATTGGGTCTCTCTTGATTGGCTCTTGAGAAGTTGTCAGGATGTGAATTTTAACTCTTCCAAAGTTTTTGTGCCTCTAATCTTCTCTCTACTTTTCTAAGGAACTACCAGGTACACAGTTTTGTATATTGCATTTTTCCATGTTCCTTGTAGGAATTTATTTAACCAACATCTTGAAAACAGAAGAAGGCAATCCTGAATTTCTGAAACGACATGGAAAAGAACTCATTAATTTCAGTAAACGAAGGAAGGTGGCCGAGATAACAGGAGAAATCCAGCAGTACCAAAACCAGCCATACTGCCTAAGAGTAGAACCTGACATCAGGGTGAGCACTTCTGTTTATGCAATAGAGATTAGGTTCTTGTTTAATGTCACAGGCAACTCATTCAGGTTGAACCCTCTCTTCTGAGCAGCATCTCATGCTGATTTAATTGATACTGAATGTATTTTCAGCAGTTAGTTTTTCTGTTTAACAAAATTGTCATTTAGAATGACAGTCCAAGTGCCCTTGATTTTCCATTTTTTAAGAAATGGAATATCCTAAATCCTACTGCTTATTGCTATCAAGGGAAAATTCTGACTCCATGATAATTTTAAAGGCGGAGCCTATGTTTTTTTTTCATGCAGTCAGAACATGTAGAATACATGTGAATGTCAGCAGCCAAAAAAACTATAATACAGGAAAATTTTCTCTTGATGCGGTAATCAGAAAGAATTATATTCTTCCACTTATGGTTAAAGCAAGGCTTAGGCAGATCAGTCTTGGAGCATGTGGGAAAGCATTCCTCCCATTCCAGCCTTTCCTGTTCAAGAGAAAGGCTTTTGCTGCTTCTTTCCACAAATTGGCCTTTAGTGACTCTTTGACATAGGAGAGCCAGTGTGGTGTAGCGGTTAAGAGCATGAGACTGGGACTCAGGCGGTCTAGGTCCTAGTCCCTGCTCAGTCATGGAGCCACCTGGGTGATTTTTGGCCAGTCACAGACTCACAGCCCAACCTACCTCACAGGGTGATTGTTCTGGGGATAAGACTGAGAGTAGATGAAAGAGAAATATGTAAGCCACTTTGAGTTTGTTGTAAGAAAAAAGACATGGTATAAATCTAATAAATAAATAGAGACGATGTCTACTGCCTTTCCCAACACTAGATTAAACAGAGTAGGGATGGAACTAAACTAATCCTTTTTACCATTTTGATTGATCTGAGGTACTTGTTCATAACTAATGAACCCCTAAGTCTCCAGTTCTAAAATGCTGACTTGTTAATTTGGAAGGACCTGAACTCCTTGGAATTGGGTTTTGGCTTCTTGATGATTGCAACCACTTGGAGATGGTATAGTGCATTTTGTGTAGTGCTTGTTCCTACACATCATGGAATGTGAGCTGTCAAAGAATGGAGAGAAAAGGGGGGTGGGATGATGATTGGAAAAAATAATGGAAGGGATTAAAAGCAGAAAGGGAACTGTGGAGGAGGGAAGACAAAGGAAAGTAGAGGAGGGAAAAGTCAAGTGCAAGCATTATCAGTGGAGACCTGCTATGGAAAAGGGCCAAGACCTACAGTAGGTAGTTCTGTGCATAAGAGCAGCCTCAGTGAAACTGATCTTGGAGTCTGAATGCTTGTGTTGGGTGTTCTTTCATGTATTATTTTTTCTGGGTTGCTTGCATCTTTAAAAATTACATATTTTATTTGTTTGTTATATTGTTCAATTTATATCCCACCTTTCCTCCAAGAAGGCATACATGATCCCCTCCACTCCATTTTCTCCTCCCAACAACTCTGTGGGAAAGTTCAGAGTCAGTGACTGACCAAAGTCTTCCAGTGAGCTTCACCACTTTGTGGGAACCTCAACACAGATCTCCCCAGTCCAACCAATCCTCCCTAGATCTCCAACCCTAATCATTACATGACACCGTCTCTCAAAAAATTAAACCACGTCTATAAAGCCTTCTTTGGTGGACAGAAGAGGAAAAAACTTTGAACTACTACAAAGATCAAAGGCGACTTACATTGTATCTGGGCTAAAACTTTTCCCTCTAGATACAATTCAGCAGCAGGCTACATTGTCATCAGTCCTGAGTTATAAAAGGGCCACAAATCTCTTGGCTTTCACTTTCATCTGTCTGTACTCAAGGGGAAGCTGTTAATCTACCTGCCGCACACAGAGTCAGATATTACCCCCTCCCCAGATTTGTCCAAATAGGAGACTGTAACCTTATATGAATACTCTTGTCAAGTGTTGGCTACTGTTGCTTAAGGGTTTTCATGCATTGCATATTTCATCATATTAATCTTGAATGTTTTGGTTTTCAGAGATTTTTTGAAAATCTGAATCCGATGGGAAATAGCCTGGAAAAAGAATTTGCTGATTCTCTTTATAATAAGTCGCTAGAAATAGAACCACGTAATGTCAAGCCACCCCCAAGATTTGTAAGTATCCAGACGTCATTCCTCAACATTAGCAGTAAATTGCCATTGCATTCTTTGAACTTAAAGAGCTATATGAAATAGATTTTTAAAGAAAGAAATGGAAAATAATACAATAGTAGAATGTTCAGATTAACCTTGGCAGTTATAAGCAGCCTATAAATACACGTATGTATGTGTGTATAAATAAACTGTATTATGAATTTTGGAATGGTTGTCCTTGCAGCCCAAAAAATACAACTATTCTCTCAAATCTCCGGGCATTCGTCCATCAAACCCAAGGCCAGGCACCATGAGGCACCCTACACCACTGCAGCAGGAGCCAAGAAAAATCAGCTATAGTCGTGTCCCTGAGAGTGAAACAGAGAGTACAGCTTCTGCACCAAACTCTCCAAGAACACCACTCACCCCACCACCTCCATCCTCCACTTCCAGCACTACAGATGTGTGTAGTGTGTTTGATTCTGATCCTGCAACTCCTTTTCATTCAAGTAGGTGCTATAGCTTGGGCTGGGTTTTTTTTATCTTTTAAAATTGGCTGGCCCATGTTGCATTCTGTGTGTGCTTTTTGATTGTATCAAAGCACAGGAATGAGTGAGAACAGGATCTCCTGGATGAAGTGTGATTTCCTTCCAATACTGTGATTTACAAACAAGACTGAGATGTACATTATAATGATCCCAATTTGTGTGTGTGTGTGATATATATGTGTGTGTGTTGGCTAAGCACTGGTAACAAGGATACGTATCCCCTTCACTATCCATTTGCCAGGCTAAGCTGCAGAAAAACTGAAGACAAGTTGTTTTACAGGAATAGTTAGATTTAAATGCTTCACTTTCCCCCTAGCCAACACATCTCCTCCTCCAAGCTGCATTACCACCCTGTTCTTTGCTTTAAAGTATAAGACATTAGTCATTTTTATTTGTAGTCCAAGCCATTTATTTGGATGAAACAGATTTATTTTAAAAGTATGGGAGCAGAAACTGTGTGATGCCCACCCACTTCAGCTGACAGTTTTTTGAGGTGAATGACGGTTGAATTCATCATGACAGTTTTGTGATTATTTTCTAAGTTTTTTCTTTTCTTTCCTTTTTAGATTGAATTTGTTTGCTTCTGTGCCAAATATGTGTGCAATTCCAACATTAAAATGATAGTAGAAATTAAGAAGGACTTTATTAAGTAATTAAGGAAGTTGTTTTATGAGTGCTTCATATGGCATACTTTGACACATAGCTGCAACAATTTAGACTGCAAACTTGCTCCATATCACTGTACAAATGAGCATTAGACATACGTAATTTAAATTCTCCCATGTCAACTGTAACCGGATTCATTGTGTGTGACACACTGCTTATTCAAGTTTTATTGTCCTGTTCCAATGTTCCAGTTTGGGTCTGGAACAGCTGTGCTTGCAAATGAACCTGAACCAGAACTGAACCAAAATATTAATGATTTGCCCCCCTGAGTACAACTTAGTCTTGCTATGCTGCCTTACCTTCTTAAATACCAACCTCCTTAAATACCAACTGTGGAGAAGGGGCCCAGCTTTCTCACAATGCAACATTTACAGATAGATTCTTCAGATTTGGAATATATGATAAATGGGGTAGGGAGAGAAAAAGTTGACTCTGAAAATAAAGATTAACAAGAGAAATTAGTCAGACCGCAACTGAGAACCAAGTTGTCTTGGGCACAGGGGTCAGGGGAGGCACTGTAATAAGTAGGAGAGGAGAATGGATTCCTAGACCCAATAAGCTGTTGCCAGGCCAAACTGGCAGACAATTACATAATGTCATGTGTTCTCACTGTTCTGTTCACCAGCAGCATGAACCACCCTGAAGGTGGAGTCAGGTTTTTGGGAAAAGGAAAGTAGGAAGGGGCTGTTTCAGTTTGGAATCAGCTCTTCACTTGGGCAGGACCTACTCCCACAGATTATGCAGTATGTTAACAACACCCTGCATCGCAGCAAAACCTGCTAAGCTCCAGTAAAGATTTGCATTTTATAAGCTTTTTATTTAATCTGCTGAAAGAAAAACGGGGGGGGGGGGAGGAATGTGCTCCCCTCATCCATTCTTGCAGTCACCTGTCCTTGAGTAAGGTTTCACTTTGATTTTGGCTCTCTGCTACTTGTTTATCTTCTTCCCTTAAGTCTCTCATTCTCTTCTTGGTATATATTGTTACTAAGCTCTCTGGCTCTCTTGGGGCCCACCCACCATTCAGTTTCCCAGGTTTCATGGTCTTCATTTGCCCAGTATGTAGCAGATGCTATTACATTATGAAAACAAAGCTGGTCTCTCCCTGGATGAGAGACCACTCAGAAGCCCCATGTGACTGAGTGCTGAGCTTCCAAAGGAGAAACTGCTTTGGACAAAGAGAAAACTTCCCAACACCTTTACTTAGCAGCATATCTGCTCTCCCCACAGTTCTGACTAGAATAACCTCTCCCTTCTGATCCTTATATGTCCTTGACTTCACAGTAATTCAGCAGGGGGAAAGGCCATAGGTAAGTGATGGCCACTTTTCAGCGTTGTTTCATATGTTACATTTTAAGTAATTAAAGAGTACTTACATAAAAATAATAATAAAACCTGAATGAGAGAGATAAACTATGGTTTTTATATATCCCCAGGGTCTGCTTCTGTGTCCTCCATAAATTTTCCAAAAAATTCTGATGGAGTTGCTATTCCCCCTCCTATTCCTCCCCGAAGACGTCCAGAATCTGCACCTGCAGAATCCTCTCCATCAAAGGTAATGTTTCCAGAGAAAGAGGGAAGGGACTAGTTCATTATGCCATCCATGCCTTACCCATAGGATGGAATTGAAATAAACCAAAGCTTTTATGATGATAAAACTTTAAAATAGATCACACACAGATGCATCCACCATATTTGTTGGCTTTGGTTGCTACCTAGTGTAAGAATTAAATGAACTTACTTGGTTCTGAAAGAGTCAGTGCAGGATGAAGTCTTTGCATTTTACCATCTTTTCCCAAAATAAGTCTTTGGCTTTCCCTCTCCTTTAACCCTGTCCACCCACCACTGCTCACTGGTTGTAAAGGGCTCAGATATCTTCTCTCAGAGTAGCAGTTCTGTTATATAGGTCTGAACCAAACCAGTGCCCCAAATTCGCCATCCTATTCTTTGGTAATAAGATGGACTGGGGGATTTCAGTTATCCTAAAATGGGGGAACCATTTCACTTTACGATTGGCAATGATTTGTGGTGGATTGCTTACTGTAGCAGGATTAGCCTTTTAAATATTTATAAAACTGCCAACTGTGAGGGTAGCTCCTCACCACTCCAGTATTTACCCTAATGTGGTGGCCAAAGCAAGAATTCAGGCCAACCCCATGTTTCCTCACTTCCTGCTTGCTGCTGGAATGGAAGAATGTGCTGTAGATTTGGAAACTTGGCACCAGCTAGAGCCCTTGCTGAGGGAGAGAAGAAATTGCTTTTCAAAAGCACCAACTTTTAAAAGGTGCCATAGGTGGCTGTACCAAAAGGGTTACTCCTTCCCAAACTCAGTTTGTGCCCTACAAAATTCTACCTATTTTTGGTGGCAGGGAGAGACGCCCTTTCCCCAGTTGAGGCAAGCCCTGTAACATACAATGAAGCATTGTGGAATATGGGTCTATTATTATCAAGGATGTTTATTGAACATTGTAACATATATAAATGCCCTTTGTGTTGGGAGTGAGAAGGATGGTTACTCTTGGCACACATTCTCAAGGCTTCCTGATTAGGACTCAGAGAAGGAGCAGGGGGAGGCTACAGAATGTGGGCCAATTCCAGACTTTGAAACAAGATGAGTGGAGGCACTTATCTCAAGGCCAGACTCCCCAGGTGCTTAGGCATCCTCTGAGAATAACCAAGATGTACAGTTATCAGGAAGGGGCTTCGAACAGGGAATTTCTTGGAGACAGATGAAGCATCTCTTGACCCCATGATGCAATGCTGGCAGAGGAGGGAAGCCCAGTTAGAGGATCTGCATGCAGAGAGGGGGCATGCTTGTTTCCAAAAGGCCCCTCTTATTTATTTTATTTAAAATATTTATTTAAAACATTTCTATGCCTCCCCATTTGCCGAAGCCTCGGGGCGGCTCACAACATAAATTAAAATATAATACATTAAAAATATAAAACAAATTAACAATATAAAATAAGTCGCCCTGGCCAGATAAAATAAGCAAATAATATTAACAATTAAAATGACGTTTAAATAAAAAGGTCTTCTCCTGGTGCCGAAAAACAAATAACAACGGCGCCAGGCGGACCTCTCTGGGGAGCGCATTCCATAGATTGGGTGCCACCGCAGAGAAAGCCCTCCTCTGAGTACCTACCCTCCTAATTTCCTTCACGGAAGGTTCCCGGAGAAGGGCCTCTCCCGCAGATCTCAAGGGGTGGGCGGGCGTGTATGGATGTAAGCGCTTCTTCAGGTAACCAGGACCCAAGCCGTTTAGGGCTTTATAGGTCATCACCAACACCTTGAATTGGGCCCGGACTTCAATGGGAAGCCAGTGAAGCTGACGGAGGACTGGAGTCATGTGAACATAACGCCCAGTCCCCATCAGCAGCCTGGCAGCTCTGTTTTGAACCAATTGAAGTATCCGGACCGTCTTC